GTAATTAGTGCTATCTTCAGCACAATGGGAGGTTGGCAGTCACTATTTGGGATTTTATGTCTCCGGCACTAAGATGGCAGGCTGTCTGAGCCATCATTTTATTACAATGAGTAAGAATCACATTTTGTGCTTGATTTTACACTCACCCACCCATTTTGTCAATGCATTTATTAGGTATATCTAAATAGGAAGCAGTCTTCAAGCCAAGCCCGAGAGAAGCTCCATTTCAAGCAAAACATGTGCAATGGTTTTATCTCCCGGCAACTCATTAAGACAGATAAGCATTCCCAACATGTATTAGAAAATGGGGTGTATGAAGGAAACCTCTTCCCCCTCAGCAAGCATAGGACAAGGCACTATCCACCCCCCAATGAAAAATTGTTGCAAACCAGAATGACCTCTCACGCCCTGAGGCAGACAAAAGGCTTTTACTAGGAAGGCTGTATACCCTCTTTTTCCCCACCCAGCCAAAATGGGCCTTACCTGTGTGAATATGTCCAGGCCAAGCCCTTTTGCATCAACAACATCAATGTGAGCAGAGTCTGCAGTACCAGGGCAATGAATGTATTAACGCCAAAAACAAGAGCATAGCGCTCTACACTTTAGATTTGTTGCAATCTGGAAACTTCACAGAAAAAGAAGAAATAGAGAACATGAGTACTGAAAACAAAAGCCTCTTTTCAGGCAAACAGAAGAGATCCACGCAAGTTAATAATCAAAAGAGTTGGGATCATACAGGATCAGGGGCAGCCAGTGTGCTGCCCTCCAGACATTGGATCCCAGCCAGCAACTCTTACCATCCTTCATCAGTGGCTATGCTGGCTGGGGTCCAATTTTTGGAGGGCACCAAGCTGGTTACCCTGGGACTAGATGCACCTGCCCATAGAAATATCCCAATCAGATATTTTAAAAGCAAATGAGTTATATATATGGGACCAAGGAAACAAGCTCATCCTCCATCCCATGGCTTGCTTTCATCCCAGTAACTTTTAATCTCAGCCGGGGTGACTCTTGTCATCAAAGCCCCCACAGAGAAAAAGATGCTTGGCAAGATACTTGCCTATGGAAAAGTAACCTACACACAGGGAAGAAGTTATACTCTTACCCCGTGCACCTCTTTTGCTTTTAAAAAACTGGATATTTTGCCTCTTTCTACATTGGGAGGGAAAGCTTTTTTTTCAGTCCTAAGGCTGCATTCCTTGTCAGCAACCCTTTTGGAGATCACATAAAGGGGAGGAGTGTGCACATGCAAAATGAGCCAATCAATGGATACATGCAGGTCCTGTTTTCTGAACTCAATGCATTCCCAGGAAATCTCTCTTGCTCCTGATTTGTCCAAACCTCTTCCTTCCCTTCACAAACAGGTAAGGAAGTGGGCAAACTCAAGCTGTTCAGCTATCTGAATCAGCTGTTCATGTAGCAAGGTTTGTGTTCAGATAACTGAGATTTCAGATAACCTGCATATACATTTCTACTAACTGCAGGATGCATTCCAGCCATACAAAAACCAAGAAGTTCTTGCACATCCCTCCATCATCCTTCCAGGTAAGAACAAGGCACTACCACAATCCAAGGACACGTTAAAGTCAGGTAAAATTACTTACAGAAAGTGTGGCCTATGGGAATGGGCCTGGCCTGGGGAGAGTCCCAAGAGTCAAACAGAGAGAATGGGAAAATCCCATTTGGTCCTTGAGCCTAAGGTTCCCCACCCCTGCTCTACATGATTAGTGGCAGCTCCAAATTTAATAACACAATGAAGTGCCACCATCATGTGTAATTTGGCCCTTAAATATCTGCATATGCAGTGATCTTATTGCTTCAACCCACAAACCAAAACATACATACACATTGATGTCATTTCCCAGCTGAGTATATCAAAGGGAAAATCAAAGCAGTTAAGCTGGTTGTACTATCCCAGCTTGTTCAATGGAGGCTGACATGCCCATTTGTAAAATGGGAACAGTGACCTAATTCAGTGCTGAGGAGGAAAGACGAGGTGCTGAAATATTAACTGCCAGGAGCTCTGGTGATAAAATGACTGATAAATTGCATAGGATTTGTAAACAGTGGGCAGAAGGGAGGAGCCAAGATGCACAATGGAGAGGTGACTAGTTAATCCTGACTACAGCTGAGAAGACTCAATGGGTGGGAAATCAGTCAGTCATTTTTGCCAGCTAAGAATCGCTGCTTCCCAGTGCAGCTGGTAGAGGGCCAAGCAAAACTAGGTTGAATCTGCAAAGCATCAGATCAGCCCAATCTGATGCACATTTATTATGAAGTAACTCCAATCATTCAATGGGGCTTACTTTTCTGAAAGCACACATAGAATTAATTTATACCGAAAATCAGGGTGTTCTTATCTGCATTTGCTCACTGGCACAGTTTTTCAGGGCAAGTTGTACAACAGCCGAAGGCTTTGGGAGAAATGGGTGGTCATCCAGATGTGGTTTTAAGCTATTGGATGCAATAACTCCCACCCAACTCCAATTTTGTAAGCAAAAAGCACTGTTCCGAAACAATAATGAACACCAGTTGGGAAGAACTGTAGCTCAATGGTAGAAAACATGTTTCCCATGCAAAAATCCCAGCTTCAATCCCTCCTGGAAGGGCTGGGAGAGTTCTGTCTGAAACCCTGCAAAGCTGGTGCCAGTATCACTGGTGGGGAGTCTGTGGCCCTTCAGAAGTTGCTGGTTTACAACTCTCGTAATCCCAGACCATTGGCCATGCTGGTTGGAACTGACTGGAATTGGAATCCAGCAAGAACTTGTGTTGAAATTACCAAGATAGCTGATCCAGCTCAGTAGAAGAGTTTTCTTTGTTCCTTCATGTGAACACATAGGAGTCTCTTGATAATGCAGTTTCCCTTCCATGACAATTAAAAGATGAAAGCTATTGATACCTGTGTCCTTGCTATTCTTACTTATGTACTGTCTATAACTACTGCCCATTGCTCAGTATTCAGCTACTTTACAGTACCTGCAGTAACTAGGACAATCTGTCTTAGTTTGTGTGCTTTCCTGAACTATTGCATTACACTGCAAAATGAATTATGCAAACCCACAACATAGCTGATGCATGTGAATGCACTGCTTACAAAGCACTTATTGCTCTTCCTAGCTTTCACCTTTACCCAAACAAATAAGCTTGGAAGAAACCCAACACATGAGGATATCATAATATGGAGAATCTATTTTTAATTCTGACATTTCAGGTTGCCAGTGTCTTACTGGCTGCATGCCCAAAGTCGCAGTCATTTGGCATGACAGCAATTAGATGTGCACCGCCAGAAAAATAAAAAGACAAATGGTTGCATAAGACAGGCTGGAAACCCCAGGCCTAGTTTCAAAGTGACACCAGGTATGCAAACCCAACTTTACATTGAAAACAGAACCCTCATCTGCTACGTGCAACATTAGTAACTCAATTCAAAACAAAATGTCAGGCACTTTTTCTTACATAACCATAGAATCGAAAGAGTTGAAAGGGACCGCGAGCATCATCTAATCCAACCCCCTGCAATGCAGGAATCTTTTGCCCAACCCATGGCCCTGAGATTAAGAGTCTCATGCTCCACCAACAGAGCTCATGTTTAAATTAGGCCACAGAATGTAAACAGCACAGACTGAATAAAAGTACCCGCTGTTCTTTGCTTATATTACAATTTTCTGATTTCAGGCTGAATTGACCTGATTGACTTGTGCTCCAGCAGACATAATTGAACAAGGCACTGCATTCTAAAATTCAAGAATCTAGATGCATGTTGATTGCCTTTGCTTGTTTGACATTCTTAAATGCAGAACATCAATTCAATGCTTACAATGCAATACAGCTCTGTGCTGAGTTTACTGAAACATGGATGATTAATTATAAACTCTCAGTTTGCAAAGATCTACTTACGTTGCAATTGTGATGAGCAGCATATAAACAATTCGGAATACTACGTACGAAGCATAACAGACCCAGATGTTATGAACACTGTCCATGATATACACGGCGGCAGCAATGCAGAGGGAAAACATGGCTAAGGCTATCTCGCCCCAGGTAGCCCAAGATGTTTTTATGTGGCCCACAACAAACACAGCCACAGCTCCTGTAAGTGCAAAAAACAAATTAATTTGTATTTAGCTAGCCTTTAGGGCAGGGTTGCCTAATCTGTGGCCCACATCCACCACTCACCCCCCCCCCCAGTTTTTGTGGTCACCCAAAAGACACACCCTGAAATATGTCATTTTACATATATATAATAATAAATTGGGGGGAGACTCCCTGGTCACAGGTCATTGTGGCCCTCAGCCCAAAAAAGTTTAACCATCCCCATTTCAGGGCTGTTACAGTTATATGGTGCAAGCAGCCTTGAGAATTTTGAGGGCAGAGAGAAAAGAGGTGGGAGGTTAATGTAGAAATGTTGCCCAGTACTAGCAGTTACAATCATTACTCAATTGTGGTTGTGTACAAAAGCCTGTGTAAGCGTCAGCCTATTGCTCCAACTGGTGTTGCATTGGTCATATTCATGTACCAAACCTGGGCATACCTTGCTTGGGTAAAGCTCCTCAGGAGGTTGCTATAAACACTATCATCTCCAGACAGAATTTCAAAACACTAAATTGCTAGCAAAAGCAAGTGAGTCATCACATGCACACATCGTATGAAACTCACTCAACAGTAATTTAAGGGAGTGCCGTTTACGGGAAAGGGTCTCTTGCTCGAAAGAGGAAAGCACCAGTTTTGGCAGCTGCACAACACACATACCCTGTAGGTAAGGTATGTTTAGTCCTTTATATCCAGTGCTTAACATAGTCCCATAGCATGGCTCTTACCTCTTAAAAAAAATAGTTACAGAGGGAACTTACCCAACAGTGTGGAAACAGCCTCTACACCACCGTTATAGATCTGAGAGGTCTGAGAAGGAAGCACTTTTTCCCATAGACCTTGAGCATAGTTTATGACTTGGAAGTAACCACATGTTGAGAGCGCCCACCAAACAGACCAACACAGCAGAGGCCGGGACGAGTAGCACCGAAGGAAGTCCTGCCAGAGCTCTTTGATTACTTTCACAATGTCCACTCTCTCCTCCTGCATAGATTTAAAACACACACAAAATTCAGCTAATCTTTCTGTCAGTTACTTGCATGTACAACAGCACAATAGGAAGAATACAGATCTAAATAGGGCTAAAGATATAAAACTGTCTCCTATTCAAGAAGAAGCACCACCAGAGCACCCCTGGCTATCTTTCCAATAAAAAGATGAATCCATGACAGTGAAACTGAAGACCAATAGTTCAGATACATTCGTGGGGCTGGACTAGATGACCCTAGGGATCCCTTCCAACTCTACAATTCTATGATTCTATGGTCCTTTTCTCATCCTGGATTGGGCCCTGCCTGATGAAACATGCCACCACAATTCTTTTTGATCTCTGAATAATTGTGTACAGAAATAGCCAGTTTATGCTAGGGAAAAAACTGCATGATGGAATCTGGGTAGAGAGGTAAAAAGGTTGTGTGGTGCACAGAGACATCATACGAACTGGCCACCCAAAATCTTCAACTGTTAATACGTTGCTACCTACAGTATTAAACAAATATAATATTTCTGCTTAGAAAAGAGTCTATGCCATATATGGACAAAACAATGGGATGGCAGGATAGTGGCTTCAGGTGGAGAATTAGTCGAAGAAATATGCAATTCTGGGGTGAAGATGGACAGCGCTAGTTCCTGCTAGCCATATCCCATATACTCAACATTCAACATGTAGTAGAAAGTGGGTCATTTAAATAATGGGGCAGCAATGGTTGGACACATGGAGAATTCTACAAAAACCACTTGGCAAACCCTGTCCCCAGAACTTCCAAGGCCCAGGGCTTGCAACACTTGCTCAGCCCTGCACACTCCCAAACACCCTACAATCGGCTGTAACACATGAAATCCTTGCCTATACTCTGTGCGGGTAAACATTTGCACTATGGCTGAGGTCAAAGAGCCAAAGGTTCATAGCATGCCAGTTGTTTTTAACAAGGGAGACGAATATTTATATGCTTGATCCCAACTGCCCATGACCAAGTTGCTGTAGTAGGTGACGCATTTGCTCTCTGCCTTAGTTCCTTTCCGATAAATAAAAACAGCCACAGTCCCCACGGGATTGCTATGACTACGATCAAGATAAGAATTATAATACTCTATTCAGCTATGGGGAATTATTACAGCCGAACTAAAAGGTGCAGGATGCTAAGCCTTCACCTCCAGCAAAAACTGTACAGATACCCTTCAAGCAATTCAGGGGGAGGGTACAAGAACAGCCAGCCAGACCATGAGGCAGGGTGAGGAAGCTGCCCCCAAGGGCCAACACACCCTTTCCACTACCCAGCTTTGCCAGTGGTCTCCCCAGCCTCTAGGGGCAGAGAGGGACTGGCAGCAAAGTTCTGCAAAATGCCTTCCCATGGCTGCTTGGCTGCCATGTGTGGAAGGGAGATCCCCCCCCCTCCACACATACGTACACACACACCAGCCCGGAGATGGGGCAGGGCTTTGCACCAGCTTCTTTGAATGGAGAAGTCGATGCAAAGCCACATTACATGACAGCAGGGGAGGACCCAGAAAGGATTCACACACACACACACACACACACACACACACTGTGAGAGATGCCACAAGGGCTTCTTGAGTAGCCCTCAGGGAGTTTGCCCCCCGCCATTGCAGGAGGTAGCATATTTCACCTTGTGCATACAGAGCGAGGACAATGGTAGCCTAGAAAGCACTACTCCTTGCTGTCAATTGACTGTGCTAGTTATATCCCTGATTAACTAAAATCAGTAGGTCGTTTTCAACCAGGTTTTACTCAGAGTACACCTAACATAGTCATGTTCATTACTCTGAGTAAAACTTAGTTTAGTATCACCCAGTATATTCCCAGAACAATTTTTTTAAAGCATTGGAGAAGCAGCTTTTCAGAGACTAAACAGGCAACAAACAAGATGAGCAACTTTCCCTCCCACAATTGAAACAAGCAAACACTCCGCTCAGCCCTAATATTTAAAACCACATACTTTTTCAACATACATCCAACTGAGGTAGGGCTGTAAACTAATCAGAATCAGCTGCCATAATTACTCAATGGAGATTTTGAAATACTCGTCAAAAGGTGCCAAAAATACACTGACAATGGATATGCCACATAATCTTAAAAAAGAGATTGTAGAGAGGACTCAGCACCCGCCATCTTTAGTCAATATCCGACAGTGGAAAGCTAGTAGCCCAATCCCTTAGGGAACCTGTGACCCACTGGACGTTATCAGACTGTAACTCCCATCATCTCTGTCCAGTGGCCATCCAACAACAACTGGAGTGATACAGGTTAGGCCACATCTGTTTAAAGCCATAATCAAAGAATGCCTAACCACATCTGCTTATTACTGAAGAAACAAGCTAGGGCACATCCAATGCTACAAGGGAATTATGTTTCTCATGATGAGAGCCAAGCAAGCTTAGCATGCTTAAAATCAATGGAGAGAATGGCTGTACAGTTACTCTAGCTAACTCTTTTTTCCCACAGGGACAAAGCAATGTTTATTAACATTCTATGGCTTTTTAAATGTGTTTGTGGGAGGGAGTTATTGGTTTGTTTTTTATTTTGTTATGTATCATTTTGAATTTTTATGTTGTGAACTGTCCTGTGATCTTCAGATGAAGGGTGGTTTACAAATTTAATAAATAATAATATTTCCTCCAGCTTTACTGATAAAATGGCTAGCAAAGTAATGTCCCAAAGCAGTATAACTGCACAGTAAGACCCACAGCAAGAGTTGCAAGTGGTATACTGCTGCTGTAGTAATTTATTCCGCATCGGGTCTGAGTGAATGTAACTTTTCAAGGTGAACAAAATGTGATTTGTGAACAAAAGAGAAAGGATAACTTTCCCAACAGTAAAACTCATGGCAGCTTACGGCAAGTTTACCAGAAAAGGGGGGAAATTCCAAAACTGCCCCACACCTAAGTTCAGCGCCTGAAAAGCCTATTAATGGCAGTCTAGTTTGTGATTCCTTAAGTGGGACACAAAACATATGCTGGAGCAAGTGTACAAATTCTGCAAAAACTGGCCAACATCAACACCTAGTCACCAACCTGACGCCCTCCAAATGCTCCAAACTCATGCTGTGCTGACTGGGACTGATGGGAATAGATCTCCAAGGCATCCAGAGGGCACCAGGGCCTGGTCTATAGGGTGCAGAAAAGAAAAATCTCAAATCCTACTTCCCTTTCTCTCACTGTCTGTGACTATATGGAGTCCTGAGCTTGAATGGATGGTCTGGGAAAGAGGCAGGTAGGAGAGAAGAGCTGTGTTTGGTTCTGCCTTTTTGAGCACAAGTTTGGAGCCAGCATGAGGCAGAACACTTCTGGTGCCTCTACCCCAGGGCAAAGACGTACTGCCTCCAGTTTCCATCAACTAAGGAAACACCTCAGCACAGGATAAAGAGGAACAACTATAGAGCTCTATACTCAAAGATGGGGGGGGGGGAATGCAGACCGCCAATACCCTAGCAGACTGATGCAAGATCTGCATGTGTATTCTCTCCTCTCCCACAGAGGCCTGCTGCCTGGAATCTATAATCTGTAGGGTTCCACCAGGATGTTTAAGATTATATGTGCTTAGGCCAAGACCAAGCTGTATTTGCAGTTTGCTTGTGTACACAGTCTGCAGATAAGGGGCTTTTTTGCCATTCCCTATAACTAAAGAATCCCTTTTTAGAATGGACTTTTTCTCCATTCAGAACTCTCACCTCAACATCAGTGCCCTGAGTAGGCTGGTGGACACAGCACTGACAATACATTCAACTTTCAATGTATAGAATACGTACAAGAATACAATATGAAAACACCTGAGTTGCAAAATGTCAGTAGAAGGCAGGGGTGGGGAGAGATGAAGGAATGAGAGAATAGGAGAGGAGGAGGAGCAGTATTAGCCTATACCCGAATACACTGTTGTGCTAATTTACATAGAACTGAAGAAAGTGCTGCCATCTATCCATACAGGTTCTCTCAGCTTCATGCTAATCCTCTGCTAGGGAAGCAGAGCTTGACTGGGAAACTTTAATTCCATGGAATGCTAAGAGCTTTAATTACCAATTGTAGCCTAGCAAACAAAACAAGAACAAAAACACAGAACCCTTTCTGGCCAAGGGACAGGATTTTTAAAAAGTAATTTCCAGATTTGTTTGCACAATTGCAGAAGTCTGCTTTCTGCTGAAGCGCTCATTCAGGCTTCACTATGTCCTGCAAACTCCTTTAGAAGCATCTCCACACAAGTGTCTCACTTTTTCTCACCCAGTCTTCACTTCATTGGTGGACTTCATCTCTGGACCTAGTTTACCCTGACAATTGGCCAAAACTTCTCCATAGGCTCTCCTAAGAAGCTTGTGGCAGCATCTGTACTTGCAAAGAATGTCTAGTGTTTAAAAGTATCATATTCTTAAGATGGGTAGTAGCCCACCTTCAGAAACATACAAGAATACCTGTTCTTGGAGCTACCGCCTGCCCTCCCCAGCAACAACAGATTCCCCAAAAGAATCTGCTTTCTTCTCTCAGGCCTTTTAAGATCTTGTTTTTAAGTTCCTATGGAATGGTTAGTGGTTTTGGCATAAGCATTCGATGGTTCCAGTTTCTGCACTCTGTACAGCATTTGATTGTGCTTGATTTTTGTATTTGGCTTTTATGCTGGCTTGGTTTAAGCGATTATAGGTTTTTCTTGTAATACTATATTTTTCTCCCTTTGAATACCTAGAAAATTCATTTAACGAGGCATCTCATAAACAAGAATAATAAATTGGAAGTTAATAAAACTGGCATATTTGATTGGCCTGAACTTGTACGTCTTCCAGGAGGCAATAGGACTCCACTGCCAGAGGCATGCTGAAGATCACATCCCCAGAATTTAAAGTGATCAGACACCTGAAAACCCAATGAACTGCCCTGACATGCCACAAGCAACAGACAATGTAATGGTCAATTAACCCAACAGAGATTTTCTGTGCAATGAGAGAGCTGCACCTTCCATTCCCCTGGAAAACAGAATTATTGCTTACCTGTTGCACTGCTGGATGCTCATCATCTCTATTTAAAGGGATCTCCGATTCAACATCTTCCCACCCAGGAACCCTCTTTAAGGCAGGATCTACAACCTTCGTTTCCTTACTGACCTGGGTGCTTGACTGGCGATGGTGAAAGAAAAGGCTTTTCTGTGGCATGGGCAGAAACCAGGCCATGGCGAAGGCAACGGACACGGCAGTGAGAGAGATCACATTCAAATTGAACAGAGGCCAGTCAAATACAGACACCAGGATTTGTCCAGAAACAGAGCCCACTGTAAAACCCACAAGTGTAGCACTCCGACAGTAGCTTGTGACTTTTTGATACAACGTTAGGTCCACAACGCTATAGATGTAGGAATAATAGGCAATTTCTGTGGCAGTCACCAGTCCATAGAAGAACTCCAGGAACTGAATAGCCAGCAGTCCTTCTGCATAAAGCAGCATAAACCATGTCACTATAAGGCTTAGTCCTTGTAGAAGGATGACAGGCTTGTAGCGGAGATAGTCTGTTGCCAGGAAGACAGGAAAGAGCAGCACCAAATAGGAGTAAGTCCATACTGGATAAATTTCATTGAAGACCTAAATGAAGAAGAAAAAGATATGAACATTTGTTAACAGAAAATTCATATTCTAGCAGGTGTAATTTACAGCTCTTTCAAATACAAGCTTTTGCGTAACATCAAACTGTGCAAGGGGTAGTTGCCAAGCAAATTCTCTCTACAGCCAGAGTCCCTTAGAAAGCATGGAGCATCTGATGGCATTTGGTAGTCATTTCTAGAGGGAAAATGGAGAATGAGAAGAGTATGCTTGCTGGTCCACACTGCAACCTCACTCCATCACCCCAGTGTGATTGTAGAAGAAACAACCTCAGGAAGAACAGCTATTTTTTTCCTCATGTTTCCCTATTCATGGTTTTAGGATGGAGTCAGAGATATCCTGCTCGGTTAAGGAAAGGATGAGCAACCTGTGGCCTTCTAAAACTTCTTGTTGGACTCCAACTCCCACTAGTCCCAGGCTGCATGGGCAATATTCATGGCTGATAGGAGTTGCAGTTCAACTACAGAGTCAGAGACTCCCCATCCCTGTATTCAGGCTCCACCCCACCGACCTTTACACACAGCTGCAAGGAATTATTTTTATGTGTTCACTGCATAAATATACACCTGTGCTGGCTAGAGTGGGGGAGGGAGAAGAGAAGGTAAAATAGGTTAAGAAGAGTGGTGCAAAATCAAAGTTTCAGAAGCAGTGCCTTACTAGAGTTGGCTGGCATGACACTTTATTAATCTCAGGCTTGGACGCTGCAGTAGTAGTACAGGCTGATATTTCCAGCTTAAAATGGAAAGGAATTGCTGAAACAATTAACAGAAGTGGAATACAATAAGGGAGGTGTGAGGAGGTTGTTGAAATAAGTGAATGAAAGATAAGATACTGAAATTGTTTGATGTGTTTTAAATTGTTTTTGTTTTGTTTGTTTTGTTTTGTTAGTTTAATGTGTTAGTGTTATGTAGTGTTTTTGTATTGTATTGTATTGTTCTTTTTTTCTTTTTTTTTGTTGTAGTGTTTAAATTGTTGGAAAAGTAATAAATATTATTTTAAAAAAAGAAAGATATTTCCAGCTTAAAATGTACCAAATACATACTGAAACAGAGTGCACGTGGGGTTAGTTGGAAAAGGCAATATGTAGAAGATGACCCTGTAATGTTTACAAGCTCATTTGCACACAAAAATTATGTGTTGTTGTTTTTTAATCTTCACTACGGAGAACAACCACACAAACCTGGAAGAACAGAACTGAAAATACGGAGTCACACACAGCTAATCGAAACGACAGTCACAAAAGATTTGTTGCAAGAAAGATCAAGATGTATAAAAAGGAGCAGTGTGCTAAGTGGATAAAAACTTGTAAGACTGGATATTTCAGAACCTTATCACAAAATCTCCAGTCAATTTTGCTGTCATCTGCAACAGTCGGCATAAAATCCTTTGCAAGGACTTACAGATTGCTAAAGGTTGAGACAGTCTGCATTATTTCATTGTCATTATTCATAAAAGGTAAAAAAAAATCCAGTTTAAAACTGATAGAGGTAGGAGAACTATGGAACTTGTTTCATGATTTCTACTTAGCAAGCATCCAAGTGACAGCTGTCCTACGCATTACAACCTTGCAATACCTGTCTCCAAGGGCAAAGTTTTAAAAGTATGGTTTCTCATAAATAAGTCCTATTCAGATCAATGGGATTACTCCTTGGGAAGTATGTTAATGATGCAGTCTTCAACCAGCAAAGGTCTACCTGTTCATTATGGTGCATTACTGAAATTGGGCCTCTAATTGTTTCCTGGACGGATTTTCTCCCTACTAAAGGTGTTCAGCCCTTTAATGACTAGTTTCCGAAATTCAAATGGCATTATTTTCCTGTCCTGTTTACCTTTGTTTTTATTAGCTTTCCTTCTGCAAAAAACAGAAATGAATTTACTTATTTTTAAGAAAATGACGGTCAAGCATGTGCACTCTCTCCAAAACGCAGACAATACATCCCTTGGAAAACTGAAGCAGGGAGCAGGTGCCAAAAGCGACCACAGGTTTAGATGAGGTTGAAGGCCAGCAGCACACCAACTGCAGATTCTCTCAACAACTTTGAGTCAACCAGCTTGTGCTGCTGCTGATGGGCAACAAAGGTAAGCTCCCCAAGCCCTCAACCAAGGGTCAATAATGCTTAGTCCATGCAGGATGGCCTAGGGCTGCAGCTTGGAAGAATTGCTGCAGGCCAAGGCTTGAATGAGAAAACACTAAAATGCAACAGGCAGCAACTGAAGTCTCCATAATAACTGAGTGAATGACGGCAATTCCATATAACAGTTACAGTAGAAGCAAGTTTGATCTAGGTGAGGGATGGGCAAGAGATAGAGCAAGATCTTCTGGTAGGAATTATATCACTCATTTGCACTACCGCCCTGCAAATCATAGAATCATATAATTGTAGAGTTGGAAGGGACCACAAGGGCCATCTATTCCAACCACCTGCAAAGCAGGAATCTTTTACCCAAGGTCGGGCTTGAACCCATGACTCTGAGATTAAGAGTTTCATGTTCTACCAACTGAGCTACAAATATAAGGTTAAAAATTATGAAATGGGTCTCCAAATACATGTTTGGGTTAAAAGTGGGTTCTGGGTCTGAAAAGTTTGAAGCATATGGCTCTATAGGATTCTGCAGTAGATCAACAATGATTTTTTAATCCAAGTCTGGGATAGCTGAGTTGGTAGCACGTGAGACTCTTAATCTCAGGGTCCTGAGCCTGAGCCCCACTTTGTGCCAAAGATTCCTACATTGCAGGGAATCGACCTAGATGATTCTTGGTGCTCCCTTCTGACTCTACAATTCTATGATTCCAAGTCGTCTAACAAAGGATTATACTGTATACTCCCATTATACTATACTTCTGAAATTAAGTAAGGAGAGGTGATCACATGAGGAAAGGACTTTTCTTAAATAAGGATTATGAGCTATATTGATTTCCGGCACTCAAAATAAATGTGTGGGTTTCTAAGTGCATGCCTTTTGCACAGGGATGCAAGATTCCAGTCAAAAAATAAGTAAGTAAACCCCACATGCCCACCCTGATCTGTCAACCTCTGCATACTATGCAGTATACCAGTGACAGCAGGACCCCATCGCAGGCTAATGACGCAAGAAAAGTCCCCGTACTTTCAGTAACCGTTTGGCAAGTGGAAGTCAGAAGAGCCACCTGCTGCTGCTCAGGACAGTGACAAACTTTCCCGCCGCGAAATCCTCTTTCCCTCCCGCTTCCACCAAGGGGATCACGCGCTTATGAATCTACCCGTAATTCTGCCAGTAACTCTGACTTCCCCTATAGCTCCAGCAGCCAGCCATTCATTCATACCGAGTCCTGGGAAGCTTTAGCTTTCCAAACCAAGGGAGGGTCGGGGGGGGGGGCTTCAGCCTACCTGGCAGCCATACCCGCAATAATTCGCCGCTAGGGAAGGGTCCTCTGCACATGTTCGAGAGCCCTCTCTCCTTAGCAGGACCTACGGCTGAGGCGGAAACACAAAACCCCGGGCTACTAGCACTGAAGGGACAAAGCCCTTGTCTACAGAGCTCGGTGGGGCTTACTTCCGAGGAGACCCCCCGAACGAATCTCCTCTTCGGAACGCTCCGGACTAAAAATGCCGCCGCCGCCCCCGGAATACCTGAGTCTCGGTGAGGTTCTTGTCCGGCCCCAACAGGTAAGGCGTGAGGAAAGGCTCCGACGGCCGCAAGCTGGCGAAGAAGCCGTAGCCGCACAGCACCGCCGTGGGCAAAGCCCAGCCGAAGGCACGCGGAGCCCGCCCCGCGCGGCGAGGCAACAACACGCGGGACCGGAGCCCGTCCAGGACACCCTGCGCTTCCATCCGACAAGCCCCGCGATGGGGCGTCTCCGCGTGCGTACGTCCCTCTCTCCCTCTCCCTCTCCCTCTCCCTCTCTCTCTCTCTGAAGCGCGCCGCTCGCTCGGCTCGCACAAATCTGCGCCGCTGCCCACGCGGCCGAGCGCCAAAGGCACCTTGGCCCTGCGCAGTAGCGCGCGCGCGAGGCACGCCCCGCCACTTCCGGTGTCGGTTCGGGATCTTTTTTTTGTGGTGGTGGGAGCGGGGGATGGAAATCTCCGAAGTGCGATGCGGGGGCTCAGGAGGCGGTCGTTGAATTGGAATTTAAAGAACTGCACCTTTGCTGCAACCCGAGAGGTGTGGCTTGCGGGTGTCCCCACACCACACACACATAGATACACTGGGCTCTCTGGTTTTTTTAATAAACATATGCCTTGCCGTGGCGAAGGGGCTTGAATAACTCAGAGAAGCTATGAGCTGTGCCGTGCAGGGCCACCCAAGACGGACAGGTCATAGTGGAGAGTTTTGACCAAACGTGATCCACCTGGAGGAGGAACCGGCAAGCCACTCCAGTATCCCTGCCAATAAAACTCCATGGACAAAGACAACAGGCATAGATATGCTTTTCCCACTAGTGATGTATGGGAGTGATAGCTGGACCTTAAAGAAGGCTGATGGCTGAAGAACTGATGCTTTTGAATTATGGTGCTGGAGGAGACTCTTGAAAGTCCCGTGGATTGCAAGAAGATCAAACCTATCCATTCTGAAGGAAATCAGCCCTGAGTGCTCACTTGAAGGACAGATCCTGAAGCTGAGGCTCCAATACTTTGGCCACCTCATGAGACGACTCCCTGGAAAAGACTCTGATGTTAGGAAAGATTGAGGGCACAAGGAGAAGGGGATGACAGAGGACGAGATGGTTGGACACTGTTCTCGAAGCTACCAACATGAGTTTGATCAAACTGCAGGAGGCAGTGGAAGACAGGAGTGCCTGGCATGGGGTCATGAAGAGTCAGACACGACTAAACAACAAAAATGATGCTTCTAAGTGATTTTTCAATTTTTTAATATTGTTATTATCACAATACCTCTCTTCATCCGAGAATCACAGGGCAGTTCACAAGTCATATAAGGGAATGGGCGTAGTCAAGGGTGGGCAGGGAGGGGCAGTTCCCCCCCCCCATAAATCAATGCAAATTGATAGAAATACATAGCTAACTGGGGTTCTCCCACCCCCCAACAAAAGGGTGTATAAGGGTGGAATCCTATGGTTCCTGGGAGAGCATCTCAGGCCATGGGATTTTGCAGATTCTGCAGGTGTCTTTCCCTAGGCTACATATTTGACCCTTGGATCCAGCCATCAGATCAGTCAAAAGTTACCGTCAGTAATATCCGGAGTCAGTTTTGAACCATCTGAATGAAAGATGGTGCTGCAACATTTGTGGAAAGGTTGCTGTGTAGGATCCAATGTTGATTAGACATTAGAAACCAAGGCAAACTTCTTGACATGGAAACTGTTAGAAGCTGGCATGGGAAACGCTTGTGTAAGTAAGTAGTCGGTAATGTGTGAAAGTATATAGACCCAAGTTCAGACCCCACTAGACCCAGCATCTGTGCTCTCTTACAGTAGGAGCCAGCATGGTGTAGTGGTTAAGAGCGGTGGACTCATAATCTGGTGAACTGGGTTTGCTTCCCCGCTCCTCCACATGCAGCTGCTGGGTGACCTTGGGCTAGTCACACTTCTCTGAAGTCTCTCAGCCCCACTCACCTCACAGTTTGTTGTGAGGGAGGCAAGGAAAGGAGATTATTAGCTGCTCTGAGACTCCTTAAGGGGAGTGAAAGGCGGGATATCAAGTCCAAACTCTTCTTCTTCTAGGTTGTATTCCACTAAGTCCTACTCAGAGTAGACCCTAATGATGGGCACATCACTCAGTCACCTTGGGCCAGTCACTGTCTCTCAGCCTAACCTACCTCACAAGGTTATTGTGAGATTAAAATGGGGAGGGGACAACAATCTACACCACCTTTAGCTCATTTGAAGATAAAGTAGTATATAACTGATAAAAAATTGAATGTCCATTAACTTCAGTGGGTCTACTCTGAGTACAACTAGGTTATATTATTTTATCAAGGATATTGTTGTCCTGTGTATCCTTTAAAGTTTAAAGTATCTCTCACACACACAATTAGATAAAAAGCTGTGCCTTAATTAAGCATCTGACCTTGTGGCTGCAGCTGACATGAATTTTAGGTGATGCAATTGTTATCTGAACTTTCAAAAACAAAGAGGCTCTGAATAATATGGTGTCACAACCACTACCAGTTCTCGTGACAGTTTTGCCTGTCACTTTGTTGTTTAGGACCCATTGATCTGACACATTATTTTTGAATCTGTGTCGTCACAATTGATTGCTATCCAGATCTAGAAATAGCAGGAGGAATCCTTGAGAATTAGTGTACTAGGTTACTAGCCACAAGGCTTCCCTTCTGTACACTCAACAGCATCCTTTCTCTTTCCTTGCTAAACTTCAACTGAACTTCTGTTATTGAGTTTCATGAGTTTTACCCCGATCCAAGGTCAGATCTCAAAATAGCCTTTGCTCTATATTAAGGGAAATGTCCACAATATTCAGGATAGGCCCAGGTCTCATACACAGAGGGACCACATTGATACTGACAAACAGTACATTCTTCCTGAGAGCCTCTCAAATGAATGTACACCCCCCACCGAGGACTCTTGGGGGCTTTAAAAGGCCCGCTCCAAGGAGTGGAAAGGGATCAGGAAACAGGGCTGCTTCTGTGTCCTGCCTAGATTAGTCTATACTTCTAGAACAAGACTTCAGTCTAGACACATCATGTAAGGAGCTTCTCCCCTCTGAAACTTTGGGGAGCCTGAGTCTTCATCAACCTAATAACATAATCTGGATCCCTCTCTCAGTTGAATTTTGCATGAAGTACAAAGTCAGAGTGAAGTCACCTCAGAACCTATCTATTTCACCAGAGTAAACCAGTTTCAGTTATTGCTGAAGGCGCTCTCAAAGCATGTTGTAGCAAGCATCATACACGAGACTGTTTTTGCCTAATGACTAAGCATGGTCTTTTGAAATTTCAGCTGTAGTCACCCAGGAATCACCTTATTCCACATAAGATCAGCTGAATGTATTGCAAAAGACAGGACCAACAGACAGAAAGGGAAAATAATATTTCCTGGTTATAGTGTACCTGTATTGTAAAGAGTTTCTGATTTAATTAAGATGTGAGCTAACGGGGGACACTATTAGAAAGTTTAAAATGCTGGCCTGAGTTAAGCTACATAAATTCTAAACAGAATAATCAATGATACAATATTGCATTAATTATAAAGTACTAAAGTTATTTGCATTAAAATTATCATGCAAATATTGAGCTACCTGGATGTTGGCAACTGAATACTGTGGGATTTCCAAGTAAACATGAATATAATAATAGTAATAATAAGAATAATAATAATAATAATAATTATACCCCACCCATCTGCCTGGGCTTTCCCAGCCACTCTGGGCAGCTTCCAACAAAATATTCAAATACAGCAATGCATCAAACATTAAAAGCTTCCCTAAACAGGGCTGCCTTCAGATGTCTTCTAAAAGTCTGATAGAATTGTGTTGTAGGTAGGTCTCAAACTCAATTTCTCACCTGTGAAATGAGACTATTTTTAGCCAAATCATCCTTGCTACTATGAGGAAGGATTAAAGAAAATATATGAAAAGCTTGTTTCGCTTTCATTAGAATATTTTATGGGAGTGAAGACATTGCAATGAAATTATTTTGCCAAGGTGTGTTCATGGACCACACAGATACAACAAAGCAGAGCTGTAGGCTCCTTTCTTTACTTTTGCAGGTTTCTCTTCCTTGCATCCTTGGATTTCTCTCTGCTATGTCAACCTGAGTTATCTGCATTGGTAAAGGCAGGTGACACAGTATATCCATGTACTCATGTTTGTGCAACACCCCTACAAATAGCTGGATGTCAGAGGCTAAGCTTAGGATCATAGCTGATTGTTTAAGACCAATACAATGTTATTTGCCAAAAGTGAAATGGAAAATAATCCACTGGAATAAAGTTCACGGCATGTAATGCCTTGAAAGAAAATATTATGAAAATGATATATAGGTGGTACATGACCCCAGTCAAGCTTGCAAAAATATACCACTTGCTAGATAATAAGTGTTGGAAATGTAAAGAAACTGAGGGAACATTCTTTCACCTTTGGTGGACATGCCCCAGGGTTAAGGCTTTCTGGGAAATGATCTATAATGAACTGAAAAAGGTATTCAAATATACTTTCCCTAAGAAACCAGAGGCCTTCCTTTTGGGCATTGTTGGCCAAATGGTGCCAAAGAAGGATAGAACTTTCTTTATGTATGCAGCAACAGCAGCAAGAATACTCATTGCAAAGCACTGGAAGACCCAAGATTTACCCACCCTGGAAGAATGGCAGATGCAACTGATAGACTATATGGAATTGGCAGAAATGACTGGCAGAATCCGAGACCTGGGAGAAGAGTTGGTGGAAGAGGACTGGAAGAAATTTAAAGACTACTTGCAAAAGCACTGTAAATTGTATGAATGCTAGAATGATGCGGGATATAAAGATAATATGGTATTAGTGATATAGTTGAAAGATGTATGCAAAAAAGGTTAACAGAACAAAGGTGAAGTCAGAACAACATTATGTCAAACTTAAACAAAATGAAAAAATGGGCAAAAATTGGAGACATAATAGTGGAAACGCATAATATGAAATAAGATTTGAAAGAAGGCGAGGTATTGCTGAATAAGATTTTGTAAAAGGGAACGCAGAAAAGGGAGATGCGAGGGAGTCCGGAAAGAGGGTTATGAGAATAATATCTAAGAAATTGGTTTTTTCTTTTTTATGTCTGTTCATGTATTTTTTCTTCTGTTTTTTTTGATGGGTTTTTTACTGTGTTTTTCTTTTTGATTCTTGAGTGGTGTTTTTTCTTTTTTTCTTATTTTGTATTGTGAAGTTTGTTTTATTGCTTGAAACTCTAATAAATATCTTTAAAAAAAACAAAAAAACAAAAGTGAAATGGAAAATAAAATCCAGTTTTAAAAAAGTACAATGAATACAGGAAGAATAATATTCATATGGTAAGCATATGAGCTGGCTGTGTGCAGGCACTCTGAACAGAAAAACATAATAATGTTGCAACCCAGAGTTTGAGTCAGATGCTTTGAAGTAAACTCATCCTTCACAGTTATAAGAAATAACAACAATGAATGATTTGTTAAAAATTTAACATGCTTGATAAAGTGAATCAGATGCATCTAGCAGTAGTCAGCTTGGCAAAAAACTTCAGATTTTTAAAAACAACCACTGCCTCAGATTAGATCTAATTAAGCACTTATCCAGTTTTCTATGACTTTGGGCGAAATTGCATGAAAGTCATGATGAGATTTCTCAAAATTTCATTCAAAGCAGATGTAGGCTGAAATTGATCAAGGTTTAACCCTTTCCCCCCACTACCTTTTGCCCTATAGAAATTGCTCCCCACTTCTAAATTGATGTTAGCCCATGTGGGGCTTCCCCACTCCTCAACTAGAACTAATAGCAGCTTTGCGATAATTGATTTTAGTTGGGGAAACAGTGTAGGGAAATGGAGTCAAATGCTTCCAATAGCACCAGTGACTGGATCCTGTTCAGGCCCTTCCCCAGTTGATTTTATACTTTAAAAAGAAGAAGTAAATGTCTCCTACATCATATATAGTTTGGGCCTTTGTTCCACAGCAGGAAAGAATGAAACAACATTTGCTATCCATGCATCTTGCAGAAAGATTTACCACCCGCTTATGATGGGGAATCTGTGCCACCTCCAGATTGTGCTGGACTCCAAATCCCATCCAGCAGCAAGTATGGCCAGTGTTCAGAGATGATGGGATTTGAACTTAAGTTCCTGCACCCAGGCTGCAAACTTTACTCATTGCACCACACTGGCTGAGCCATGATTTTAGTGTTTTTGAACTAATTCCTTTCAAGCATTTCCCCTCAAACAGTGTCAGTTTTGTTGTACAGAAATAAGAATACAGCACATTTTCTTTGCCTCTTAGTAACAGTCCAAAGGTCTTCCAGATCAGTGATTTTTAAAGTTGTTGGAATAAACGGGAGCTGCCACCAAGTGTGCTTTTTACACATTAGATATGCATTGTTTTGCATTTTATTCAGAAAATATGAATAACATAATGAAACAGATCCTGAAAAAGTGTTAAGCATCTTGCAGAAAGATTTACTACCCGCTTATGAATTTCAGTGTTAATCCACCTCCAAAGTCATGGAAGGAAGACCTAACCATAACTAGTTAGCAAAATACATGACTGTGTATTTGGGGACATAACTTACATAACTATTTCTACTCATCTTAAATCATTCTCTAATATGTAAGTTCTTTTAAATGCTTTCCCCACATACAATGAAGTCAATAATTGTTGGAAGCACAAACGTCTAGCTGATATGCAGAAAATCACAGAACCCTACAATTCTTTGATTTCCTACTTATCTTTGGGAACTACCCTTTTATTAGGCAACTTTGGAACTCATCTGAGATAATGTAGAACCAATGGCGGTGTTTGTCTACTTAGATCAGTTATACTGACAAATGTTGTGAATGTTCACAACTTAAAGTGCTTTGGATACACACACCATAATCACTCTAAAAGAGTTTTTTGTTCTGGTTTCCCCTTTTACAACATCTGGTATCAGCAAGCTTAAAGGTTGTGGGGCTTTCAGTATGACAGTCTTCTGTTCAGTCCCTAAAACACATCACAACCAAAGAGTTCTATCCGAAGTACAATACTCAGATTCCATGTTTTTGGAACGACACGAAGGAATCGGGAAAATATCGGTGGCCTGAAGTAGTTCTTGACTAGGCCACCACTGTTAATGTTGCCTGTGAACACCTGAAAACAAGCATAACAAAATGAGTGGACAATAGTGCAAAATGAATGCACAATGCACAGACAAAAGGTTGGACTAACTCATATTCCCACAATGGCGCATAATATCTAAGTTCATATAAACCTGTGCAGTCCCTTATGTGACAGGCCATTGGGCCATCTTTTGAGTCCACGGCAAACACTGTACCTATTATGATTCTCTATGTTCTCAGGCAGAGATCTTCCCAAGTTCCATTTCCCCACAGTGGGGTGGGAGGATCCGCTACACATTAGAATTTGGACCTAAGGCCTCTAGCTTTTGATCTTTACAATAAAAACACTGTTCGGAGATGTAGCTCCAGTATTTTATTCCACGTTACACAAGCCATATCTAATGATCACTGGTCCCTATATTGCTTGTAAGAACTCTAAATCCTTGGTGAAGCAAAATGATTTGGCAGTATAGAGTCACTGAGGCAATTCAAGACTGTTAAAGGAGACCTCAGTAGTAGGGGGGAGTGGCCAACATTTTTAATGCTTAGCATAAATGAAAATAATAAATAGGGAGGGAGATGAAGAATTGGTACCTTTTCCATGGAAGTTGAATCATTCATGTAAGGCTTCCACACTGAACCATCATCGCTGTAGAGGATGGAAAATGTCTTCACATACATTTCACTGTACATTGATTTAGCTCCTTGTGTTATGATGCCTGTTATCTTCTTAGGTTGAAGGAGATCAATCTGCAGCCATTGTTGGTTGTTGTTAGACTGTAAAATTAATGAGAACAATAATTCACTGGTGAATATCCAATACTTGCAAATCTTTAACTGAGTTCTACAGAAGTGCACAGGGTCACTGAACACTGGACGAAGACTCTAAAATAGCCAAGTGTTTAGCATCCTTCCATGTGTTCTTTATTTAATTATATGTATTAGTTGACCTACAATCAAAATAATTTGTGAAGTGGAAGCAATTCAAAGAAAATAAAACACAGTTGTTAAAAGATAGCAATGAAAAATTTAAAGCTAAATAACCAACACTTCATTCAAGCACAATTCCATATATGTCTGCTCAGAAGTAAGTCCTATTAAGCTCAGTATTCCAGGGTTAAGTGTGTATATTAATCAAGGATATCACCTGCAGGCATTACAGCTGCTGATCCTGTGTACACTGGAGTAGATCCAATGACTTCAAGCTACAGGTATTATTATTTTTTAACAGAGTTCATTCACTAGCACTAGCGCTAACTTCTTTCCTCTTTTTCTGTTGATTTCTTTATATGCTATTTTAATATGATGGTTAGCTTGTGTGCGACCCTGATTATTTCATTTTTACTCTACTTTTACATTATTAAAAAAATAAACAACTGCAGAAGCTTCGATTTTGCAGCTTTCGTCTTTACCTTTGCTTGCCAGGCATTCATCTTCCCTTTGAGATTGAGGCGGGCAAGAGATGGCTCCCATGAACCCAACCAAGTCTTCTTATAAGAAGAGGCTGTAATTTGCACATTCTTGATAGCCGCACTTTCAATTCCCAACGGCATAAAGCAATCTATCATAAAAAATATGGACACATCCTGGTTAGATCTCCTAAGCAACAGTATGGTTTACAGCAAAGATGTACACACAGAAAGGCCTCAGCTGCAGGATCCAGGTCTTACCTTCCGTATCACAACCCAGGAGCTCCATACGAAGAGTAGGCCTGTTATAGAACTTGGTTGGATACACCCTAATATACCTAGCAACAAGAGGAGGGTCAATGAGGTTTTCTTTTATTCCATGGGCATCTGAATTGCCTTCAAAAACCTAGTGGAAACAAAAGAGCTCTGTAAGTAACTCTGCGGTATTTGTTAATGGATAAGTGTCTCACATATATTTTCTTATATGGATTCTGCCCATTTGCCTGTTCAGACCCAGAAACCTCCCCCAAATTCACACTTGACTCAAATTTTAGTTTTGGTTTTTGGCAGAATTTAGGCCCAACTTTATTGATTACAGAAAGTGATTGGTTGCATAGGCTCTGGTTCGACTAGCTCCCTACCATGCAGGTAGCGCTGACCCAGTGTTCCAGCATAGGTCAGCCAAGGGTGAACACCTGGATAAGCGAAAAGTCGGGAACGGACTATGTCCGCCACACAAATGTCCCCCTGGACTCAGGCATGTGCACAACCCCCTCGCAGGGGTGGACCAAACCATTTGAGTCCCTGGATTCCTTTCACAGGAAACGCTTCACATAGGGATGGCGAGAGTCTTCTCCCATCCCTATCACCTAAACCAGAGCCTATCCGCAACCCTACAAGTTGTGACGATTTGTTACACAGCAGGCGAAACGCAAATGGCACCAGCCAATCAGCCAAGTGGGGGAAATTCCTGCTGTGTCCCTGTCCCAACGACAGATGACACACAACGGCATAGCAAGGTCAAGCGCAAAAGCCCTAAAAGTAGGGAGAGGTGGGCAGGTGTTCCGAATGCACAAACCAAAAGAGGAAGCTCTGGGTCACGTGCATAGGTATAAATAGGTCCCTCGAACCGTTTGGACTGTGTCCCATTGGCCAGATTGCACCTAGCTACGAGGGACCTACCAATCGGGTGTTGTGGCTGACAAATCTTGCCCACCCACAACAGAGGGGATCGGTTTCCAGGTCTCACCGCAACATGTGCCCTCTTTAAGGGAGGACAGGATTTCTATACAATTTCTCGGGCTAAAAAAGATGGACCATAACAGCCCTGAACCAATTTTTATTCCAGTTAACCATGCATAATAAATGGTGGCTCTCTAGGTGGAGATGTGTTTCAGAAGATGCACCCAGCCAGTTCAGTGGGGACTGGATGAGAATTGCAATATGAATGGAGATACACATGTCAATGCACATTTATATCCTCATGGGCTACATGTGGAAAAGGTTACTTTCATGTGGTCATATATGTTTAGCACTGGCATCTAGTATTCATATAAGTTTAGCATTTGTATTCTCATATTTATTTATTATTAAGTTTACATCCCACCTTTCCTTCAAGGAGCTCAAGGTGGCATACTTGGTTCTCTGTCTCACTGTGATTTTTAATTTTTTATTTATTTCTATACTGCTATATTATTTTTAAAAATCAACGTGGTTTACAGTACCTATATGCAATAAGACATGTAAAAATTTAAAATCAGAGACCATCAACTAACTTTTTCTTAATTACCTGCATAAGACTAGCAGCACAGAAAAGTTTTCAACAGGCATTTTAAGGTTGAAACTAGAGGTGCCTGCTGAATCCCTATTGGCAGAGCATTCCACAGGACTAGGCTGATCAAACTAAAGGTTCTATTTCATGCTGATGTCAAATGAGCCTTGCCATCTCAAGTGGCACTCCTGCAAATGTTCGCAGTGATCAAGCTGGGATATTAGGGTTTAGGCGAGGGGTCTGCAACCTTTAAGACACAAAGAGCCACTTGGACCCGTTTCCGAAGAAAAAAAATTGGGAGCCGCAAAACTCGTCATTATAAAAATAACTTTTTTGTCACTTTTTTATTATTTGTTTGACCCCTCAGAATTACTCCTCCTCATAGAAATAAACGTTAAATTAACAAGTTACCTTTTTGTGTGTGTGTGTTCTTCACTCCCCTTTCAATGCAGTGACCAGCGTACATGCCCCTTACAATGTAGCGGGCGGGTGGGAAGGTGACGTCGGGACGGTGCGTGAGTAACGCACGCACGGCCCCCATGCAACGTCACAGCCAGTACAGCGCCTGCCGCAGTGGGGAGTGTCGGGGTGCATAATGCGCCTCCTCCCCTCGCTAGTATCCGCCCCAGAGCCGCGGCAAAGGTGTAAAAAAGCCACATGCGGCTCCGGAGCCGCGGGTTGCAGACCCCTGGTTTAGGCAATTCCTATGGTACTCTAGACCTAAATTAAAGCAAGCAGACTCTGTAGTAGATGCACAGCCAGTGCAGGTATTTTTACAATGGTGTTGCAAAATAAAAAAATAAAATAAAATAAAATTATTATTACCCCACCCATATTCCAACACACATAAAAATAATAAAATATCAAACATTAATAGTAACAATCTGATCCTATAAAAAAGTCACAATAACTTTAAAATAAACAATTTATATAAAATAAAGCAATATTCAAGAATCCATTAGAATCCAACAGTAAACAGTAAAATTAAACATCAGCAAATAATAATTTAACAGTCTGCACTTATCAATTACAATAAAGAACAGGTAGCAGAACAGGTCTCTTATAAAGGCTCCCAGGGCTGGAAGGTGGAGCAAGGCAGGTGAAAAAGCTAACCTCAAAACACTGTAAAGTAGACTGGCCCAAGGTCACCCACTAAGCTTCATGGCTGAGTGGAAATTTGAACCCTGATCTCCTTTGTCATAGTCCAGGAGTCTAACAGTAACAACTGCACCACATTGGCTCTCTTTAATATAATCCCTTGAGCAAAAACTTCAACGCCTGCTGCCTTTTTTCCCCTCAAGTGGAAAACAGGGACAAGTACAGTAAATATACACACCTTCTGTGCCCCTAAGTGATTCCCTTTAAAAGCAACCCATTTTCTTCCATCTTTGCTGTAGGCAATGACGTACTCCATTGTATACAAGGAACGCATTAACTGCTTGGCTCCTTGGGTCTGAATGCCTGTGATTAGAACCTGGTTTTCTAGGTCCACCTATACAGGAGCAAAACAGTAGATCCATATAAGTGCAGTTTCATTGGAAAGGTATCCTCTTTGTGAGAAAGACAAGTGTGATTTTGGCACATGCACACGTAAAACTCCATGCTACAGTGGTGCCTCGCAAGACGAAATTAATTCGTTCCGCGAGTTTTGTCGTCTTGCGATTTTTTTTCGTCTTGCGAAGCACGGTGTCGGAAAAGTTTTGGAAAAGCTTCAAAAATCACCAAAGTCTTCAAAAACCTCAAAAAAGGCTACCACACCGCGTGCTATGAGTTGCTCCTCGAAGTCAAGTCGCAACTGTATTAACGGTGTTAAGAAAAAGGAAACAAACTTGCAAGACGTTTCCGTCTTGCGAAGCAAGCCCATAGGGAAAATCGTCTTGCGAAGCAGCTCAAAAAACAAAAAACCCTTTCGTCTTGCGGGTTTTCCGTCTTGCGAGGCATTCGTCTTGCGAGGTACCACTGTATATGTGTATGTTGTGACAGCCAGTTTATTTTTATTTTTCAATGTTCATTTTTTCATATAATATGCAGCTTTATTGTTTTTCTTTCTGTCTGTAATGATGCTACTGAGAAAGACAAAAACATATGCAAGATAGTTAGGATCTGGGGCCCCTTCCAGATCACTGGGCCCCAGTAATTTGTACCAGCTCCCCGCTGCTGTCCTTGTCAGCCTTGGTGCTCATTATGCTATTGGGGAAATCATACACAATCCCACCTTTGATACTGTTTGTGCCAGCAAATGTTTTGGGGCAGTCACACTGTTTCATTTCCAATCAGTGCACACAGAATACAGGACATCCACCACAGAAGACAGTTCCACTAGGCAGGCATGGCCAAACTTGGCCCTCCAGATGTTTTGGGACTACAACTCCCATCATCCCTAGCTAACAGGACCAGTGGTCAGGGATGATGGGAATTTTAGGCCCAAAACATCTGGAGAGCCAAGTTTAGCCATACCTGCACTAGTGCTTCAATAAACTACCTGCCTAGGATGGCTAAAACAAGACTTTTTAAGAGCAAGGTACATTTCCTTAGAGGTTTATGCAGTCCTACTTTAGAGTTAAGCAATTTGGGGCACTTGAAATAAGTAAAATCAAGAGTCTCATGCAGGACAAAAAACCCCATACCAAAACTGGAAAAACATTTGGCATCTGCATGATTGCACAGTGATAGGAATATATAACTGGATACAGCAAAGATCTTCTGACCTCCTGAAGGCTATGAACCGTTTTGTAGCAAGGGGCAAACAGAGAGCAAGTCAGAAGTAGAAAACAACACTTTTGTTGATAGGTCATATTTTCCTTTAAAATCATATTTTCCTTCTAAGTTCTGGGGGCATTGTCTTTTATTTTTGTTCTTTCAGTAGTGGTACTATTTACCAGTACAAAAGCCCCTTCTCTAGATATTCAGAATTCAAACAAACAGTATTAAGTGACCTTTCTACCCTAGCTGATGAAGCAGGAGAAGTGTGCCAAAAAGTTAACTATTGCCCTAAGCACACAAGCAAGGCCTCAGATAGACCTCAAATCTCTCTCTGTCTCAGCCATGAACTTCAGAAAGATGTTTCAAAACATTCATAGCCACTACAATAGGCTTAATCTTTTCTTTTTCAAAGATGACACAGAACTGCAGAGTTGAGAAGATTACAGATGTGATCACAGGGCCTATAGGTCAATCCCCTATTCCCAGACCCAAAGAACTTTTAACCCACTGATTGTTATCTCATCACAAACAACCTATTGGGCCACCAGATGACTCACACAAGACTGTCAAGAAGACACACAGGCCCAGCCAGGCATCTTTCGGCAATTTGGCCTGACACCAAACATGGCAATCCATCAGATTATATTGATACAAATCCACACCACCCAGCATCTCATCTCAGATTGAAGCTGTCCCTGATACCTTCAAAGAAGAGGGAAGGTATAAGCTTTCCAAAGCTCATAAAAGCAAAATATGACCCCAACAGTCTCAAATGGAAGAATATGAATTTTTTTAAAGCCCCACAAATTTAAGAACAAGCCCATCAAAGTCCAGTGTCCTGTTCTGACAGGCCAGCCAGATGCCTGAAGGAAGCCCACAAGCAGCGCTGGAATGCGACAGCGCTCCCCACATTTGTGACTCCTAGGAACTGGTATTCAGAGGCATGATGTCCTGGATAGTAGTGATGGAACATTTGTTTAATCCTCTTATAAAGTCATCCAAGTTGGTGGTAGCTCTACATTTTCTGAAAGTGAATTCCAGAGTTTAGCTTTGCATGAAAATAGAATTTATTTGGTCTGTCCTGATTCTTCCATCATTTAGCTTTATTGGACAGTCCTGTGAGTTCTGGTATAATGAGAGAAAATTTCACCACGTTCTCCACACCATGCATTATCTTATAGACCTCTGTCATGCCCCACCCCTCGCTCCGCTTTTTATTTAAGCTGAAAAGGCCCAATTGTTGCCACCTTTTCTCATAGGGGAGTTGTTCCAGCTCCTTAATCATATTGCATGCTCTTTTCTGAACATTTTCCATTTTTGCAGTTACAAGAGATGTTTAATAAATCTATCCTACTCTGTTTCAGGTACAACAATGCTCTTTGGCCTGCAACTTTATCCATCAGGCTATTCCAGAAGTTCAAAGCTAAAGGACCTTCTGATGTCTAGTCTATTGGTTCTTTTACCCACACAGGCCATCATACCTTCCACTCAGCATTTCTTTTTTAAGCTAAAAAAGAAAAGCAAGCTATTTTAAATCAAGTTACTTCAAATCTATACTCATAAAACTGTTTCTGTGATCAAATCATACCTGGATCCAGGGAAGTTCACTTTCGTTCTTCCCAGCACTCCAAGCATTGTATTTTCCATCATTATTTAATCTTGCCAGTTTAGGCTCCCAGTATCCTGGATAAGACCAAACAGAAAATGTATTGCAAAAGGAAACTGAAAAGCTTAAACGATGCCAGTTTTCAGAACAATTGTTTCAAAAAAGCAGTTTAGTGGTTGTAAACAACATTATTAACAATAAATAAAAGCTATTGAATCCCATTACAAACTACAATAGGCTAACACATTCTAACCCAACAGAACAGCCAAGGTCTTTACCATCCTTTTTTGCATGCTCCTTGCGTTTTTGATGGAAACACGTTTGAACTGACTGATTCATTCATGACAAGAATGGACAAGATACTAAACATTATCAATAATACATTTGCAATCTCTAAACAAAATAGTGAGTGAGATTTTTTTTAAAAAAAAAAACCACCTGCTTTTAGGAGCAGTAAGGTAAAGGACCCGTGACAGTTAAGTCCAGTCATGAATGACTCTGGGGTTGTGGTGCTCATCTCGCTTTACTGGCCGAGGGAGCCAGCATTTGTCCACAGACAGTTTTCCGGGTCATGTGGCCAGCATGACTAAGCCGCTTCTGGCGAAACCAGAGCAATGCACAGAAATGCCATTTACCTTCCCGCCGGAGCAGTACCTATTTATCTACTTGACCTGTGTGCTTTCGAACTGCTAGGTTGGCAGGAGCAGGGACCGAGCAACGGGAGCTCACCCCATCACGGGGATTCGAACCTTCCAAACGGCAAGCCCAAGGCTCAGTGGTTTACACCACAGCGCCACCCACGTCCCTCTTAGGAGTGGTCTAGAACTTGCTAAAAAAAAAACATTCTAATGCATTTCAAATGAAAAATTTGCTGTTGCTAATTCATCACCAGCAGGGCAAGTCGTAGGTTGAGATGGCATTTTCAGAACCAATTTATAGAGCAGGTCTTTGCTTGCTAAACCAAACACCATCACAAACCACACTGAATGGCTGAGAAACTGACCTGTCAAATTAGAGCAGCCAGAGGCAAGCATAATCTATTTTCATTTTGCAATATGTGGCAAATATTTATGTAATATATTAATCGTGGACTATGGTAAGAAACTAACAAATATGGAAAAAATGGGGCGATGTTTTTTAGAATAATAATTAAAATACACCATAAGAGTCTGTACAAATGCCAGGACAATTCACAATTGTTTGTATTTGGAAAAAATTGTGTTGCTGTTGCTGTAATATTGTAAAGATTACAATATTGTAATATTTATAAATATTGTAAATAAAAATATTTAAACAAACAAGTTATATTCAGTATGTTATATTGCATGCCTACTAATTAGTATATTACCCATCTGTGCTGTCCATTTTGGTACCATGAAAGATAATTTATGTCTACCACAATGGGAAAAAATGGAAGTGTTAATGCTGGGCCACTACAGAACGTGGATGTTCATTAAAGCAGTAGTCTATTGTGTAGTGGTTCCATTGCTAGAGGCTAAAATTTAAAGTATATCACTCGCAAAGAGACAAAACATATTCAGCTTAACGACTTAAATTCCTTCACTTTGAAATTTAACTTACCTATGTAGTTTGAAGCACTGATCTGTGAGTCTTTTATAATGCCACTTGCTAGACCCATGGGCAGCTTGCATCCTATTGAAAGGGATCAAACGCATTAGCCCTACCTAAATTCTGGTGCTAGGCAGAGCAATCCTATACCCTAGGTTACACCTGGGGGTGAGATGGAGATGCACCATTGCTATATCTTGTGTGCACTTAGTCTAGGATGTGAAAGAAAAAATACACAGCCAGACTTTTTTAAAAAAAACAAACAGCATAAAAATGGCAGACATGATCCCAGCATCCCTGGAAACTCTGCCAGTACCCACCAAACAGGGCCTGTCCCAGTGACAATGGGTTGCATCCAACAAAGTTTTCATCAAAATAGACTCATTGAAATTAATAGACCTGAGTAAGCCATCTTGATTAATTTCAGTGCATCTACTCTGAGTTGTTAGGATTCTTGCTCCGTGTTTGCAGTCATGGGATTGTTGTCTATCACATGACGGTGTATGTTTACATTCCACAGTGTGGGAAGTGACGGAAACAGGATGTTTTGGTATTACTGTGTTCCGTGAAGTGGGACTATTGTCCTTTGTTCTTTCTCTTTTTGCTGTCTGATGAGAAAGAGGAAGGAGCTAAGTCAGAATGCTCTGAGTGTATTATATGTAAATAAAAAATAGATTAGCCAAAATGCTGTGCTACTGAGTTCTGTTACGCAAACTGCAAATACTCTGCAGGATCGTACGTGTGCTGATGCCTCTTGGTATCAGTCGCTGTGATGTTCGAGCTGAAGAAAGCTTTTGAAGCTCCCGAATGATCGACCAGGAGGGAGAGAACATGCTAGTTAGGCATGTGTCTCTGCCAGGGTCCTACACGCAAGTAGGACGAGCCTAACAGTTGGACCAGTACTGTATTGGATATAAAACAATGCTAATTTACTAGCAATAGCTTGAAGTCCAACTGCACACACACTGCTTCCCAACCATGCAGTGACACTTATGTGCCTTGTTTTGTGAGATTCAATATGGTTAAACTCTGTTACCTGTATCTATAACAGTAAAGGAGGCTTGCATTCCTGCTTCCTGATATTCACCGACTTCTGTTTTTAAAAGCCATGTGCCAGCTCCTGACGGTTTCATTTCAACAGTACCAAATGAACCTTCAAAGCAGAAAGGAAATGCATGCACATTTTTGTTAAGCATGCCTAAACTGAAAATTGTGGTCAGAAGATGAGTAGAGCAGCATCATATTAAACCAAAGCCTGCTCTGTTTTTTATGATTCTGCACTAACAGGAATTAGACATCAGGTGCAAGGTTCCTGAACTTTCACAAACATCCAGTTTTTTTGCTTGCTCTTGGTTAAATCATATTCAGCTTTAGACTGCCGGCTATGCATTCTCATGCTGTATTTTCACTACATACGTTAGGATTTTTGATAAAAATCAATAAAGCAGAGCAGATCTGTAGACAAGAACATTTTCTCTTTGCATACTAACTTGTATTCAACCCAGTCTGCAAAGAGAAATGCTTAGCCCGATGTCAAGGTGATCGCAGGTGATTGACAGGTGGTTGGTGCCTGCTCACCTGTCAAAGTGGCCTGTGGCGATAGAGAATATTAGGATCCAGACTACCAGCTGGGCCCAGTTCGTCACCCCTCTTCTTATGTAACCTAAAGGAGTTTGCCAGTGCATCTCAGAAGGCTAATGGAGGCAAAGTAGAGTCTATTGCAATAATTTCTCAACCATTTACCATGGAAATCAGGGGTTGTTTATATGCTGATATGGACTGGGTCATTTGTCATTCTTTAAAAAAATATATTCTTTTTTTATTCCAATTGATATAACTACTTAAGAATTCTTCAGAGTCAAGAGCCCAACACCATAGAGAAGAGCATTTACTTTTCTGACAACAATATACGGAACCATCTGATTATATTTACCAGGAAGAAGAGGGTAGACACCAAGCCGATGATCTTCCCTTCCCTGTTCTGTGAATGTCTGACCGTGGAAATTAACAACATGAATGTCTTTTGGCCCACCCATGTTTATCAAATGCCAGTGGACCTTCTCATCCTTAAACATCCGCAACCCCTGAAGGTGGTATGAAACCCCATTAATAGCTGGAACAAAAAAGAACATGTGATCAGAGATTAAGAAACAGCACACATATCCTTCTGCGGTTGTTGTTTTTTTAAAAAAACATTGAGATGCATAACTGCAATTTCTATAACTACTTAGTTCTTCAAAGCCTTGACATAGAAGAATATTTCAGCTCCATGGTTTAATTAAGATAGTATCATGATAGCATACAGTAGTAACCTGGAAATCTAACAGTCTTGTGGCAACATTGGGTAATTTGTTTTTTGCTGTCACCAGGGGCGGCACGTCCTGTTTCACCTCTTTCTCTGAAGCTGCAGAAGCCTCTAATAATCCCCACCACCACTACCTGAAGTTGCTAGTAGCAAATGAAGATTTACAGGCACAACCATCCAAACTGGGAAACGCCAACTGGCTGGTTTTACAAGACAACAATTATGTTGGAAGTTCTAATCACAGAACCACAACACATAGCTTGTCCCTATTTTCTCAATGGAGGCATCACCTTCAAATAATGCACCCAGGAACTGTGCTCCTTGCCACCTGCGATTTCCAAGGGCTTTAGCGAAATTAGCTTTACAAATGTCAGGATGTGGAAAATCAAAATGGATGTAATCCAGTCAGCACTAAATACCTCAAGCCCTTCCAGTTTAAATGGAAAGGAGTTAAATATAAGCTCAAATCCAAGTGGTTTAAAACTTTTTAACTTTTGCTCATTAGTGCCCACTGATGGGATAAACAATGGCCTTGAGGAATATCTCTGCCTTTCTAGTTAAACTTTATTTAAATAGAATAATTCAATTTGAAAGGGAGAGTAAGGATGCAGTGTTAAGTTTGAAGAATAGGGAGAAAACTGACTTGCGTATTATGATGGAGGTTAATTATATTTTTCTGTTAACAAAATATTAACAAAATACATTGACATGTATCAAGAGCGGGGCCTTGGAATGAAACAGGAAAATATTTGAAGCAAAAAATAAGATCAGATGAGTTTGATATTAGTGCAAGGGAATAGTTAATAGCAGGACTGGTTGTACTAAAACAATTTGAGACCTCTGATTGTAAATCTATATTTGAACTCTTATCAGGAACATGGGTGACAACAGAGAGAGAGAAAATCTCATGCAAGTGTTTTGTGTCTGTAAAATGTTAACATTCAGAAAACATCCCTATCATTTTTCTTCAATATAGTCATAGTTATTATTCGCCATCACTAGGGATCTTATAGTAGACAAAGGAAAACATCTATACCAGGAAATTTATGGTGCCTTTTTGCTCCGGAAATTCTCTCAGCATGAGTCTTTCTTTTATATTTATTGAAGTACCAGCTTTTCTCCTCATCAAAGACCATAAAAAGCAGGACAAATTCTCTCATGTCCTTTGGCTTGCTATACTTGTCAAGCATTCCTTTTTGACAGATCAAGACTGGCCCAATCAAGCCAGAGTGAATATCTTTTTCCTACAAAACAAGACAGGAAAGAGGTTCCAAAATTAGTTTCTCAGGTAAATGAATTGCTGCTCTTGTGGTTTATTTGAAAGCATCAGTTCACTTCATTCTGATGCAGATATATTAATATGTAATAAATTTAAACTGTTTAAATCCTGAATTTTAAATTGCTGTAACCTGTCCTGGGACCAGCTTGTGAAAGGCTGATAATAAATTAAATCATATTAGTAATTCATGAATGTTAAATGTTAAGGGAATCTCAAATCCAAGATATATCTGAAAAGCAAAAGGCATACAAATTTGAAGCCAAATTAGCCAACATGTTCTTCATTACCGTTGAAAGAATTCATTTCCCTTTTCACTCAGAGAGTATTTCCACAGAAGTATTACTGCTTTAAAACAAAAACAAAAACTTTCTGTATTAGATTGCCTTACCGGGTTTACAGCAGAGTAGTAAGCCCAGGATCGACATGTTCTCTGACCTTCTGGAGGTCCTGACCGTTGGGTCACATGCCAGACGTAAGTATAGGTGCCATTTGGCAGGATTGCGTCATCCTCTTTAAACCATTTTGGAGACTGGTCATCATAGCTTCTACCCTCAGAAGACTTTTCATAATAAAGCCCATGGGCATGGAGAGAATATGGCCTGGAGGCCAGATTTTTAAAGTGAATCTATAATAATAATAATAATAATAATAATAATAATAATAATAATAATAATTTATTTACACCCTGCCCATCTGGGCAGCTCCCAACATCATCATCATCATCATCAAGCGATAAAATATCAAACATTAAAAACTTCCCAAAACAGGGTTGCTTTCAGGTGTCTCCTAAAAGTCAGGTAGTTGTTTACAATCGTACCTTGGAAGTCGAACAGAATCTGTTCCGGAAGTCCCTTCGACTTCCAAAAGTTTAGGAAATCAAAGTGCGGCTTCTGATTGGCTGCAGGACGTTCCTGCAGCCAATCAGAAGCCACGGAAGCCGTGCTGGACATTCGGGTTCCAAAGAACATTTGCAGACTTGAACACTCACTTCTGGGTTTGCGACATCCAGAAGCCAAAATGTCCAAGTACCAAGGCATACGGGATCCAAGGGATGACTGTATTTCCTTGACATCTGATGGGAGGGCGTTCCACAGGGTGGGCACCACCACCAAGCAGGCCCTCTGCCTGGTTGAATGGACAGCGATTAGCAGTTATGAGGGTGGAAAACCTCCCTTCCAAAAGGTTAGCTTTCTGGAGTTATCCTGGGTTCAGATTTTGGAGACTACATCTAGTCACATCTAGAACTCCGCTCCCATGGGAAAATTTCTTTGAAACTATAGACAGGTTAGAAAATCTGTCTTGGGATGTACTAAACTTGACATGAGCCAACAATGTGACGCGGCAGCTAAAAAAGCCAATGCAATTCTGGGCCTCATCAATAGGAGTATAGCATCTAGATCAAGGGAAGTAATAGTGCCACTATATTCTGCTCTGGTCAGACCTCACCTGGAGTACTGTGTCCAGTTCTGGGCACCACAGTTCAAGAAGGACACTGACAAACTGGAACGTGTCCAGAGGAGGGCAACCAAAATGGTCAAAGGCCTGGAAACGATGCCTTATGAGGAACGGCTAAGGGAGCTGGGCATGTTTAGCCTGGAGAAGAGGAGGTTACGGGGTGATATGATAGCCATGTACAAATATATAAAAGGATGTCACATAGAGGAGGGAGAAAGGCTGTTTTCTGCTGCTCCAGAGAAGCGGACACGGAGCAATGGATCCAAACTACAAGAAAGTTTGTGCACAGCTGTCTGTCTGTACAGATCAACAAGCTGGGCATATGCAATGGTTTAATTATAAATGGTTGTCGCTATCTGTCTTCTAACTGTAACCAAGTTGTTTAATTTAGGAACAATACAAGCTGCCTTGTAGAGAGTCAGACCATTGATCCATCTAGCTCAGTACTGTCTTCACTACCTGGCAGTAGCTCTCCAGAATTTCACAAAAGGAGCAATTCACAGCCCTACCTGGAATTTAGATTTGCTATGCATTTCTGCTCCCATGTATGGCACACATAAATTAGTACTACAGTAATCCTACTCTGTGTATTCTTAACAAGCTCAGTTCTCTAAGCGTTGATACTCATGTAGTCAAAATCCACACCAAAGAATATCTGCAGGCTTGGAGGTAAGTCTTGAAGTTTGCTTAAGTTAAAAAAAAATAGAAAAGAATCTAGGAGGAACTCCCCCACCCCAAAAAAGGCCACCAGTCCAATGAGGACTGGACATGCTCAGTAGCCATTGAATGCTAAGTGTCTGTTGGAGGGAAATGGAAAACTGGGGGGAGAGAATGGAACCCTGAAAGAAGACATGGCTGGCTGATTTGAATCATTTTGCTAGCGGTTTTGATTTTAAAATGGCAGCATAGATCTAAAATAAATAAATACACGGGCACTGAAAAGGAACACATTACACTGCCGCATTTTGTTGCAGGTCAGTTTGTAGTGCATGAATTTCATTGCTGTCGGTGGAAGTTTCCTTCAACCATGTTTCACACTTTCAAGAGTTGGGGGTAATGAGAAGGAAAGGAAAGTCACTTCACCTTTGCTTTCTGCAGTAGAAAATCTCATAGGAGAAGTAAGACTAAGAAACCCTTATGTGTTATGCATGTAAATGGACTACAGCAGGGAGAAGGAACCTGTGGTCCTCCAGATATGGCTGACTTCAAAAGCCATTCATCCCTGACTACTGGCCATACTGACTGGGGCTGATGGAAGTCAAACAAAATCTGGGAGGCATATCACATATTCCCCCCCCCCATGCTATAAGAAGTTCATGCAATATTGTTGCATTCAGCAATTGCGAGTAGTTCACTGCATTCAAAGGATTCAGATTTGTTAACAGGGTTTACATACGCTTCAGGTTAATACTTCAGTACAGACTCTGCAAAGAAATAGTACTCGAGTTAAGAACTTTGCTTCAGGATAGAACAGAAATTGTGCACAGCGCACAGCAGGAGACCCATTAGCTAAAGTGGTGCTCAGGTAAGAACATTTCAGGTTAGCGCTCTGGACAAAATATTAACCGAGTCCACGGTATGCTTCTATTTTCATTAGTAATGCCCATTCCTGAACTCAGCCACAAGAAGACACATGGTCTTTTAGGGAATTTTAAAATTTATTTTAACACACCCTAACCAAAATGAAATCCATTTTTTTATTTTGAAGTTATTAAAAAGGGGAAAAAATGCCCTCAATTATTCAAAGACTGGGAACATGAACTTACTTGGATGACATCATCCACCTCAGCTCTAATGACAGGACCTAGGATGCCAAGGTGTTCCTCATATTCGCCTGCAGCTTCAGGTGTCCTAAACGTATCATCTTGATAACTTCGGAAAATCACTTTTTTGTACCCTGTCCTGGCTGAGCCACTTTTCACTGTACTGAGGACATGGAAGGATTGAGATGAGAAGACTGTCAATAAACAATAACTTTTTTGTTGGTAAATTTTGGAGACTTGAGAGACACTTGGAGACTGAGAAATGGTGAAGCTACTGCAGAACCAAAGCAAAAGTGCATCTATATCACCTCTGTGACTCTGGCCCAATCTGCTCCGTACATTTAAAGCTCTATCACACCACTTTAAACAGTCATGGCTTCCCCCAAAGAATCATGGGAACTGTAGTTTGTTAAGAATGCTGAGCATTGTTAGGTGAACATATTCCTCTCACAGAGCTATAATTGTCAGATTGGTTTAACAGTCAATTCCTATTCCTAGGGAACTTTGAGAATTGTAGCTCACAGGGCCCTTCTGTATAGAGAGGATGAGATTTACCCAACTCCTTCTTTGTTGCCGTTGTAGGCAGAAACTAAAAATCATGTTTCTTTGAATGACTACTGCTGCTGTTTTTAACTTGATTGCCGTTTTTTTTTTTAAGATGGCATGGCTTACATGAACATTTTTCCTAACTGGCATGACGTTTTTGTTTTTAACTGCATTGTACATTTTGGAGGTGAAATGTTCTACAAACAGCAGAGTGGGATAAAAATATTAAACATTAACTGATTTAATATAACTAAGCAAACATGGTTGCATTTGCTCGTCTGCTTAGAGGCGCTCAGTCTACTTCCTGAAACAGCCCCACAGAGGTATCTTGTGCTTTAAAGAAAGACAATAAAGAGACTGGATTGTGCCCAGCGTTGCTGTTCTGCTTCAGAAACATACTTCTGCTTGTGCAATGAATCTTTGCCCTCCTCTCCCTGCAGCCCCTCATGCACCCTCAAAATCTGCTCTAGAGGGTTGAAGGACCATCCTGAACAGATTTTGAGGACGTATAGGGAGCAAGAAGGGAAAGTCCCCTTGCATGAGCGGAACTCTACGCATGACAAAGTGGTACAACCCATTATCCCCTAATGAATAAATTAAAAAAGAATAGTTTCCTAGATTTGTGGGCTTAACCACCTGATTCTGATGATCAAGAAGTACCCAAAATCGATCAGTCCTGATGGAGTGTGCGTGGACTGTTGATGAGTTGTTGCTTTACGGTTATATTATTTATTGCTCTTTTCATCATGTGTTGCTTTATATTGTAAGCCACTTTGGGCAACCATTTGCCCAGAAACAAATGGCCTTATTTATTTATTATAAATGAAAACAGCCAATTAATAAAGACTGACGTATTCTAAAAGGTATTAAGCTGCAAATCTAAACACAAATACCAAGGGGGGATTTGCATCTGAGTAGACATGTATAGAATTGCACTGCTTAGCGTGTCGCACTAAAGCCAGCAAGATGGAATTGGGTCAGAGAGAAATAATTCATCCAAACCTTTTTCTTGGTCCCGCATAATCCCAGAGAACCTCTTCAGTTGCAATGTAGTATCTCCTTATGTTTGCATTGTTCATAGTCCGAATGTAACGCTTAGCTATGTCATCTGGGTTACGTGCTGTATAACTGTCAAGTCGGGGGTCTCTTATATACGGGTTGTGATAGTGTACTGTCTCATATTCATAAGAGCCACTGATGCTGTCGTCATAGACTGTGCTGTCTATGTCATATTCCATATATTCCCCATCGTCGCCTATAAAACCTAATTTGACCTCTGGTTTATCCACTTTTGGTGTCAAAGTATCATACACCTCATTTGGCAGCATGGTATGGTTGCGTTCAATGGAGGCTTGCTTGCTGCCAAATCCTCTAGGTGACATTAGAGGTTTGGAAGTTCTCGGTGCTAAGACTCTTGGCTTTCTTTTCTTTCGCCGAGCCTTCTGGAAAGTTCCAGGTGTACTGACGGTACAATTCTCCTTTCTCTTTTCATTCAGGGCTTCCTGCTTGCTATTGTTATTCATTTCTAATTGGCCTAACTCAAGCTGGGAGTCAGCTTTGTATGTCTCCTGCTTTCTCTTGCTAGGGAACATGGTATTTTCTGGATACAAGGTGACATTTCTGGAGCTGTTCTGTAGTTTATTGTCAACAGGTTTGGTGAGATCTGCTTCTGTATCATAAAGCACCTTCTCAGAAACAACATTCCATTCAGAAGCCGTCTTTTTGGGAGGACACTTTGGCCTCTGCTGAGGTGAGTCCTTCAAATTCTCTGTGGGCTTTGGGATGGGAGTAGAAGCAAAGCTGTCTATCATACCATCAGAAGTCAAATCATCATATTGTTGATCTTCCAACAACTCTTGTTCAGAACCATTGTTTTCCACTGTCTCTGCTACAGCCAAAGGTAAATTTGTTGAAAGCATGGAAAACTCAGTATTTGTTTCCTCTTCATCCTCATAATCATAAAGATAATGTGAAAGGTGACTAGTATCTAAGCTGGAAGCAGTTTCTGCACTGGGAATGGGAAGAAATGGAGTATCTGAAGTGGTGTTGTCTATAGCAGAAAGATTTCTTTTTTGTTGTACATGAAACAGCAGGGCATGCATCTCTTTAAGGGCAAATAATATTGCCTCTGTTAGACCTTGCCTTTCCCTCTTTTCATGCCGTGTATCATTTTCACCTTTGTTATCTTCTTGCTCCTTCTCTGTAGAAGGTCCATGCGAAGTAGGGTTACCTTTTCCTTGTTCAGATAACAGGTTTCTAACCACTGCAGTCATATTTGCAATTGATGTGTCTTTTGCCAAAGACGTGTAATTAGGATGGAGAGAGTCAAGTGCAGCTGTATTCGGAGCAGTACTTGGACTTTTCAGCACGTCATCACCACGCGAAGTACGGTTACTTTTGCCTTGTTCAGAGGACCAGTTTCTAACCACTGCAGCAATATCTGAAATCAAAGTATCATTTGCCAAAGATGTGTAATTAGGATGGAAGGAGTCAAGTGCAGCTGTATTCGAAGCACTGCTTGGACTTTCCAACACTTTATCACCATGTGAAGTATCACTGTTATTTGTGAACACCAGATGTGAGTTCAGTGTTACATTACCATCAGTCTTATTGCGGGTGCTGTCAATTTCTTCTTGTATGGCAAGAGCAGTGATATTCAGCTTTTCTTCTTCTTCAGCAATCGATCCATTACGACGTGATCGAAGTCCGAGCATCGAAGCATACATATCTTGTTCTAAGTCATCTTCAGTTTGATCATCATAGTTATCAAGGACATTTTCATTTATCATGCTTCTGTCCGCTTTCTCCTCCTTTAGTGCTGCTGCGTCACTTTTCTCAGATGAAAATGTGACCAGTGCATAATCTGAAGCGTCATCATAACTTTCTGTGTAATCAACATCATCACAAGTGGCATCTCTAAACCGAAGTCTCATTCCATTGCTCATCTCATGGGAACCCCATGACGATAAAAGCCAGGTTCCTGCAAATTCAGAATAATGTGCATTATTCATACTACTTGTACAGTTACAGTTTGCCTTTTTCAGACACCTGAATGTAAATTCTGTGGCTCACAAATGGTGGTAAAGGATTCACACCAAACCTTAATCTCATTACAATATTGCAGAACCAGAGAACTCTATTACAAATAATTTTATTTTATTTTTGCAATATGTTGTCTCCTACCAAGACAGGGATGAGGAACCTGTGGACCTCCAAATTTTGTTGGACTGCAAGTCCTGAGCTACAGAGAGGCCCATCTAATAAAGTATCAAGGCTTTGTGTTACAACAGCTAAGCGAGTTCAGCAGCAAAGTGAGAAACCCAGGGCACACTACGCTGCCCCTCGTCTCCTTGACCCAAACAAAATGTAAGTTTCTAATAAAGTAACTCAGTAAACCACAAAACTGTTAGGCAGGTAGAAAGCCAGCAGGGGTGGAGGTGTCCTTGGTCCAACGAGCTCCTGGCTCTCTGGGAACAATTTTGTTCCTTTGAGGCCAAGGTGGCTGACCTGGAGAATCTGAGAGAGGCAGAAAGGTGGGTGGATGAGGCCTTCAGGGGATTTTGTGGTTTTGTTCCACTCCCAATAGCTCCACTAATGTCAGGGAGAATGCCACTCTTGGGGAAAGGAGACTATGGCTCTAAAGAAAAGGGAAACAATCTGAATAATACGAATTCCTGGAAACGGCAGGCGGGGAGAGTGCTGCTGTGCTCAGCCTCCCATGGGCATCTGATTGACCACTGTAAGAAAAGGATTTATAGGTTGCTACTAACCAACGTTGTCCATGGTCACTGTAGCCGATTCACCACTCATTGGGAAAAGATGTAAGATATCTTGATGTTTTCCTCTGTTCAGGAAAGTATGGCCAGAAAGATGCACCGGCACTATCTCATCCTGTGTGCCAACACTGGTGAGGTGCCATTTAATAATATTAGCCTGACAAAATCCAAGGATATCTGTTCTATCAGATGCATAGCCATTGATAGCTAAAATAAAAATGACAACAACAATGTAACAAAGAATATATAACATATCAAATTTCCAGATCCGATGGACATTATAACAGGAATGAAACAGACACCTGTAGGAACTTTTCTACATGTTACACATAATGACATAGCAGAAATTTGGGCTCTACCACTTTAGACTGCATGGGAAGATCTTATCATTTAATTGTATTTTGTTTAATATTCTCAGGCATAAAAAAGCTCCCTGCATCTAATAACTAACTCATAAAGGGGAAGAATACATTAACTTGGGCTAAGTTACTTCATGCAGGGAGCTTTTTTTTACACAGGGCGAGCATTCAAAAATATGATGGCTCATTTGTAGTGTAAACATTTATAATTAACATAGTTTTTAAAAATAGAACTGCATGTGACAGAGGCTGCAGATTGCGGCAGAAAGTCCTGGGCTGGCCCTGCCTCAGACATTTGATCAAAGCAATCCGATGACAAGCTCAAAACAATATGATCCCTCTTCTCAAGTGGTGCAATGTTGAAATTTGCCGCCTTAGTCTATCACTTTATTTCTATGTAACTTGTAGCATTGTATTGATGTAGTGTAGTGAATGCCATCAAGCAGTCAAGCATTATGGAAACAGCATGCTATTCTTCCATTAAAAACAAAAAAAACACCCACATAATTTTATTTCACACTACTGAAGTTGAGCTCTCACAGGCTTAGTGAAATGATGGGTCAGGTTTCTACTCACTGTGCATGACATTGGACTTGTAAAATCTGGGGTCATCTCTCTTAACAGTGGAGGGATTGCTGCAGAATCTCTTGATATTGTCCTCCAAATACCAGCTCTTGTTTTCATCAAAGACGGCAAAGAGGGATTGCTGCTCGTCGTCAGCCTTATTCTGGAAAGCATTAAGACATGCCATCATTTCCGATCGCATACCCTCTGCACTCCATTCTGACTTATAAAACAATGAATCTCAAACCTGGGCAGGCTGTTTAGGAATTCTAGACAATTATGCTGATTCCTTTCCTACCTGGATGATCAATCCAGTGGCATGGTCTCCTATACTATTTAATATCTACATTAAGTTGCTTAGACAAGTCATTCAGAGAGGCAGATGTTATCAGTGTATTCATAATATAAGAGATGAATTAATCAGTCAATTTTTATTTCTCTCAGTTTCTCACCTGTCCCATTTCTGCATATATTTGCATGAAAATTCATAGGCATTGTGTGCATATTTCTCCTAATATGCACATTTGTATGGAATTTAGCCTAGCATAAGTATTTTTCCAAGTGTAACAGAATGCATTTTAGCATTGTTTTCACTAATATATACATTTTTTTACCCCTTTTTTGGTTGGAGAGCTGCATGGCATAATTTGAAGAAGTGCAAATTTTGAAGAAGAGCTGTGCTTCATTTCATGTATTGATTCAGGAAGGGCAAACTTGATAGTTTCCCATTAAAATGCAAACCTAATCAATTTCTCCCCTTCGCTAGAAGACACACTAAGCCCTACTTTGACTATTGATCAGATTCAATGAAACCAGTATTTGGGTTCAGTAATGGAGTGGTAGAGCACAAATAAACTAAAACTCATTCCAGATAAATTGTTCATCCGACCAGGGAGGTAGGGTTCAACCTGGTCTGAATGGGGTCAAATTCCTCTTGAAGATCCAGGTTCATTGTTTGAGAGTTCTGCTGGATTCAGTGGTTTCTATGGCATAAAGTGCCTTTCATTAGCTCAGGTTACGGCACCTTTCTAGGTAGCCTGGCCACTGTTATCTATGCCCTTATAACCTTTGAAACCTCTGCTAGTAAGCAGGCCACTGGGCTAAGTTTTGTGCCAAATGGATCTGGTTATGCAGGATGCATCTTGCTAGTATTTAAAGAACCATACTGGCTACCAACCAATCTTTTTCCAGGCACAATCCAAGGGTTGGTGCTTATCTATAAAAAAAGTATTACACGACTCTGCCCAAGCACTACAGTCATCATCTGAGACCTTCTTCTGGATTCCTCCACCATATGAAATAAGGCTGGTGGCAACGAGGGAGTCTTCTGATCTGTGGCAATCCATATATCTAATGCCCTGGTCCATAGGAGGTAATGTGGCACCAAAACATTCATTCCAATGCCAGGCAAAAATGTTTTCGTCCAGGCATTTTGCATGAGACTTCTTTGAAATGCAAATAGTAGCTTGGAGAGGGGATTTTGTTCCATCTCCATACACCCCCAGCACGGTCCTGTGGCTGCTCATGCTTCTTCATGGGTGCTGTTTACATGACTAAAATATGCATTCACAACTTGTCTGGCCCCAAGAGCCTAAGAGCAGCTCTGCTGGATAAAACTATCTGGTTCAAAATCCTGTTTCCCACTCACACCCAAGTCAGGGACAACCAGAAAACCTCTCAGAACCAGGCTTTCCAGGAACAGAACAAGCAAAGTGTGGATGAGCCCTTGGAGGCACACTGCCTCAGAACCTTGAGATAGCAGCGTTACGGCCGCCATCTTTTCTCTCTCAGTTTGCAATACTTGACAGTACCTTACCTGTGTTCCCTTCACGTCGAGTGCCTTGCGTTTGCAAACCAGAAGTGGTCCAATAAGTCCTGAGGCGATATCCCTTGTTATATCAACAGCACTATGATAAAATCTGGTGAGACACTGAGGATCTTCGCTTGTGGGTTCATCTGTGTCGAGTACAGTCCAACGATATGTGTAAATTTCCCCTGGTTGGACTAGTTTACCTTCAGTGCTGTTCTCTGGATGGAATAAGGACATAAATGGAGTAAGAGGATAAGAGCAGAAGCAAATGGCAGTTACCATGCACAGTGTGTAAACACTGCCTGCAGACCCCTTTCAGACACTCGGGTTCTATGCTCTTTCCTGCTACAACTGAAACACATCGCTTTTTCTGGAGTAAGGTGTGATTTCACATATTGTATGACTTTTATTCTGACATGCAGAAGGAGAAAGAAGCAGAGTGGAAACCATCAGGATCTCTCTCCTATGCCTCTCCCATTGGACTATTGTGCTTACATCACTTCCTTAATCATGGAATCTCCACCCATAAGAAGAGCCTACTGGATCTGGCTAATGGCCCATCTCATCTAGCGTCCTGTTCTCACAGTGGCCAACCAGAAGCCCATGGGAAGTCTTCAAGCAGGATCTCTGAGGACAACAACCCTTAACACCTACAAGCTCTCTTCTTATAACAGAAAAGAGCTAGCCGGGGCATCTCAGAAGTCCAGTTGGCAGAGGGGTGTGGGGCCAGGGAAGAATGGCCAGGAGGTTGCTGCCACTGCCCCACCGCAGCATCTGTCATATGAGGTGGCCACTTCCCTCTGTGTCATGATGGGGCCAGCTCTGTCCTTAATTAGCCAGTTAATTTCTTCAGCTTTCCATTCCTATTCAAAGTACCCTTGGATGTGGGTGGCGCTGTGGGTTAAACCACAGAGCCTAGGGCTTGCCGATCAGAAGGTCGGTGGTTCAATTCCCCGCGACGGAGTGAACTCCCGTTGCTCGGTCCCTGCTTCTGCCAACCTAGCAGTTCGGAAGCACACAGTGCAAGTAGATAAATAGGTACCACTCAGGCGGGAAGGTAAATGGCATTTCTGTGCACTGCTCTGGTTCACCAGAAGCGGCTTAGTCATGCTGGCCACATGACCTGGAAGCTGTACACCGGCTCCCTTGGCCAATAAACCCCAGAGTCAGCCACAACTGGACCTAATGGTCAGGGGTCCCTTTACCTTTACCTTGGATGATACTGACTTTACAGTTAGCTTTGAAGCCCTTTAAAAAGGAATGACCTTTAAAAAATAATAAAAAAAAAACTTTTTGAAAATGACAACTGGACACCTCTATCGACTGAGCTGCTAGGGAAGCAATTTCATATATATACAATATATATATATATATATATATATATATATATATATATATATATATGCCACCATAAGAAAGATAGGAGGAAATAACCAACCTTTGGCACCAGAAGGATAAACAACTCCTTCAGCAGCCTTTGAAAGTGTAACTCCATGCACATAAATACTGTAGGGTCGGCTGGCCATGTTTTTGAATACAATCTGTTTAAAATGTAGGTGGAGAATATGTGTTCAGTATGGCAATAATGCTTTATACAAGACGTTTGCAATAACAGTAGTAGAAGCTGAAGCAATAATAATACTAGGGTTTTTTTAAAAATAAAAAGGTACTCTTCTACTAACTATACCCAGAGGGATCTACAGGATAACCATAAAACCAATTGGAGGAATGCAACTAATAAATAATTTCTAGAAGCAACTGTATGTGCAGGATAAATTATTTGGTTAATAAGACTCACGGAGGAACATGTTTTATGCATAGCACTGCATAGGAGAGACAGTGGGTTGGGTCCAGCCTAAATTAGTGGCACTTAAGCTCCACCGAAATCATTGTGAAAAGTTGGTCATGACTAAGTTAAGACCCATAGATTTCAACAGGACCCGAGTACGATTAGCTTCAGTTGGATGCAACTCAATATAAATACAGATGTTAAATTTTGGATAGTCAAAATGCATATAGCGTAAGTCCTATGCGTGAATTAAATAAAATGAAATTTTAGATTCTGTCCTTATACCTGTTGTTCAGTACTTACCTTTATGTTATCTCTGACCTCAGCGCTGATAAGAGGCCCCAGAATTCCATGTTGTTTGGCCCTTGTATTGTCTATGCGTTTGGTGAAGCTGGCATCTTTATATCGTCTGAATATGGCCTTTTTATACTTCTTGCCAATGTGATTGGAAAATGCTTCCAGATACTGAGTTTTATATTTCCTTTAAAATTGGGAAAACAATTGGGAAAAGAAAAGAAAGAGAAGAAAGAAGATCTGTAAATGGGGAGATAGGCATCTATTTCTTTTGAGAGTACATCTATGTGGGTGGAAATGTTTATTTAGAAAAATCTACATTAACACAAATGATTATATGCATTGTAGCAACCCAACGAAACCCCAGTAAAAAGGCAGGAATAAATAGAGTAATGAAAGGGTTCTTCTGCACGTGTTACCAAACTGCTATTTTCACATTATATTTGAGCTTTCAAATAACATAAAAACCACCTCTGGATATATGGTTAGCACCATTTCGGTATTACTTCCAGAAAGAAATCTTTTTGCAAATAACACCAAAATGAGTGCTGAACTTGCTGTATATTCTGCTATATTTCTGGAAATGGCTTTTATATCCTGTGAAAGCTCAGGCACAATGCAGCAATTTACAGTCAGTGAAACATAAGGAGAACAGAATAAATTGTCATGTGAATGCAGCCTTGGTCATGTTCCTTAATTTCAGGGGATCAATTCAGAGTATTCTTTGAGAGAAGCCAGGATTGTTTAAAGTGGTGTGAGACTATTTTAAATATTTAGTGTGGATGGAGCCTAAGAATTGAGAACCTTATCCAGTCTATACACACCCCTCAACCAACATATTCTATCATGTTACCTATCAACACTGTCAGGAATTTCCGGGGCATAATCCCAGATTACTTCTTCAGCAGCGATGTAAAAGTCCCAGTCCTTAATCATCCGTATTTCTTTATAGGATAATTGTCTCGTTAAAGTGTCTGGATTTCCACAGTCTTCTATGTTGAGGTAACCATGCATTCCAGCTGAAAAGACAGATCATGACTGTTAGTTGTAAAAGAACGTGCATGCCCAAGGGATCTTCTTGTTTCTCTTCAGCCAAACCAGGTGGAAGTTCAAGATTTTATTATATATGTATTTTACTAGAGACCTCTGAAAGATGTACATTTGTCTCCTGCCGCGATCAAAATCTCCACCACTTTAGCCAGCAAAAAGAATCTATGAGCCATTCATTACTCTCTTAAGGTATAAATAACAAAGCCATGTTAATGTATCTTGAAACACACAGCAGTATGTGGAATCCATTTGTGCCCTTGCATCCATGGGTATATGATACACTGGTTACCCTGCACTAACAGAAGGCAGGGTGAGATTTTCATCAATTCCTCCTCCCTTCTGGGGCCCCACCTTCCCCAGAACAGGTTGGGGGATTTTCCAGAACAGTGTGGGAGGTGGCATGGGAGGTTGCATGGGAAGGGGGGAATCTGTGGACATTGCCTCCCCTCTTCTTCCTTTAGCAGAGGACTCCACTAGATCAAAACCTCTTCTGCAAATGGGAAGACTCTTTCCATTCAAGGAACGGCACAATTCAATACTGCCTTGTTTGTTTTGGAGTGTGACAGAGCCTTTTGGAGACCTGACTTATGCTCATGATTCACAATGCCATACTTTTAACAAAATTAAACAATGTCTTCATAGGGACAGGCTTGGGTTTTCTCCAGGATGCTAAATAAATCCATGCAGCTTCTTCCTAGTAATAGCTGTACAGGTGCAAAAATTATTTTGAGAGTATGTCTTTACAAGTGATAGTTCTGCATAGTTAGTAACAACTAAGATAACTAAACAAAGCATTTTCACGGGCTTAATATAGGTTTTAATCAACTAAATGTACTTAAATGAGCATATTATGATAATCTCGATGTAAATGCATTGTTGAGACACTGAAGACAGCAGAAGATAACTTTAAGAAACAAAAACTACCACTTATTGTTAAAAGAAAAAAGAAGTCTCTTAATATTTTATTTTTTCATTTCCTATTACAGACACATCAGAACCAAAATGGTCGCAACAAATAAAGAAGTTGCTCTTGGCTCACAGCTTCACCAACCTAAATGTTTCCTCATGAGTTAAAAGCAGCCCCCATTGGCTAATCTAGTAAAACTTTGCTTTATTAATCTAGTGACTAAACCGATAAAGGTTTAGGCTTATTCATAGTCATTTGTACTTAACCAATGAAACAAAAGACATTTGTATTGTCTTCTTATTGAGTGAGTTAGTTAGTTAGTCAGTCAGTTAGTTAGTTAGTTAGTTAGTATGAAGGGTCAGCTTAACTAACAACACATCCAAGGGTTTAAAGCGAATCACATGACTATCTGGACAGATGGCGGTGGCCACTGAAAATCACTGCATGTACAGGGTGCGTCTTTTAAAAGAGGCCCTATGGAACATGTGTACCCTGTATCCACAGGGCCTCTTTTAAAGGACTCACCTTGTATTTCAGTGGTAAGCCAATTGTGGACAAAGGACATTTCATGCTTTGAGCACACTGCCACTACTCCCCGCTAACAAAATACAGTTGTAGTTGCAGGTGTCTTGTTATTCTATAGTCAATGTATGCAAACCGCAGTTCTAATTTATGCCAGATTGTTTTCCTAGCCCCCCACCCCACCCCCATCACCACAAGTGCTGCCATAGTTAAGATGATTTTGCATGTTTTGTACAACTGCTATATGAGAGAAGGTAATGAAGGCTGCAGTTGCACCAATGCCTGCTGAAGAAAGATCTCCTTGCCTTCTAGATGCTTTTCAACAAGGGATGATATGAGCCACTTTCCTGTCTTGCTCACAGACATCTTTGCTGTTGCTGATGCTCCTGCGACAAGGCTGATCGTTGACATTTTATAGTGGTTTTGCTCCAAGGTTTGCCCATTGAAATGGACCGAGAAGATCTCAGGTGCAGAACTCATCCCTATCAAATGCCAACTAATGTTATGGTAAGCACAGGCTTGTACATCTGAAACGCAAAAGAGCAGCAGTTGGAAACTTTGTTTCAAAATCACTGTACCATAATGGTCAGTCAAGCAAATCCATCTAGGTTAACAGGATATACAGTACCTGGCAGTGTTCCATTAGCGTAGCCATTAATGGTGTACATGAGGGAAGATCCTTTTTGCCAGCTTTTGCTTTCATCGAAGACAGCAAACATCAGCACATATTCCCTGTCAAAAAATTTCTGTGTTCCATTTTCATGCAGGCTTCCTAGAAGAAGAAGAGGCTGTCACAGACATCGGGGGGGGGGGAGTGTTTTATCAAGTAAGACATAGATAATGAAGGACCCCTAGGAAGCTGCCCATCAAGTTCATTACTGTTGACACTGATTGGCAGCAGCTCTCTAGGGTTTCTCTCCCAGCATAGGCATCAACTCTATGGGGCTGAGGACACCTCAGCCCCACCAAAGTATGAGGGGACAGGACTGAGCCCCCCAGTCTTGAAGAGTTGGGCCTGCTAGAAGAGAAATTATTCCTGTCAAAAGGGCCTAGTTTGTCAAAGACCAAGGAGCTGAGGCAGATGATAAACAGGAATGCATGTGTGGGAAGAAGGGACATTACAGATAACCCCCAACAAACACTTGCTGGTTTCTTCAACCTAAATGTTTTATTACCGTTTTTACATATCAGCAAGGCACCAATAAGGCCAGAATTGAAGTCTTGCACCATGTTTTCATGTGAGTAGTAGGCATAGGTGAGGCAAGGAGGATCAGCCTCCCGTGGTCCAGTTCCTGCAGTGGCCTTCCACACGTATTTATAACTTTTTCCAGGAGGCACAGCATCATCCAGTTTTTCGATAGGCAATGTCTTGTCGGAATATGAGGAACCTTCAGTGGCAGGGAAGCAAGGATTCGCCATGTATTATTCATACATAATCATACCAACAGTGCCCTTATGAAGCAATGAATAAATAAATGTACATGCACCCACCTATCTATATACACGCTGAGTCTAATGTCCTCTTTATACCAGGCATGGAGAACCTGTGTCTTTTCAGATGCTGTTAAACTATAATTTCCATCACTCCCTGCCCATGGGCCATGCGAGCTGGGAGTGATGGGAGTTGCAGTCCAATACAATCTGGAGGGTCACAGTTTCCTCCAATCTATCCACCTTTCTTATACAGTCCTGCCTGGGGACTGTACATGCACATACGGTACAGGAGAACAGGTACTTATTCCCAGATAGCCCTACATAGGCCCGTGCACACACGGTGGGGGCAGGGGAGGTGCAGCTGAGTACACTTGCCCTGGGCCTTGGAGGGCTAAGCCAGCTGGAAGGGAGGGGTGCCAGAGGCCTGCTGGACTTGGCTGTCATACCGAGAACACCCCGTGCTTCCCAGTCATTTGGGGACAAGCTCTGGATGGGCCTGGCACTATTTGCTATTGCTGTGCAAACTGAAACTTGCCAGCTTGTTTCAGTTTACCATTCTCCTCTACCATTGTATATCGAGGGCTCTTTTGCAGAAATTACTTGGAAGAACATATTTCCATTTACTCGTGCAGATGGCATATGGATATGCCTTCTCAGCTCATTCTAGAAGAATTAGTTCTATTTAATATGCCGCTATTTAAATATTAAAGGCATGACAATATATTTCTGGGGGTCAGGTACACCAATTTGGTATCATTATCCCTTGCAATTCAAACAACAACTTGTGTCCGTCACTGGCTGATGCCTAGTACAAAATACAGGAGGGCACAAATCTAACATTCCTCATCAGGAAAAGCTGCATGAAGCCCAACAAAATATATCTCATTGTTTAAAATGTTGATATTTCTTGCACTTGCAGTTTACCCCTAAGCCAGGTTAAAGTATATCCACTTTTCCTTTTCCTTCTAAGAGCTGGGGATCTGATCAAAATCTGAGGCAGACCTTAGCTTTTCTGATGTTGTTATATAGTTTAGTCACTAGGTGGCATTTGACTTCATTATATCTGAATGGACAGGCTGAAGCTTCTTGCTATGGATTTGCTATCGTTTAAAAGAAATAATAACGTTCTCGTCTAGCTTCCTGACTGGTGTGTCTTTTACGTTTTCCATTACAGTCATATTTCCACTAATGGGAGCTCTGGTTGGCTGGTCCTGATGGCCGACGAAGCCAGGAATATGAAAGGATCGTCACCGGGATATCTGACAACACAGTCACATTACCAGCACTTACCTTCTGAATGTTTGCTGTATGCTATGCCTTGTGGGTGAATACTCAGTGGTTTATTAGCCAGGTTCTTAAAATGAATGACAAGTGTATCTCCCACTTCAGCACGTAGTGTTGGCCCCAGAAGCCCTACCAAAATGATAATATTTTTTAAAGAGAGAAAGAGAAATCCCTAAAATACACAACATGGGAAAAGAGACTTGTGTTGTGACTGAGAGACAAACTTGCACACACAAGTGGCTATTAGAATGCACCATCATTCCTTAGGGCAGGAATGTTATTATTTGTTAACACACACCAACCTTCCTCCAATAAATTCAGAACAGCAATTGAGTTTTATGCTCGTTTGTGACGTAAGAAGAAGATGATAGCTATGCTTATACAGGCAACTCCCCATCTTCCTGGGGGTTTCATTCCAAGGCACCGCACGTTTAATTGAAATTGCTTATACAGTGGTACCTCGGGTTAAGTACTTAATTCGTTCCAGAGGTCTGTACTTAACCTGAAACTTTTCTTAACCTGAAGCACCACTTTAGCTAATGGGGCCTCCTGTTGCCGCCGTGCCATCGGAGCACGATTTCTGTTCTCATCCTGAAGCAAAGTTCTTAACCCGAAGCACTATTTCTGGGTTAGCGGAGTCTGTAACCTGAAGCGTATGTAACCTGAAGCTTATGTAACCCGAGGTACCACTGTATTGGGAACCAGTGTTAGAAACAGAGATATGAAAGCTAGGAGCTAAATGGCACCTTAAACCTACGTTATGGGTGCAAAAATGAAAAGTCTAGGTGCAGATTTTTTAATAAAAAGAATACAAAGCTGAAAAATGAATGAACCACACCTAAAATATTATGTTCATTTTTCACATGGTCTGGTCCTTCCCCTGTCCAGCCCGCTAATATTCTTAAGAGGGTCTCTTCTCCAGTCTTCAGAGAAAGGCTGCAAGTGGAGAGGCAGAAAAAGGTCCTCCTTTCCTTCCCCTCCGCTGTTTCAATCTGAAATCTTAGGTGCAGTACTGTGCCCAGAGCTCAGAAACTGCTCACGCTAATGAAATTCACTGTCGCAGAAATGCACCTAGAACAATGGGCTATTGGGAACACCATTGAAAAAGCCTGCAAACACCATCTAAACCTCTGGAAACCATTGGGAAACCCTTAAAAACAAAAATCCACCAAACTCCACCACAATTGTTCCCTCCAAACCTCCTTGCTCAAATTCCAACTCTCCACAGGCCTCAACAGTCAGTGCAAGGGCTCCTAGGATTGTGCTTGCAAAAGCTTGTGGAATTGCTAGACACCATTTCTGCTGTTTTTGCTCTCTTTTAGGGTCATTTTTGAGCGGCACAGGTGGGGAGGGTGAGCAGAGCGAGAGGGCAGGGAGAATGAGCAGTGCAGGTGGAGGTATGGCCGTGGTGGCAGAGGGCCGAGGCAGCCTGGGCAGGCAAGGGAGGTGGCGGGCATGCAGCCACAGCATGGTGGAGGGGTCCCAGATTTTGGTTAGTTAAAGTTGGAGGGCATGGTTTTGATGACTCCATTTTCTTTTGAGCCTGTGGCCTAGCTAAACTTAAAAGGCCTGTGCCTAAATTTTGCTTTACAGTGGTACCTCGGGTAAAGAACTTAATTCGTTCTGGAGGTCCGTTCTTAACCTAAAACTGTTCTTAACCTGAGGTACCACTTTAGCTAATGGGGCCTCCCACTGCCAACGCTGCGCAATTTTTGTTCTCATCCTGAAGCAAAGTTCTTAACCTGAGGTACTATTTCTGGGTTAGCGGAGTCTGTAACCTGAAGCATCTGCAACCTGAAGCATCTGTAACCCGAGGTATCACTGTATAGAACTGAGCTTTCCAAACGGTTCATGTTGGTGACACGCTTTTTAGACATGAATCATTTCGCGACACAATAATTCAGTTTTGCTTCATTTCGTGACTCAGTAATTCAGTTTTACTATCAAACCGGAGGTTAAACTAATTCCTTCGTGTGACACACTTACACACTGCAGCTGACACACTAACGTGTCGCGACACAGTTTGGAAAGCTCTGGTATAGAACAAGTATTTGCTGCTTATGTAGCAGATACTCGTTCTGGAACACTTAAAAGAATAAACCGGTAGAATCCATGGTGACCGCTGTATGCATGAAAAGAGAATCGGATAGGGATGGCAATTGTGCTTAATCTTGAATTGTTTTGCAGGTAGATGAAAGAAGATATTGGGAGACATTTAATGAATAGGAAAATTAATCAAAGTATGAATAAATAAAGACATTGAAAAATGATTATATGTAATCACATGTTATTATGGTGAGTGATCTGAAGAGTTCATGTTCTAATTAATATGCCCAAGCAGGGAGCTGAGCCTTCCAGTGCAATTCTCCCCACCCCACCCTACCAACACATTGAAGGAATGCCTGAAAAACCTAGTCACTTAAAAACAAGGAAAATTGCATACAAAACAGAGGTACAAGCAACTAACAATATTAGACCACTCCGTCAGCGTGGTAAGAAACTTTGTATTCGGGCTCCGTATACATTACTGACTTGACCCACAGCTGGGTTGCTATTTTTCTCAATTTAGATTGAGACTGGGGGGCGAGGAGCATCAAAACACAGTATTTCATAAGAAATGACAGAATAGATACAGGAAAGATTGATTCTGACTAATGCTGTGTGTACACCGCTTCCCACACCAGCAGTGGGAGCATACATGTGCAGAGCAAATGGATGGGTGTACACTGTCTTATTTATTGTTAGAAACTACAATAATGACCTGTTGGCATTGGTTCTGTTTTATCATATCAGGCCAACCGCTAGGAAGAGAAGGCACACTGGCATGCAAGAGGGTGGCATGTTTTGCAAGACCCTTTCTCCCACTGAAACAGCACTGTATGAATCTGTAGTTTCCGTGGGAAATGATATGCAAAACCCACCTTGTAAACTCATTCTTTTTCCCTATATGTTTCAGTGGGGTGAAGCAAATACCCAGCCACTCTGCTATACAGTGGTACCTCGGGTTAAGAACTTAATTCATTCTGGAGGTCCATTCTTAACCTGAAACTGTTCTTAACCTGAGGTACCACTTTAGCTTAACCTGAGGTACCACTTTAGCTAAGCGGCCGCGCCACCACCACACGATTTCTGTTCTCATCCTGAAGCAAAGTTCTTAACCCGAGGTACTATTTCTGGGTTAGCGAAGTCTGTAACCTGAAGCGTCTGTAAGCCGAGGTACCACTGTACTTATTTATCATTAAAATTTGTAGAAGACTTTGTGTGTCATGCAGGAAATTCTGGAACAATGTGGAAGTGAAAGAAGGAAGCCACAACTCAGTCTTTGTGGCAACGTGCACAATAACATTGAAAGGAACAACAGCTAGGCATCCTTTGTATATTTTGAGTCAGCGATACAACACTAGTTACTGAAATGATTAGTCACTTTCTAGTTAGCTGTTCTGCACAAGTGCATTTTTGGTATCTGGGGTCATTAATGGGACAATGGAAACTATCTAATTATCAGTGCAAGGAGAAGAACAGAATAATTTGGAAAAAATGACTACGGACCGTCTCCTGGCCATGCTCCTTCTCACTGCTGTTGCTACCTGTTCACCTGCCTTCTGCAAGCAGGTGGCCAGGGATATGAAAGAGCAGGCAGGATCCACCTACCTCTACCTCTAAAACTTAGAAAAAGAATGTGGAGTATTTTCAGGCTGAGGGCCACATTCCTCATGGACAAGCTTCCAGGGGCCGTATGACAGTATTAGGTGTGGCCAGGGGCAAAAGGTGGGCAGGGTCATAGTAGATGTGACTCATGCCTTGAACACTGGGCTGCATTCCAGCCAGGCAAAAGTCAGACGTTTCTATAATGTGCCCCCCCCCCGCCCTTCTCTCCATCCAGCTAAATAAGAAGCCGCTGAGTCAGGCACTCAAAGAGGTTAGAGTAGACCCATAGGAAGGAAGAGGAGAGGCAGCAAAAACAAAGGCCTACTGGGTTCATGTTGGCCAAGTGGGAGGGTGTTTCTCTAGGTTTTGTGTTATTCATTTTGGGGCTACTTTTATTTTTTAACCTCCACATTTGTCCCTGATCAGTGTGCCAACTCCAGGGCAGATGTACTCTCCCCACCCATGCTGTTTTGGGGCCATGTCTAGGGAATAAGAGGGGATGCGGGTGGCGCTGTGGGTTAAACCAGAGCCTAGGACTTGCCGATCAGAAGGTCGGCAGTTCGAATCCCCGCGATGGGGTGAGCTCCCATTGCTCGGTCCCTGCTCCTGCCAACCTAGCAGTTCGAAAGTACATCAAAGTGCAAGTAGATAAATAGGTACCGCTCCGGCAGGAAGGTAAACAGCATTTCCATGTGCTGCTCTGGTTCGCCAGAAGCGGCTTAGTCATGCTAGCCACATGACCCGGAAGCTGTATGCCGGCTCCCTCGGCCAATAAAGCGAGATGAGCACCACAACCCCAGAATCGGTCATGACTGGACCTAATAGTCAGGGGTCCCTTTATCTTTTACTAGGGAATAAGAGGACTTTGGCTTCTAAACCTCCCTTGACCCTCCCCACCACCAGAGTACCAGCGGCTGAGTGGCAAGGATAGTAGTGGTTTCTCTGCAAATAGGATGTCCGCCTCTGTCTGCAGACCTGCCTTACTGCAGGCCGAGGGGGGAAATCTACTTTATCCTCTAACCTCAGGAACATCCATTGGATTGTGACCTAAGGGGTAAATAAACTTGTAGTGGCTTAAAATGTTGTTAATTTGGATTTGTGACAGCAGAGAGATTATACCATGCTGTGAAAATTTCACCAGCAATATCTGAAAATCATTCTGTGTTTACCTGATAGAGCATTTCTTGGTTTTTCTTTTTTGAAATCTGCTTCATACTCGCTGTAGATAATTTTCTTAAATAGATGATCCGATTTTGGTAATCTGAAATAGAAGAGTCTTAAAACTATCACAGGAAATAGCTTCCGTGTGGAAGATACGTATAAGAACTCTATGCTGTAAAATACATTATGCAAGTTAAGCACAGTTGCAGAAATCAACATGTCTACCAAACACATTTTGTATTCTCAGCAGAGCCACCTGCTGAAACAAAGACAGGAGACAGGGCCTTTTTTGTAAAGGCGAAAGATTTATACGATCTGAGGATAAGCCAAAGTTTTTATCGGTGGTTGCAAGAACAAACGAGCCCTATATTCCAAACAAAGTGCTTGATTAACCTGGAGGTAGGCTGTATGAACTCTGTATTGATTTGTAATGTTTTGTTGGGTCTCTGGACTGTAATAAAGATTGTTGCTGTTGTTTTGTAAAGGAATTTACAAATTTTCTCTGGAATTTTTTCTCCCAAAAAGTATGCCTGGCACCATTCTCATTTTCTTTTTGGCACCATGTGAGCACTTTTTTCCCCTTCCTCTGCTCTTTTAAAAATGTGTGAAGAGGTTTTACATGGGCATTTTACACTACATTAAAAAAAATTGTGGTTTTCAGTAATATACATTTCAATAACTTTACAGCCATTTTTCACATTTCAAAACTCGACTTCCTTCTTCCTTTTTCTGTAGTTCCTTAAATTTATATGTATCATTTGCTGCATATTCTAAATTAACTTAACTTATTCTTTTATTCATCTTCTTTAATTATTTACTCTTATGAAACTGCAGGTTATTACAATAATCCTGCCAATGTCCATATCTGTTTACAATTTATTTGTACATATTCAATAAACCATTTCCATTTTTTATAAAAAGTTTGTCTTCTTTATTTCTTATTTTTCTGGTAAGTTTCGCCATTTCTGTATAGTCCATGAGTTTTTGTATCAAATCTTCTTTCTTCGGGACTTCTTCTTTCCATTTTTGGGCAAATAACATTCTTGCCACTATAGTCGTATACATGAATAAATTTCTAAACTGTTTCGGTAGTTCTACCCCTATAATTCCCAGAAGGAAACTTCCGGTTTGTTTTTTTAACGGATGTTATTATAACCATTGTTTTCAATTCATTATATATCATTTCCCGGTAAGCTTTAACCTTACTGCAAGACCACCACGTATGATAGAAAGTACCTTCTTTCTCTTTGCATTTCCAACACTTAATCATTTTTTATTTATACATTTTTGCCAGTTTGCTTGGTGTTAGATACCATCCATATAACATTTTCATACAGTTTTCTCTTAAACCATAGCATGCTATAAATTTTATACAGTCATACCTCGGATTACGAATGGTGCAGGTTGTGCATTTTCAGGTTGTGGACCGCGCTGAATGGGTTACTTCCAGGTTTCGGCGCATGTGCGCAAAATGACATCACACACATGTGCAGAAGTGCCAAATCGCGTCACGTGCATGCACAGACACAGCACTTCAGGCTGCGAACGCTGCGGGTTGTAAACGTGCCTCCCGCACAGATCATGTTCACAACCCGAGGTATGACTGTATCTGTATTCCATAATCATTCCCACGCTTCCATAACTATATTATAACCAATATCTGTTGCCCAATTTTACACTACATTGTTTTGCTGTGCTTTATTGCAATTCTGAAGTTATTAGTTTATTGTTAACTGAAGAGTGGCCAATAAAACCACTAAATAAACTATAAGGGTATTTTTCAGAATTTACTATATCCTAATCTATTCCAACTCTGTGTTAGGGCCGGCTTGAATGGAATAAGCCTCAGAGATGTACACAAAAGCAAGAATGAGTGGAGGATCAATAGAAGCAAATCAGGAAGGCAGGTATATGTGCTTCATTAGAAGTTTTACTGAGACCCCTCAAATTCCTGAGAGTTTATAAAAAGCTGCCACAACACACTCAGATTTAACATTGCTCTGTTTCAAAAGAAAAGCTGAGATTTTTAAAGAAGATGGAACATGCAGACAGCCCCAGTGGACCAGGCCAACAACCCATCTAGTCCTGTTCTCACAGCAGCCAATGGCAGAACCTGCCTCACAGATTCAACACTATTGAGTGCATTTTTTCAATTAGTCATTCAAGAGTGAGCCCAGAATGTGTGGGAGTTCCATACGTGCATCCGAGTGCATATGACATTCTGGCTCAGGACATTAGTCCAAAAGGCAAGTTACAAAGGTAAGTGACTGATCTGTGGGTTTAGCCTATAAGACAAATTGGATTGATCTTTATTACGGCCATTGGCCCGTTAAGACAAAGATTTGAGAATGTGAGGCTGCAAATAATAATAATAATAATAATAATAATAATAATATCTATAATCTATAATATATATAAATGTTTTTAAGGAGGCTATGGGCCTATCCAAGGTGGGGCGGAGGCGGCAGCTGCCCACCCTACATCAAGTAGAACAATAGAAATACTTAACTAAGTCACCAATCCCGTCAGTTCTGACCCCGCCCATAAAAGTCCTGCCCCCCACCAAGTCCTGCACCCCCTTAACAAAAATCCTGGATACACCCATGAAGGAAGCCAGGACAAAAAAATAAAAATAAAAATCTCCACTTGCCTAAGAAGCTAGCAGAGCATCATTTCTTATTCTCAGTCAAGGTTTGGGAATGTCTTGTGACATTTTTACATAAAAAGTTAACAGGTGCCCTTGAGGCTCTCTCTTTCCTTTTGTTGGCATATAAGCGTGGGCAAGTGGACATTCTCACCAGCACAGGTTTATATTTGCATTGCAAACCAGTCTAAGGCTGAAATTAGATAGGACAGCAGACATGATGGCCTGCACATCTCCTCTCTTTCTCCCTGTTTAATAGGTAGTATACTGTATTTCCAATAAGGCACACAGAAATTATGAACGTATACAGTCAAAACCATAAAGCTACTTAAAACCAAACAAGAAAATATATCACAAAGTCAAAGATCAACATTTTAACAACTCAGGCTGCAGCTGGGAGTGACGTTGCAAGTCTGAATCTTCTCTTGCTTGCATGGAAACAACTTCCTTGCACTTAACAAACTAGTATATCAGGGAGAAAGAAGCCTCATGTGAGCAAATTTCATTATTCTAAGTGGTAAAAAGTGAATAAGCAGCAAAATGCTGAAAGCCAACAATAGACAGATGAAAATAATAATGAGTAACACTAGCAGAAAATCTATCCAAAAATCACGGCAATTTAGAAGTCACACCATTGAAAGCAACTTAAAACTAACATTTATCTTGGTTAACCTAGCAGCCCATTCTTCAGGGGTGGGGAAACCTCACCTTCCCATTACACCCAACTACAACCCCAAATAGCTACACACATTTAGTTACCTGGACAGGTCTTCTGCCTGGGAAACTGTAGCTCCAGTTAGCGACCTGAGCCACTATATAGTGCTCTCGGACCCGAGCTGCTTCCGCATTAGGATTCTCCAGACCTGGCCAGCCTACGCCCAGCAGCATTAAGAGAAGATGTTTGTAGACAAGGGCCATGGCACCAGTTCCCATTGATGCAGATTTGTTGAGAGACACATGAGGTACAGGCCGTACTTTTAGTGCTGCACACTGCAACTTCCCCAGGAAAATGCTTTCGCTGTGGCTGGTGTTGCAAGGGATACTGGCATTCGTGACGCCTAGGTCATTGCTCTTTTCCTCCTCCTCCGCCTCTCTCTCTCATTGCTGAAAGGATTGTAGTCGAGATAAGCAGCTGCTGAATTTGCCTTGTTCTTCCCCTCTTCCTCCTCCACAAGCACCTTCTCCTCCAAGGAACAAATTGCAAGGAAGCAGATTCCACTCCACACGGAGGAGCATGTGGTTTATTTGTGCTGTTGCCCACTAGGGCAGGAGTATATTGGGGCAGTAGCAAGAGATTCAGGACATGATAGCAGGCTATCCAGTCATGTGGAGAACACCTTGGAAAGCTTTGGCCAATAGTAGCCCAAGGTTGGCCAATTTGAGGAGGAGGGAAGAGCACTACTTAAAACTGTGGTCTGAAGGTGAGAACACCATTTCACTACATAAATACTAGTTATTTCATTATTCTGTTTACTGTATTTTTCGCTCTATAAGACGCACTTTTCCCCCTCCAAAAATTAAGGGGAAATGTGTGTGCGTCCATGGCTCCATGGCTTCAGCGAAAGCAACGCGAAGCCTCCAGAGCGCAGCGGGACTGCTCCCGCTGCGCTCCGGAGGCTTCACGTTGCTTTCGCTGAAGCCAGGAGAGATGGGATCAGTGCGCACCGATCCCTCTTGCTCTCCTGGTTTTGCTTCGCCGGAGAGGCGCTGCACAGCTTTCCCTCTCTGCGCAGTGCCCCTTCAGCCTCTAAAACCAGGTGTGCCTTATGGTCGGGTGCGTCCTATAGAGCGAAAAATACGGGATATCCTGCCTTTCTCCGGTGCAGGACCCAAGGCAGCTCACAACATAAATTAAAGCAGATAGAACTAAAAACTCACGATAAATATTTTCCAAAAAATGAATAAGTAAGACCCTGTCATAACAACCAGTTAGTAGTCAAATGCCTGCTAGAAGAGTAGGGGCCTGTGGAACATGAGTATCTGACTCCTTCTTCAAAGAACTCAAGGCAACATGCCTGGTTGTTCCCTCATTTTCTCCTCACAACAAATCTATGGAGTAAACCAGGCTGAATTGATGGGCATAAGGTCATCCAACCCACAAGCTTCATGGCTAAGCAAGGTTTGAACTTGGGTCTCCCCAGGCCTAGTCTCCCACTCTAACCCTGTGGTAGCCAATATGGAACCCTCCAGATTTGGGAACTACAATTCCATTCTGCACCAGCCAGCACGGTCAGCAATGATGGGAGCTTTAAGCTGTAAACAGGCAGAGAACCTTCTCAGTAGTGGTGCCCTCCCTGTGGAATACCCTCCCATCAGATGTCTAGGAGATAAAGAACAACACTACTTGTAGAATACATCTGAAGAAGCAGGATGAGGGATGGAAGGGGCTCCCTTCCATTCCTCCTCCCGCTTCGCTGGGAAGCCAGCAGAACAAGAGGCGCTGCGCAGCTCTCACTCTTGCTGTGCTAGCTTCAGCGATAGCTGCACAGCCTGCATTCGCTCCATAAGACGCACACACATTTCCCCTTACTTTTAAGGAGGAAAAAAGTGCATCTTATAGAGCAAAAAATACGGTATACTGTTTTGTAGGTAGAATAACACAACTTGAAAACTTGTCTTATCGGCTTGTATTCGGTCAGAACACCAACATCTAGTGTACTAAATGCGGTGATTTAAAACTCCTGCTGACTTGAGACATTGGGAGGCAAACATTGGGAAACTGGTATCAGTGGGCCTTACTCCCACATAACGGTGTGTGGCTGTGGTGTTTTATCTAGGCAGCCAGGGCTGCTCTGCATGTCAAGATCTTTTTGCACCAGCTCAGTGAGGGCTTGCTTTTTAAAATCCTCCTATATTCACAGAACTCCCTCTGCGCCTTTTGGACTGTATCTGTAGGTTTCCCACTCTGTGTCAAATAACTGGGGTCAAATAAGTGTTGCTTACTTTTTATAATACATGGAAGATGGATATTCCTCTGGAGGTTCTGGACTCTCCTTCCTTGGAGGTTTCTAAGCAGAGGTTGGATGGCCATCTGTCATGGATGCTTTAGCCGAGTTCCCTACATTGCAGGGGGTTGGACTAAATGACCCTTGGGGTCCCTTCCAGCTCAATGATTCTAAGTTTTTTCTGCCTCAACAATATTTTATTATGTTTCTATCATTTTATGTAATTGTATTTTGTATAAATTATAAAAAAGGTTGGGAAACACTGATCCAGAGTATCAATTTTTAGAGACCTAAATTCTCAAGTGCCGTTGGAGCTAGCCTGGGCACATATTTGTGACAACAGGGCTTTTAACGTTGTAGCCAGAGTAAACATTACTAGATGAACCATCTTGTTCTTTTTTGCTCCGAGGTCAGCTTAAAAATGGAAAAGACAGCCATGCAATGCTTTTCTAATGGTGCCCAGAATATAAGTCCAGACTATGTATGCAGTGAGCACAGAAGTGTTATTTTATTTCTTCTCCCTAGTTCGCAAACAGAGGGAAGTTAATATTTACCAGCAGCAAACAATCAGGTCCTTTTGGGGGAATGCGCGTGGGAGACTGGGACTTGGCAGGTTGCCTCCACAGGATTCTGAACTGGGGACAGCAAACCAATCACTGCTATCATTTTCTACATCACAGAAAAAGAAGCCATGTTTACCTCTGGGTTTTGCTATCGTTTTATAACTTCTGTATTACAATAATGAGATTAGCGCCATAGGAACCTGTAAAATAGCTGCTTTTTCCTGAAGTGGGAGAGGCAATTAAAACACATGCTGAGATTTAAGAAAGCAGAGTTTTGGAACACAGGCTGTTGCTAGAAAAGGGATGGGGCATGTGATTTTACTTATGTAATAGCAGTATACTGAACAGAATGATGGGTCGTGATCTGCAGATTTCACCCGTACCCCCACGCCATGTCCAGAACACAAAAGAATCTGTCCAAATCTTTGGGTTGTGTTATATTTCCATTTGACTTGCAAAAGGTTGCATTAAAAAACATGCATTTCTGTTCCAATTGTTATTGCTGTAAAAGAGATTATTAAAATGCTCAAAAACAGATCAGAAGCAGCTTGTAAGCATTTACAGTCTAAAGCGAGCACTATTTAAGATACTTCGGGAAACATGAAGTTATCTGAAACATAAGTTGAACAGTGTTACGTTTTTTTGCAGCAGAAATTTAGTGGATGGAACATCAGATTTAAATCTTAAATTCACAACTCCTATGTAAAAATTCTGGCCATAACAGGGATATGCATTTGCCAACATCCACTGAAGAATAGAATAGGTTCTAACTGAACTATATGTTGTCGTTTCCACACTCTATTTTTATGAATCTTATCATTTTTCTTCCATGGTTGAAATGGAGCCAATGAGGTTCTCCCACCATCCCATCAGAAGGTATGCAAAAAGCCATATTATTTTCACTTATTGAGAACATTTTTTCAGTTGACGCAAGTTGACTGCTGGGTGGAAGACAGCTGCTTCCTATTCCCTCCAACTGCAACGATAGCAAGAAGAGGCCAATTTCCTTGAATCCTCCTTGACACTTGACATTTCTGATCTCACTTCCTAGTTAAAAGAACACGCGGTGTAGAAAGTAGAGAAAAGGTATCTATATCTCTACTGCATAAGATGGCATTCATGTACAGGTGACATAAAAAGGGAAGGCAACCATGTCATTAAGGAGATTGGTGCAATGTAAGCTGAACCTACTGAAAACAAGGTTTGAGTACTATCTTTGCAGACAGAAATTTAGTATTCCAGATAGAAAAGCACATGCCAGGTAGAGTTCTGGATGCAACTTTCACTAGCTGCACATGCTTTTCTTCAGTACATTAGCATTAAACTGAAAAAAGTGATGCCACATCTTTTCCTAGTCTTCACACCCAGTTATGCTTTCATTCCCATCTGATGTTCAAAGGAGCATGAGAGGAGTTGGGTTTCTAGCGTCAAATAAGGACCTAGACTAATGTGCACTTGGAAAATCAGGTGTGCCTTAGATACATATTAAGATCTACCTAAGCGATTTGGTCAATTTACTCTGAAATGCCACTAGTCAGAAATCACACATTATTTTCCACTTCATGTCTTGCTACAATTTTACTTTAAAAATTTCTCAGAAATTTAATTAAAAACAAACATGAATTGGGATCTTGCTTTGAGCTTTTCCTTTCTTTCTTTTCCCCCAGTCTTCGCAGTACTGTACGTCAAAGAAAAAGAAAAACCCTCTATGTACCCACAGCACAGGAATGAAAAAAAAAGTGTTTTATTATTTATTTTTACACATAAAGGTCTTTATTAAAAAGTAAGGCTGGTAGTGGAATTTTATTTTGATGCATAAACTTGATAGAAGTGGTACATTACAGAAATTGTATACCATGGTGGATAAACAAGTCAGTCACAGGTATGGGTTATTCTTTTTAAAAATTAGAATCAATAATTAGCATAAACATTCTTTCCCCTAATTACATCGTAAAGTGCCTCGTGTAGTCATATTCTATTGTCGGAATGACTGCTTGTACAAATTTCAAAAAAATTAGAAGGTACCTGAATATTTAATTAAGGAAAATCAACCCAGTAGTTCCACAAGGAGAAGCAAGTTTTTAACCCCAAAGCAGCAAAGTAAAAACCACAAGTTTAAACAATTCAACCTTCCTCAATAGTCAAGCACCAATGGAAAAAGATAGATAAGGCTACCAGTCTGGTCTAGTGGAACAGTTTTAATGGCCAGAGAGTGCCTCCCACATGCATAAAGACGACCGAACAATTAGTTTTTATTATAGTTATTGCTGCCTATGCAAACTAGGCCCATTGGGAACAATGGACTTAAGTAATCTACTGGATCAGGTCAAGCATCTATCCAGTGGCCAAACAGGTGCCTATGGGAAGCCTGTATGCAGTATACAAGTACAGTGGTACCTCGGGTTAAGAACTTAATTTGTTCTGGAGGTCTGTTCTTAACCTGAAACTGTTCTTAACCTGAGATACCACTTTAGTTAATGGGGCCTCCCGCTGCCGCACGATTTCTGTTCTCATCCTGAAGCAAAGTTCTTAACCCGAGGTACTATTTCTGGGTTAGCAGAGTCTGTAACCTGAAGCATCTGTAACCCAAGGTACCATTGTACAATGGTACTCTTCCCACTTGTGCTCACCAGTGACGAGTATTCAGAGACATACAAGCTCCAACCATTGTGGTAGAAAGTAGCCATTATAGCTAGTATTAATTGATCAGTTTTATCATTCATACTCTCTAACTTAGAGGGGTATCACCAATAACACTGCATTAAGGAAAATTACATTGGATGGTATCCAACAAGTACACTTCTGGAGGTGCAACAGAACTTCTCCTGCCTCTCCACACCCTATGCGCCCTCCCCAAATATGGGTGAACCCCCAGAACAGATTCAGGGGGAACACAGAAGAGAAGGGAGTAGGTAGAGATGTTCCACTGCACAGCCATATGTCCTTGCACTAATAGAACCACTTCCCTGGATACCACTCATGTTTGGCTTAGCCATGTGTGAACCATGGATTAATTATAAGAATACTTTCGATTCACATCACCTAGTGATAGTCACGCCCAAAGCGGCCCATTCTTATAAGGCAGTCACTCTGAGTGACTGAAATTTGAAGATGCGCTTGAGCAGGGGCTGGGAGGGGAAAGTGGGAGAACACATTCTGAATAATCAGCGCAGAGAAATCAGTGCAGAGCCCTTTTCTAAAAAACTAACACACACACACCTATTTTTGGCAGTTGGATAAAAGGATACATATGAACTCCAAGTTCTCCCCCACCTTCTGCCACAGTTTCAATGATTTTCTTCATCACTTCCGCATGTCTGAAAGCAAATGGTGAATATCTTGAAATATACATATATTGCATTATTATATAATACAGTAAGTTATTTGATTACAGTATGTATGCAAGATAGTTGTTGGCGGCAGAAGCAAGCAATGAGAATTGAAAAATAAAGTTTAAATAGCTACTTCAAGCCATCTCTGGTTACTGCTTGGGCAACAGCAAGGCAGGTCTGCACTAGTATTCACTCTACTCCTATTTTATCATTGTTATTAGTGGGACTGGCAGAGATAATGTGGCAGCACGGGAGAACGGTATGCCAGCAAGGCTGGTATTACAACTTCCTCTCAATCCAATGCAGTCTGAACAGGACCAGGGAGGTTATCAGGGATTGAATGGCTATTGGACACAGCTAATGGATAGGCCTTCTAACGTAGAGTTAACACATAGGCATCCAAAGCAGACATCACTACTTGGAGGTAGTATAGCATTTAACAGTTGCTTAAAACATTACTCAAACCAGTATTTCTTCCACCATCTATCGCAATCACCCTATTCAAGGACTTCGTTTCCAACAGAATCACAACAAGGAAACAGCATCAACTAAGGTTGCAGCCTTTGCAATGAACCTCATTAAGCACTCAGAACAGTCCCAGGTGGTGAGTATTTTACTACCAATTCCCAATAACTCTTTCCCATAACAAAGCCTCACGCAACGGCTGAAGCTGGAAAAGTAAAAGGAAGACAGTGATGAGAGCAGGAGAAGCAGCCCAACACCATCAGAGCCAATAACTACTGGAAGACTTTTCCAAAACAACATGCTGAAAATTTGGGAGGATGCTAATGTTAATTAATTAATGAAATACTTTAAGAAAGCTAAACAACATGGATGGAAAACTGCTGTTTTTAAACAATTCAGAAAATGAAAATAAAAAAAAGGATTCAGCCAACAGCAGAAGAATTCAAGGGACACCTGGTTTTACTTCAAGTTGCGGAAGTGAAAACTGTGCCAGTCTATTAACCGTCTTAGTGAGTTCATCATGAATCCTACTAAGGAAATGATTGCCACATTTTTGAGAACAGATGTTGTGCAGCAGAATGGGCAAAATAAAGCTCAGCATAACACAATATTGGGAAACTCTGAGCAAACATTGGTTTCATATTATTCTTGCATTCTTACTGGGCTCCTGTTGCCCATTAACACCAGTGGCTTGTTATCAGGCTTAATACAATAAGTCTGTTGTACATGATAGACTTGCTGTTTTATGTGCATTTAATAATAAGGTAGAGGAAAGCCCTTAGCATGCTAATCTCAGGAGATATTGCTTTCAACTCCTTCAGTTCAAGTTGGTCAAACACAGACCAAAATGGCGAAACAGCTGGACAGCAGAGTTTGGCACTACATTTCGACTTCCTTTTCCAGACTTAAGGGGTCCAAACTTCTCAGTATGGGATATTAACAGCAATATAGCCCCCACTCCTGTTTGCTGACAGAAAAGGACCTGAGCTACTTGTGCCCAATAAGAGTTTATTTTTAAAAATCAGTCATGCTGTTATTCCCAGAGATTTCCATTCAGCATTGTTCAGTCTCTTTTGCCAGAGATGCTAAACTATCCTTTTGACTACAAAGTCAAAGGGACTTTGCCCGAGTAAGGGCAAAAGGTCTTCACCTGTTCTGGCAGAACACAGAACTGGACTTTTAAAATGAGTTTTAAAAGTTAGCATGCTCCTGTTATTAAAATGAAGGAGAATCACAGAATCTTCCCACCCTTTTAAACTGCAAAAACAAAATGATGGAAGTAAACAGCCTAAGCAGAACATTTAACTTCAACACCTTAAGCAGGTAACACTGTACTTCAAGAGTTCAACAAGAAGATCAGGGCTTTAGAGTGAAGACAAATGCATGTTCTGTCCATGCAGCAAAGTGTGACGTTTTGTGTAAACAGACAGCCTGAAAAGATTTTTTTAAAAAATAAAACAAAGAAACCCAAGTAGCAGAGCCTGAGATTGCAGCTTGAAGAATGACAACTGTTCTCATTTCCAGGATGATTGCCTGACACCTTCTGGAGAGTTTGAAAAGTGGGAAAAAACCAGAAAATTTACTTTTAGTTGGCAAGACCCCCAGCAGTCTGACTTCACAGTGGCCATCAAAGTCCATTGGGCAAAATCCAACAGCATCCACCCACCAGCAGGACACCACTGGCAGAACAGATTTCCTGTCTCTATGCAGCTCCCTAAAACACCCAAGATCTACTCCAGAGATTGGGGGAGCCTTTAAGAACACATGCAGGATGGGCTAGAGAGTTGCAGGGAAGGGAGAAAGAGAAGAAGAGGACTTCCCATTGCACGAGTGGAAGTCCGCTCAAATGACACTGTGCACTATGTAACAGACCTAATAAGTTAGAATGAGAGCAGTTTGAACTGAGTGCTGGGGGAAAGGGTTTCAGAGTTTAAAATCAATAAAGAATACAATAAAGAATAAAAAGATGCTAAAAAGTGGCCAGAATACAAAACACATTTCATCCACCAAAACTTTTTCCATGAATATTTTCATATGCTGTTAGTAAATTCATATGCTGTTAGAATGCAGACTGAAGCATACCTGCACGGATGAACTGAACACATTGGAGGTGGAGGAAGATGGGGATGGTTTTCAATTGTCACAGTCTTTTTGACATGGTCTTGACTAATATCTTCATACATATAGTCTACAGTTAATGGCTGTCGTTGCTAGAGAGACACAGAGAGAGAGAGACAGAGAAGTAAAGACAAATTGCATAGATTCCTTCTCTGTAATTAAACAAAGAATTTCAGCCAAGTAAATAGTGTTTTATTCTGGATTGCTTTATTTGATGTTTTAGTATGCTCTGGTTATCTCCCGTTTGGACTACTCTGCGTGGGGCTTCCTTTGAAGGTGACTCAGAAACTATAACTAATCCAGAACGCAGCTGCCAGACGGGTGACTTGGAGTGGCCGCTGGGACCATGTAACACTGGTCTTAAAGGATCTACATTGGCTCCCCATATGTTTCCAAGCACAATTTAAAGTGCTGTTACTGACCTTTAAAGCCCTAAATCACCTTGGCCCTGTATACCTGAAAGAGCATCTCCACCCCAATTGTTCAGCCTGACAGTGAGGTTCAGCTCCAAGGGCCTTCTGGTGCTTCCCTCACAGCAACAAGTTACACTGAACCAGGCAGAGGGCCTTCTCAGTAGTGGTGCCTGCCCTGTGGAACGCCCTCCCATCAGATCCCAAGGAGATAATTATACAACTTGTAGAAGACATCTGAAGGCAACCCTGTATAGGGAAGTTTTAATGTTTGGTGTTTTATTATCTTTTTATATCTGCTGGAAACCATCCAGAGTGGCGAGGCAATCAAGTCAGATAGGCGGGTACAAATAATAAAATTATTATTATCATCATTAACTAATTTGATTCCCCCCATAAAAAGTAAAGTAGTATAAAAATGAAATTAATAACAGCAACATAAAACAGAACTTACTTTGCAAGCCTCATACAGTAAGCCTGCAACTTAGGTGGGGGTTACATTATGCGGATTGTGCCTACAGCCAAAATCACATATAGTCAAAGCCCACTGGAATTGCAAAAATGAAAAATATGTATTTGGTCAACAGGGAGCTGAGTGCAAGAAACAAGTTCCGTTATTTTCTTGCTGACTTCCAGTGCACACCACAAAAGTAAGCTTCATGCAAGAGCGACACCAAAGAAAGCTTGTTTACATTTGTTTGCAGAAGGCTGCATGATCTTTGACACAGTATGTCTGAGGCCGCCTTGTCATAACTTATTACCAATTTTATTGCACTACTGAGCTCTGAACAGATTCAAATAAGGAAAAAAGAATGTTGTACCTCATCATAACCAAATAACCAGAGCCTTGGTGTTTGGTAGTATTTGTCATATGTGATGTAAAGGTCATACGTCCTGGTCTGTAGGATAGCTTCTTCTTCTCCTCCTCCTCCTCCTCCTCCTCCAACATCAGCTTTTGCCTTAGCAGCTTCCACTATTTTTCTTGTATCCAATGTTGCCTGCTCAAGATTTTAAGAAATAAATTGATAGCTTTAAAATGTCAGCTGTTGCCCACTCCCTACCAAATTCAATGACTACAGGCATTAGGTAAAGGTAAAGGGACCCCTGACCATTAGGTCCAGTTGTGACCGACTCTGGCAGGCATTAGGTGGTGGTATAAACTCTTTTCATTGAATTGGTGGTTAGTTTTTAATGAAAATATACATATGAAGTCCACATGCAGTTTTAAAAATAATATGCTACTGGACACATTGCTGCTGCCCAATGAACACAGTGCACTTACATCATCTGTCTCCAACAGCCCACTCTCTTCATAATCTGAAATGATATAAAAAGATCATGTTACTATTTACTGCTTTTGTTAAATATTTGTGCGTGCCCAGGGTGTTCAAGGAAGATGCAGATTAAGAATGAAGTTATCAAGTTTATAAAAATACACTTTGCAGTGTATGCTGTAACAAAGAATGCATTCCTCAATATAAACATTAAATTATATTGAGGTGCACATAACCAGTTGCCACCTCACCCACGGGATAAGCTGCTGTGTTGTCACAGAATGCTCACAAACATTCTGTGTGCTAGGGTGGTAGGAAAAAGCAGGCAGGCTGAGGGCTGGGTAGAGTGCCCAAGAGGCAAGCAAAATCAGGATAAAAGAAAAGGAGCAGTGTAGGTTAAGATAGAGGAGCCCAAGCAAGCTATAGAGAGTTGAGAAAAGGAAAAGAAGGGAAAGTGTGGTTGAAAAACCACTCAAGGTTCAAGCAGCTTTATGGTATAGCTCCCCCTGTAAATATATTCTATGGTGGAATTTTACCATTTTTTTCTGTATGAAGATTATGAATTTGATTATATTTCCTAGCAGTTCACCTACAATTACTTCCTGAATTAGTTTTTATATTTAGGAGCATATACTTTTTTTATGCGTTCCAAAACTTAAAAGGGGCCAATTCTGTCCTCTTGTCATTCCCCCCCCCATATTTGTTAATGACCACAGACAAGTGATTAGTAGAGATGAGGTGGAAACCAAGTTTGTGTGAGCAGATTTAAGCTCGAGGCACTTCACCCTCATCTTCATGTGCCCCCAAAACCTGCTCCAGGGGGCTCCCCAAATGGCATTGCCATTTCTCTCTTAAGACTACAGTGTACTTTGTCATTATTTTAATTTGCCTTGGTATCATCCTTTCTACTAGGTTGGCTTTCTTAGCTTCTTTTGACCTAATCTGTCCCTTGGAAGTATTGTGCCCTACTCATCAGAATGCCACTGAGTTGTCAGGCCAGTTGTGTGATTATAGTAATTTAAGACTACGTCTTTTAAGTTCCTCTTATTGATTTGTTACTGGTTACTGACTACTGGTAGCGAAATTTAAAAATAGGAAGGTCTTATCAGTCTTTCACACTTGCACCCCACCTTTCCTCAAGACACTCAGGATGGCTAGTAGAATCATGACTATTTTGATGGAGCAAGACAAAAATAATCTTGGCTAGTTTTGTATCACTTACATTCCATCTTACATAACAAAACGTAGAAACATAAATTTCTTCCATGTACTCTCAACTCCAGTGAGTGACTCCTTGAAAATATTACTTTTAAATTTATTGCTCCATGAAGGAAGTACTGTAACTCTTTCCTGCAAGGGGTTTCAAGAGGCATTTTAACTTCACCACAACCCTGTGATGAAGTAACAGAGCTTCACAACTGTGCAGGTATTTGAATCTGATTTCCTACATTTGAGTCCAATACTCTACTCCAGGGGTTGGCAACCTGCTGCCCATGGGGGTCATTTAACCGGCCCACGAGCTGCCCCTGGTCTGAGCCGCCCGGCGAGTCCCCACATGCTGTGCTAAACTGGCACAGTGCGGGGACTCACTTCCGTGGCGCCGGAAATTGTGTCTGCAGAGACGCCGGAAATTGTGGGTGCTCAGGCGCAGGAAATTGCGGGTGTGCACGCTCACGCACAATCCACCCCACAGAGGGATCTCTGCTGAAGTGAACTGGCCCAGGCGAGGTAAATCTTGCCGACCTCTGCTCTAGTCTTTACACCTCACTGGAAGTGATGAGTAACTCCCAATCAAACCTCTTGCCTCAGAATTAAATCTATACAGATGAATCCAATTAAAAATTCATCTAACCTCCTTCTCATCTAAGATCTCCATTAAGAAAGTTTCCCCAGTACCTTCTCCTTTCCCAACTGGGTTCCAATGTTTACAAAATTATCATCTTTGGAGTCTCAGTTTGAATTCATTGCTTCTTGTCCACAAGAGCAGCGACCAATCCCCCTCCACCTCAAGGGACTGTTTCATGCATTTAAATAACTGCAGTGAAGTTTGCAACGCTATGCAGGAAGGAATCTTCTGCAGAAAGAATTCTGTGAACAAAATGGACTCAAAAGTGCAATGATGGCAACATTATTGTTTTGCTTCTGCTTCATATCTAACAACAACATGATCTAGTGAAGCATTCCTTCAAGTGAGTGGCCATTACCTTCCATATCAGCTGCCTCTCCCTCATCATCATCTTCATCATCACAAGACCCTGAGCGCTCTGGTAACTTTGTATTGTCCTTTGAAGACAAGAAAAAGCAATGTACTGTTTCAGTGTCCCTGACTAGAGCATCCATGCATCAAACTTAAGAGATCACTCAGCAATTCCATGAATGGGGAGACTGAATCACTCTATCAACTTGCAAACTGGCCACTCGCTGTGGTACCAAAACACAAGGACCAAAAACGTACCAATAAATGTGTCAATAAAGCTTGTTTCTTGATCATCATGAAGGTATATGAAAATATTGTATGGCAGTAAAGCCCTGCTCTAAATGAAATCCGATGCAATGAGTTATAGCTAGTTTTTCAATTCAAATTCAAATTGTACAGCCCTCTCAAAGCATGCCGTATCTTTTAAAAAGTGGTGACCTCACATTCCTATGCTGCATCAGAGACTGCACACCCTGGCTGGGATAAAACTGAAGACAGCAACCACAAAGCATGCAAACTTTACCACTCTCGAATACATTTTCTCTTTTGGGAAAATTAGAAATGTTTTGCGTTAAAAATGAAGCACTTTTGCCAAGCATAAGCATAACTCAGTCCAGCCATTTCTAGATAAGATAGGACAAGGGTAAACCTACCCATTCCCTCACCTGGGCAGTCTACATCAAGGATGGGAAACCTGGGGACTCTATTCCCACCAGCCCCAGCCAGCACAGCCCATGGTCAGGGATAAGGGCAGCTGCAGGCCAGCAACTTGTGTCCATATGCCTCCTCCATGACATATCCAGAGAGTGACAACGTGAGAACAGGCCTTTTCTGTGGTGGCTCCCCGTTTGTGAAATGCCTCCCCCAGGGAGGCTTCCCTGGCGTCTTCATTACATATCTTTTGGTGTCAGGTGAAAACATTCCTCTCCTCTTCTCCCAGGCCAATCTATGGCCTTTTAAACTGAAGGAGGGAAGGTTTGTCGCTTTTGTCTGTTACTATGCTATGTATGTTTGTTTGTTTGTGCCCTTATATTGTAAACCACCCTGTGATTCTCAGACGAAGGGTGGTATAGAAATTTAATAAATAAATAAAAACACTTGGACAGCCACAGGAGTCCCATCCCTGCTCTAGGTAACCAGCAGTTTGGGGGCTGCAATGTAACCACAAATTAGCTGCTCTCCTATCTAAACCAGCCGCCAAAACAAAAGGACAAAAATGTGCTTTAAATCTCTGCACTGCTCTGGCTGGCTACCTTCACATTAGCCAACATGGCTCTGTTACCTGTGGGCTTCAAAAACTTTCCTGAATTTGTTTTCATGAATATGCTTGCATATTCTACAGAAGAGTGCCTCCCTCAATCCAGAGCTATGCAGTGGATTTACTGCTGTGATTCATATTAGGCATCTAACCTACTGTTCCAATCGACTGGAGACATAAAAGGGAAAATAATTTTTCTTCGGGGAAAGCAGTTACGCCAGCAAGCCTACCAAGTTGTTAGGTTTACTCAGTGCTATTTTTCTAGAAAAAGAGGTGCCGGAACTCACCGTGAACACCTCCCTTGTTCTCTTAGAATGGCAATGGTGCCCATTGACAGGTGCCAGAACTGGGTTCCGGCAAGTTCCGGCTGAAAAAAAGCCCTGGGTTCACTTTGTATTACCCATCAGCATATTAGCCACAGATTCACAACTTAATACCTTGCTTTCCAGTGTGATCTCCTTAATGGATTCTGTCACTCCTGTAACGCCTGTAGAGAGCACAGATATAGTCAGAACTAGGGAGAAACCTGCTAATATTTTGATTCTACAAACAGCTGCTCCCCACCCCAAACCCTGGGTGATGGCAACTGTGACTTATAATTTCTGAAGATGGTCTCCAGGTCTGGACACTTATGTGTTCTAGAGCATTATTCAGAGTACACGAGAATAGAGGCCGCAAGCTGGGCATTTACAAGTTTAATATACAAGAGAAATATACAATACCTGCATTGTGATATGTGTCCACCCATCCTCCATCCCCATCATCTTCTTCTATAATGGCTTCCAGTTCATCCGAATACTCCATCTGTTTACATCGCTTATAGCATGGCACTACAAAAAACAACGAACACTCTTCATTCACAAAATCAGCTGGAGATAAATTATCCCAGGGTTTCCAGAACTGGAGGTTGATGTATACACTTCACAAATCTCAGCACACATTTTTGGAGCATGGGTTTAGTCTTAAGCAAAGCTTACTGCTCTGGGGAATCCAAATGTGTCCAGGCACAAAAAGGACACTAACTTAGCTAGGAGCTAAAATACACTGAAAGCATTTAGCAAGCAGTGCAGATGTCAATTGAAACTTATATGCACTAAGGGCAAGTGCCTTCCTGAATGTTATTGAAGCATTTGATTCAGCATCACATAGAGGAACTGCAGAAGACCTAAGGATCAGCATATGTATTGTAAGGTGGGTAAAACCCTATTATACTGTTTCCTAAGTATAACATAATCATAAAGAACTGGTACGGTATTTGAATGTTCTCTCAGTTTTGCATAAAGTACATGTTTATCAGCTTCATTCAATTTTGTTGTTTTGGATCAAGACAGAAGCAGATATTGAAAGAATTGCTCAGGCCTCTAGTCTAACCTGCTGCTGTGGGATAAGAACACCTGCCTGCCCTATGTCCCTCACCAATCAAGTCACCCAAGCCAGCCTACCCCATAGTGGTGCCCTCCTGATGGTCAGGGATGATGGAGCTGTAGTCCAACGCATCTGGACTACATTATGCATTGCATAAAGATGTTTACAGAACAGCACCAAATTACTCATAAAAGTAAGCCATACCACAAGCACAGTTTACTTACCCATGTCATGCACATAAAAGAAGCTAAGGATCTAAAAAGTTCACATAGCAGCTTTTCAAACAGGACAGGAAAATTGGCTTTCAAGTGGATAAATCGAAACTAGAAATTGAACTGTTAGAACCCAACACTAAGAATTTGTCAAGAATGTATAATTTGTTGCTGAAATGGAATACACAGGATGAAACGGTGAAATCAGCCATGATTAAATGGGCACAAGACATTGGTCATGACATTATGTTTGCCGACTGGGAACAGTTATGGACCACCGGTGTTAAGTTTACGGCATGTAATGCCTTAAGAGAAAACATAATGAAAATGATTTACAGGTGGTACATGACCCCAGTCAAGCTGGCAAAAATTTATCATCTGCCCGATAACAAATGTTGGAAGTGTAAAGAGACTGAAGGTACCTTCTACCACCTTTGGTGGACATGCCCGAAGATTAAGGCCTTCTGGGAAATGATCTATAATGAAATCAAAAAGGTACTCAAATGTACCTTCTCGAAAAAACCAGAGGCCTTTCTCTTGGGCATTGTCGGCCAATTGGTGACAAAGAGGGATAGAACTTTCTTTATGTATGCTACAACAGCAGCAAGAATACTCATCGCAAAGTATTGGAAGACCCAAGATCTACCCACTTTGGAAGAATGGCAGATGAAAGTGATGGACTATATGACATTGGCCGAGATGACAGGCAGAATCCGTGACCAACGAAAAGAGACGGTGGAAGAAGAATGGAGAAAATTTAAAAGTTATCTTAAGGACTACTATAAACTTAATGAATGCTAAAATGTTGCGGTTTCCAGAAATAAAGGGATACAGGGATATAAGGTTAGAAATTTAAAAAAGGACTAAGAAGATAGAGATTGGAAAATAACAATTGGGAGTTGCTAGTTGAACTTTGGACACTGGGATGCAGAGGGGGGGGGTATGGGGAAGTCAAAGGAAAGAAGTTTATGAAAATATGTTTGAAACTATACGTGTATGTTTGTCATTTTTGGTGTTTGTTTGTTTTTTGTTTAAAAAGTTTCTAAAACCAATAAAAATTTTATAAAAAAAAATAAAATAAAAAGTTCACATAGCAACTCTCAAGGTATAAAACTTTGCACGCCTATCAAAGTTAGTTTAACAGCAAGTATGAAAGTAAAGATACATCTGCAGGGCTGTGGCTGGTGCATATTCAGTCACAACCACAGCACTAGTGCCAAACTTACCATTTTTAGTGACCAAGAACTGTTTGTCTGTTGGGAGATATGCCTTGACCTTTAATTCTTCTCCTGTAGCCCTTAAAAATATGAAGTAAGGCTGTGAAAAGCTGCATACATTCAGAGACCAATTCTGGCTCTTATGCAACAGAATCATGTTTCTGCTAAAGCAGAAACAAAAAACACTCTGACCAGTTTCAAAGATTATTTGCCCTGTGGCACAGAAAGGGGGAGGGGGGGGAGGGAGAAGGAAGAAAATAGAAAACTACCCAAGTAGTTTTCCCCCTTTGGAAGACAGACCTAGTTGTCTAGTGCATGGAATCCCAGTCTGCATTTCCACTTCTGTTAAATGATAAGAGCATTCTCAGAATTGCATTTCTTCTGCTTCCCCTTTTACAACATGCAATGCATCAAGCTTATTGTATCTGTTGCAGGAAGGAGACAAGGGGCTTCTGTGAGCTCAAACCAAAGGAACTGCTCAAAGCCTGTTACAAGTTGTAGACAGATAGGCATTTTTCAATCCTACCATTCTTCTAATCCTAAAAAACACCTTTAAAGTGCGACTAATGTTTCACTAAAAGGTAAAGGTAAAGGTACCCCTGCCCGTATGGGCCAGTCTTGTCAGACTCTGGGGTTGTGCGCCCATCTCACTCAAGAGGCCGGGGGCCAGCGCTGTCCGGAGACACTTCCGGGTCACGTGGCCAGCGTGACAAAGCTGCATCTGGCGAGCCAGCGCAGCACACGGAACGCCGTTTACCTTCCCGCTGGTAAGCGGTCCCTATTTATCTACTTGCACCCGGGGGTGCTTTCGAACTGCTAGGTTGGCAGGCGCTAGGACCGAGCAGCGGGAGCGCACCCCGCCGCGGGGATTCGAACCGCCGACCTTTCGATCGGCAAGCCCTAGGCGCTGAGGCTTTTACCCACAGCGCCACCCGCGTCCCTTAATGTTTCACTAACTATACATAAAAAACCCTCTTTTGGTATATTAAATATTTGTCTTTGTATCCTGATAAATCTTAAAAGCTAAATTGAAAATGAAGTCAGTACAAGCTCATAAAAAATACAACACATATCTCGAGCAATTTCAAGTGTCCATGTTTTATGTTCAGAAGTCAAAGGAATTCAGAGCAGATACACTCAAGTAATGGTATACAACTGAGAAGTAAGCCACATATGCTCACGTCCATTCTGCAACACCCTCTCAAAAAAAGTAGGTGGGGTGGAGGGAAGAATTATAAAATTAGGCGTCTTTGTATAGTTTCTCTCTCACACGCAGTGGGAAATACGTGCACATTCACAATCACCAGACAGTGAGTGTGCTACCCATCCCTATGTATTCTTTTGAGGTGGTTTCTGTAGAATCTTACTTACCATTGCCAAGTAGGACAGTGGTGAACTAAATGGTCTCCTGCTGCCACAAACTGCCAAACACAAAACAGAAGAAGGCTGAAAAATATCTGATATATACAGAGTTTCACCAGCCTCAGTAGCCTTAACATCGTGACTTATATCTGTACAGAATAAGTGTGAGATCAAATCCTAAGGATACCAGCTCAGTAATTTGTCTTTCCCAATTCAGAGACAATTGCTCCTTGAACAATTTCTGCAGATGCATATACAAGAAAATATTTTGTCTGAATGGGACTGTCACACAATTAACTTGCAAACTGGAATGGGATTCCTGGATAGATTGTTAATGGGATGATCCACAAGCCAAGTGCAACAGCTGGCATTTACACACTAAATATTTTAAAGGCATATAGCCACAAGACATGCTCCAAAAATATAGTGATGAAAGCCAAAAAGAACCATGCACTAAATAATCACCATCACAAATAGTCACATCTAAGCAAGGTTCTTTCTTCTCTCTCTAGAGACAGAATGACAGAAAAACCATCTTTAATATATTAAATATTTATTGCAGTGTCAACTTCTTGGGACAGTGAGCAAGAGCCACTTATATCTGCACTAAATAAACAACTACTAGGAAAATCTAGTGGACTGTCAGAACAGAGGAGAAGTAGAAATGCTTAGCTAACCACCATAGTTAACTGATCCATCTCCAAACAAGTCTTCAGGTTGTATCTCAAGTAGTGCAGGACTTTCCCTTCCCTTCCTCCCCTACATGCTCCCCAAATCTGTTTTGGGGAATCATTCAACACTTTGGAGCAGATTCTGAGGGTGTGTGGATGGCAGTGGAGGAGTGGGAAGTTCCACTGCACAAGCAGAAGTCTGCTGTGCTAACAGAACACCAGCACTCAATATAAACCTATATCTTTACATCTTGCTGAAATAACAAGATGGGGAGGGGAGAATTCTGTTACTGTTAGGATGTGCTTTCCGTTATGCACACTGTGTGTTAAGTTCAAAGCAGCGAAGGTCCAGTCTAAAAATCAGGCAAGCAGAGGGAGCTAAATTATTATATTGATGCAAGTTTGCTGGTTAGCCAAGCATGGAACGTAAGTATTCAGTGGCTTCATATAATAACTTGAAGACAGATTAAAAAGAACCCATAAGCACTGCCATCAAAGATTAAATTCTTATCAGTGAATCCCTCTGCAGTAAAAATCTGCCACTCCATCGACATTTAGGAATTAAGGTCAAAAAATCTAGCCTTAATTGCTAGCATTCAATTTTTAGAAGTTATTTTTTTTTGCTGAACAAGTTTGTATTTCAGGTGACAGAAAAAGGTTTGCAAGATCTCCCATAAGCTTCAGGTACTGGTGTTCCTTTGATAAGAATTGTAATACAGTAGAAACAAATATTATGCCAAAACTGGACGAATCAGTTTCCTTTTTAAAAAGGGGAAAGAAAACAGGGAAGGCCTCTTAAGTTCAGTGCAAACTTCTGTATTCCTGCTATTTGTAACATCATTGGAAATGTTCTAGATCACAGTCATGAGCAATTACTTTCTTCTGCATTTGCAACTGACCATGCTTTAGTAAAAAAAACCATGAGTTCTGCCTCATCCATTTTGTGGTATGTGAAGGCAGGGGCCAAAAACAGACACGTGAATCTTGGGCATGCCTATTTTCTTTCTATAAAAATTCTTAACCCTACCTCTTGTGTCTTCTCCTTCTTTCACATGCTACACGAGTCTTACACACTTACTTTGCAAGCACCTTTCAAATAAGTAGTGTCCCAAGGTAAAATATTAAGACCTAGATCGCGTAATCTGAAGTCTGTTTGATAATTCACTTCTGGGCCCAATTTAAGATTCTGACATTGAGCTTTAAAGCCGTAAACTGTTTGGGACCAGATTACAGTGATGCCTTGGTTCTCGAATTTAATCCGTTCTGGGAGTCCATTCAACTCCCGAAATGGTTCGAAAACCAAGACACAGCTTCCGATTGGCTGCAGGAGCTTCCTGCACTCAATCAGAAGCCGCATCGGATGTTCCGCTTCTGAAAAACGTTCGCAAACCGGAATACTCACTTCTGGGTTTGCGGTGTCCAGGAGCTGATTTGTTCGGAAGCCAAGCCGTTCAACTACCAAGGTACCACTGTACTTGGAAGTACTGTTTGCCATAAGATCAGATACAAGTACATATTTGCAGGGCGCCCATTATAAATATATTAGATTGGTGGGTACAATAGATAGAGCCTTTTCAGGTCCCACGTCTTAGAACTCCTTCCTAAGAAGTTTCATTTTGCTCCTTACCCATTTGCTTTTAGACAACTCTGATAGACATTTTAATCTCAATCTGTCTTTAAGTAAAATAGTGTTTGTCAATGGATTGTCAATGGTAAAGCTGTTTTGTGATAGTAATAGTTTGGGATCTCTTTATGCTACTGATTTTAGTTTACAGTGGTGCCTCGCAAGACGAAATTAATTCGTTCCGCGAGTTTTTTCGTCTTGCGATTTTTTCGTCTTGCGAAGCACGGTTTCGGAAAAGTTTTGGAAAAGCTTCAAAAATCACCAAAGTCTTCAAAAACCTCAAAAAAGGCTACCACACCGCGTGCTATGAGTTGCTCCTCGAAGTCAAGTCACAACTGTATTAACAGTGTTAAGAAAAAGGAAACAAACTTGCAAGACGTTTCTGTCTTGCGAAGCAAGCCCATAGGGAAAATCGTCTTGCGAAGCAGCTCAAAAAACCAAAAACCCTTTCGTCTTGCGAGTTTTCCGTCTTGCGAGGCATTCGTCTTGCGAGGTACCACTGTAATTTTTGAAGCTACTGGAATTAAAGTGTTTTTAGGATCTTGATTGTAAGCTGCTTGTGAAAATGTTTGGTTTCAAAAGCAGCATATAAATCTTTAAATAAAATAACAGCACGACCCAAATTGAAAGGTACATGCAGGTATTTAGACACAGTCCACAGCTAGACTAGTGAGGGGGACACAATGTCCCTCATTTACAAGGAAAGCTGCATAGACAAGAGCACCAATATACTGAGAAAACTCTAGAACATAGTAGAAGAACGCCAAGGAAAATACTGATTGAAATAGATGCTAAACAAGTACTTGAAAATATTATTGTGTTTGCTGTTGCAGACCTCTCAGGAAGAGGAAGCAGTTACAAATTTTGTAATATTTCCACATTTCCTCTTAAAATCATTTTTGAACAGCTGATGCACTAATTTAAGAAGTGTACAAATCTCAGCTTTTTGTCTGTAGCATCCCTCAAGGCAGCTTACAAATACAGTGGTACCCCGCAAGACGAACGCCTCGGAAGACGAAAAACTCGCTAGACGAAGGAGTTTTTCGTTTTCTTAGCCGCTTCGCAAGACGCGTTTCCCTATGGGCTTGCTTCACAAAACGAAGCTTGCCCCGCAAGCTCCGGGGATAGCGAGGAAGCGCGTCTTCCCCGCTGTCCCCGGACCTCTTTTGAAGCAAGGGGCGGCGGGGAGAAGATCGCTTCTCCCCGTTGCCAGCCCCACAATCTCCGGGGACAGAGGGGAAGGCGCGTGCCAAGGGGCGGCAACGGGGAGAAGCGATTCTCCCCGCTGCCCCTTCCCTTGCTTTAAAACAGGTCCGGGGACAGAGGGGAAGGCGCGCGGCGCTTCCCCTCTGTCCCCGGACGGTCTCCATAGGAACACATTGATTGATTTTCAATGCATTCCTATGGGAAACCGTGCTTCGCAAGACGAAAAACTCGCAAGAAGAAAAAACTTGCGGAATGAATTAATTTCGTCTTGCGAGGCACCACTGTACCGTGCATTTTAGAATAGCTAGAAAAGGGATCTGTTTTGCAGCCCAACCCAATGCATTTTTACAGAGAAAAATCCAGTTGTGTGCACATACAATTTCAGTTGTAGTGGGTGCAGAGATCTGGTTGGTATGTTCACAATTGTGAATGACTTTTCCAAGAAAATATGGACTAAATACTGGCATTCTGTCACAATTGTAGTTTGCATTAAGAGGAACTAGAAAACTCTGCAACAGGAACTTCTTGTTTTACTACTTTCAAAAAGTTACTTTGAAAAACAAGCCAACAAGTGTATACATACCTCTTCGGGAGTGATAACTCCAGTTTCTTTAAACTTTGATTCCTACAGTCAAAATAGAGAAGAAAAATAAAAAGATGACTTTTTAGATTTGAAAGTAAAGGTCTCAGGGTAAAGACAAACTAGGCCAGGCAAGTCAATATTACTAAGCTTCTAATCTACCTCATAAAATGATGATAGCGTTATATATCCTTGTGTATACTACCCTGAGATCCTTAAAGGCAAGACATAATGGGCAGTATTCAACTAAACACCAACTTTTAGCTATACAATGTAAATACCCCATCCTCCCCTCCCCTCTCCCCATGTGCCCTCCATGCACCACCTAAATCTACCCTAGAGTTCCCCCAGCCTCTGGAGCAGATTTAGGGGCTCATGGGGAGTGAGGAGGGAGTGGTACATTACACAGCTAAAAGTCACTGCACTAGGATAACTGATTGAGTACTGCCCCAAATTAACAAAACATACACTGACAAGTTTTGCAGTCTGGTTGGGAAACATGCCCAGAATTGGGGTGGGGTGGGGAAAATCAAAGACTACTGTAGAATGAGAAATTCACTAAAAACTTTGCTCTGCTATATAACTACAAACTTTGACCAGGGTCATTTCTTATACCTCTTGCTTTCCATTCACATTTTAAATCCCTCTATCATCTGCAGCAAGCATAAAATTTGGCCCATATTTAAGAATACAATCAGGAAACACACAAATACAAAATTTTGGGATTTTTCTATCTTCATTTTTAGGACATCCTAAAGTGGAAATTCAGATGAAGCCATGGAACCTTTTAGATGAGCAAAAAAAGGATGGATTCTGTAATACGTAGCTCAAGGGTGCCAGAGTTATTTCCATTTCTGCTCATGAAGACAAATTTTGAGTTAGGATACTTAAACTTATGTTCCTAAAAGTGGTCTAGCATATTTCTTATTTACATATATTTTTAGTCTTAAAACACACATACTGCACATGTTTGTAACTTTTGTAGATTTGTAAACAAGCTACTGTTGTATATTTTGAAACAGATCTAGGTATACTGATTTAAGTACTTACAGAATATGTTTACATATTGTTTGAGCTCCAACAGTATTATCTCTCACTTAGTGGCAATAAGCATCTACATTTAAAAATAATTTTTGTCATGCTTTTATGGGAGGGGTACAGTCTCAAGCCGTGGAGCATAGGAGCACAGCAAACATTAAATGGAGGTTTATACCCTCCCACCCCAGCTGTGAACACCACAAAACTGCCCCCCAACATGGCTACAAATGTTCCTTAAAAAAGTTCCCATTGGTGCCAAGAGTCTTTACTGCTCCTTTTTGCCATTGAGGAAGGGTGTCCATTCTGGGAGCAGAGTCACAGCAAAGAAGGGAAGGGATAAATTCCATTCTCCATCTGCTGTGCTTCCAATAACAGTAGTGTGAGCATCTATGATTAAGTAAAGAATACAGTGGTACCTTGGGATGCGAACGGGATCCATTCCGGAGCCCCGTTCGCATCCTGAAGCGAATGCAACCCACATCCGTGCGTTGCCGCTTCTGCGCATGACGTCATTTTGACCATCTGCGCGCGGCGAAACCCAGAAGTAACGTGCTCCGTTACTTCCGGGTCGCCACGGAGCACAACCCAAAAATACTTAACTTGAAGCAAATTTATCCCAAGGTATGACTGTAAACAGAAGCATAGCTGCTTGTAATGCATTCAATGTAACATGCAGTTTGAACTTTACATATTTTCAGCTTTTAATTTGCTTGGTTCTACATTATCACAAACTCTCACCTCTCATCTGTTTAAAGAAGAACTGTTAAAAAATGACAATCATTCAGAGAGCTGTGGGGACTGAGTCCACATCTGCTTTTAAAAATGCCAACTATGGGCAGAGCCATTCATAAAAGTTACAACTTCTAGGCTCCAGATACACACACCACCTGGATTTTTTCCATTCTTTCTCTGGCTCCTGAATAAATTATGCTTATTCTACTGTTTTCTCCAAGGACAGTGTCTCTTCTGAACGAGATAGAAGTATCCTTCCTTCTCCATGCATCAATGCAACACAGCAGCACCACTTATCCAAAGAAGCTGTCATAATAGTGTTCTGTAAGAGCAGGGGAACATGCATTCTTTATGGCTCTGGAGTGCATTTATTCCTCAGAAACCTGAAGCAGTAACGAAAGACCTTTGTACTTAGCAAACATATTTCAGTTTGTGCTGCACCAGTTCTTTTGCAGGATACCTGTTCACAGGCCAGCGAAACACATCAAAACACATAACCCGTTACCCATTGCAAAGAAAATGTGCACTGTAAGCACACTGTTACCACATGACATACAGAACAAGGCCGCGCCACCTTCAGAGAGGAGGACAGGCCACCTTTGACAGCTCCTGCAGGGTAAACATACAACCTGCACGGTTTTATGGGTCACATAAAGGGCCATTCCTCCTAAGAGGGGGATATAACAGAGGGCACTGTAGCCATTTTCCAGGGAGAGCAAAAAACAAAAACCAGTGGTGAGGGGAAACAGAAAAGGGTGCCTTGGCACTGCCGATTTGTTGTCGGCGTTTTGGCACAAAGCTTTCAGGGGCTCCTTTTAGTTACAAGGTAAAACTATAAATAAATAAAACGCGCGAGTCTTCAGGGTTGCACAAGGCTCTTGGTTGCCTATATGAGGGCTGCTTCTGGGTTTCTCACCGACAGAAATGCTATTTTGGCGAGGGTGGGCGGAGAAAAAGCGGGGTCCCCCCCCCATGGGAACGACGTGACAACGGGGACCCCCCCCGCCCTTCCCTCCGGCTGCTGCTCCGCGCACTCCATTCCGGGGGCTGAGGGAGGGGCCTCACCTTCAGCACCGGAGTCAGGTACTCGGCCACCTCCAGCGCCTTCCCCTTCACCGTGTTAATGACGCTCTGCATCCTGCCGGTGCTGCGGGCGGGGCCAGGTGGGCGCCTCTCGCCGCCGCCGCCGGCCACCGAACCGCAAAGCCAGCCCAACTGCTCGCCCCGCTTCCTGCCTCCCTTCCGGGCGATCGCCGCCACCCAGGACTCCGCCCCCTCCCCCCCCGGTGCCTCCAATGAGGGTCGGAGGAGGGAGTCACGTGAGGGGGGCCCCTGGACGCGGGATTCGCTCAACACACTCCCTCCTCCGTCCTGTTCTGAGGCAGACGCAGAGTCCCGCGCCCTGAAAGGTATCTCTTGCGCCTGCGCGAAGAAGGGGCGGGGAAGAAAAAGGCTCCCGGCTGCGGACGGAGATAGTCGCCCGTAGAGATAGGAAACAAAGAGTCGCACGACTTTATTTCTTCCCCTAGTCAGGTCACACACGTCGGTAGCACCTCAATCCTTATTGGCGCTCCCGGTCCCAATGCATACAGCAGCTTTGGTGTGTTTTAAAACCCACAGTGGGGCGATACCTTTATTAGTAGGAATCAATAATATCGCCCCCCTCCAAAAAACCCGGTATTGCCTAATTCCGTCTCCCTCAACACGGTTACTTTTTGTATGTGCTACTCTTTACTTTTCCTATCTCTATGAATATTACCGTACCTCTATGGCACCACCTCCCTCTCTGACGTCGCTCGTGTCATGTGATCGAGCAGGAAGTGGCGGCGGCTGAGCGCTCTGTGCGCGTGCGTGAGGGGCGAGCGGCCAGAGGCTGGGGCCGGCGAGGAAAGGGATGTATGAAGAGAAACTGCAACAGCTGTCAGACAACGACACCTCTGGGAGGCTGAAGGTGCGAGAGGTGGGCTAGGAAGGCCCAGGGTCCTGAGTTCAAATTTCACCGCAGCTGCAGGATAATGATAATGATAATGATAATAATTTTATTATTTATACCCGGCCCATCTGGCTGGGTTGCCCCAGCCACTCTGGGAGGCTTCCAACACATATAAAAACATAGTAATCATTCACGGAAGGGAAGCTGTGATTTCCTGTAGTCTCAAGGTGCCTGTTGAGGCTGCCGGCTTGTCTTCTGTGCGTTTAGCAGCAGCTACATATACAGAAATGTAACAGGTGAAGATTTTCCTCAATTGAAGATAAAGCTATGCCAGAAACTATGTGTATAAAGGGCCTACCCAACAAACTCTTTGCAATAAGTTCATAATAATACCAATCCATATTAGAAGGTTGTACGGATAACAAAGATAGGGTATCTAAAGCTCTTTCAATACTTGACCTGTGCTATATAAAGGATAATTGCTTTTTATTCTATTACACATACCTGCACAAGATTGGCCAATTTGTTCATTTCAGTCAGTTCATGAAACAATCGGTTTGATGTTGCAGTTTTGATTTCAGTTAGTTTTCAGGAGGAAATACACAACTGTGTGCAAGAGGGAGAAATGGAGAACAATAGTGTGAATTTGGAGGACGTGGAGTTATAGCTGTTAAAATAATGTGTCAAGTTTCCCTTTCTTCCTATGCAAAATGCAATTGTTTGGAGTATAACTTAGTCCCCTAGACCTTACTTGGCAGGTATTATCAAATAATGTTCTTTAGGATCCCTATCCATTCAACCCCTGGCTGTCAGCAGTAGGGCTTCATGCAGCGGCATAGCTGATGCCACTTCCAGAGCCCTGCCACTCTTGCTAGCCAGGGCAGAAGGTGGGAGGGGCAGAGAAAAATACCCTTTTGCTACACCAGCTCCTATGTTTTTATTGTCCGATTTTGTTTATTTGCAAATGATTTACAAATGCTTAGATGGGCTGTTGTGTGTGTTTGTATTGTTGATTTCCTTCATCACGTATGAAAATGCCAAAATAAAACATTACTTACATAGAAGAAGGAAGAATTCTAAACTTTTCATGCTCTTTAAATACTATTGCATAATTTGGAGCTCTTGTCTCAAAATGCTTCAGATGCCACAAGCCTTTCAGCTTATTCAGCTGAGACAAGGGAAGTTTCTTAATAAACCTTCTACGTGATGAAGAGTGGATAGGTAGGAGTTACTCTCTTCTTGTAAGACCAGAACTCTGACATATCCAATGAAGCTGAACGTTGGAAGATTCAGGAGGACTGGCCAAAAAAAAGCATTTGTTTTCACAGAGCACATAGTTAAACTATGAAATTGATTCCCAGAAGATAGGGTGATGCCACCAACATGGGTAGCTTTGAAAGAGGATTAGACAAATTCATGGAGAATAAGGCTAATAATGACTACTAGATACAATGGCTATCTTCTGCCTCTGCTCTCAAAGGCAGTATGCCTTGGAGTACCAGTTCCCGGGAATCACAAGTGGAAAGAGTGCTGTTACACTGCTTGGGGCTTCCCACTGTGAGGAAAGGCTCTTCTTATGTTCTTAGGATCTTAGTTTAAAATGTGTGCGCCATTCAGTTCTGCAGGTGCTTTAATGGTTTTATTTGGAATAGCAATGCAAGAAGATTAGATTAGGGCCTCCAGAATATTGTTCAAGCATGTGCGGAGAAAACACAATTTCATTCAGGTTACGTAAAGCAAAGCACTAATAGCCTATTGCATGCTGTAATGTTCACTAGTAATAAAACACATGCTGCTGTTTTTCTGAAAGGATCTACTTGATAAGTTTTTGCTTTGCTGTTCAAAGGGCACTGACGACAAGGCAGTGGAATGGAGTCCAGGTGCTGTAGTCAGCCTGCTCGGTGGGCCAAGCCAGCCATGTATACATTCCTTCTAGGAGGTACCTTTGTTACCTTGGGATCAAGTCGTATCCTTCTAATGAAATACTCTGCCAATGAAGGTATGCTTGAATATTTAATTCTATATGGATAACAACATGATTGATCAGCATGCTATCTGTCTTCATGCTCTCTACTAGCATGAGGCTACAATATTTTCAGGGAATGTAAATAGTCCTGATTTTTTATTCAGAATTACCTGGCAATCTGTTTTCTTTCTTCAAAGCCATGAAGACCAGTTGTAATAAGCCCTCTGTGTAGTCAGATAACTTTTCTGTGACATCAAGCAGAACTACCACCATTTCTTTTATGTCACTTGATATATTTACCTGCTCCTTGTGAGGAAAAGGGTAAAAGAGCAATGAGATGCATGATAGTAGTGATTTGGGGGAGGCAGGGCAATGTGTAGAATACAGAAGCCTTACCCCTTGAACCTCAAAGCCCTTTTTTAAATCTACCAAGCTTTCTAACAGCAACAGCATGAATATTTTCATGCATTCTTCACAGCTGTATTGCCTGAAAACTTGGTTGTTGCATAAAAATGAAGGCAGAAGTTGCTGGTGTTCCAAATCCTACATCTGCATCTGTGTTGAAGATATATGCGCAGTTTTTTGATCTTCGGTGTAGATATTTGTAACGTACTGCTTACCCTCTGTTTTCTCAGATAACCAGTATGATTATCTTCCTGCAACTGTGAATGTGTGCTCGGAATTAGTTAAGCTGGTGCTCTGTCTGGTAATGGCACTCTGGGTCACCAGGAAAGGTAAGCTGTTACGGTCGGGTTCTTACACGATATTTAGCTACAAGATTGTCCTCCCTCGTTGCTTGCTATGTATCAGTGGAATTTAGGCAGCTATAAGATGAATCTCTCTTGCATTGTCTGTACTCACAAAATATGGGATCTGTGAGGATGCAGTGTTGCTCTGCTGAAAAGTACTGTTTTGGGAAGTGCTGCAGCTCAGTGGTGTGGGATGCATGCATGCAGATGGTTCTGTGTTCAGTCCCTGGCATCTCCAGGTAGGACTGGGAATGCCTGCTGTATAAAACCATGGAGAGCCATATCTAGTCAGTGTAACCAATAATGAGCTTGATGAACCAATGGTTTGACTTTGTATAAGGCAGCCCTCTTGCCATTAGTAGTTAGTCACATGCTGCCTTTGAACTTAGGAGTTCTATAAAGCCATTGATAAACCTATTCTTCGTGATTTTTACTAATTCCCTTTTAAAGCTGTGTAGCATTCAAAGCTATTACTTGCCTTGTGGGCCGAATTCATGTTTCATCACATGATAAAAGTGCATACATCGTGACTTTTCATGTGGAGTCATTTTTGGGTGGAGGTTTGTTTGAAATAGTTCTTTGAAAAACCTGAAGATTGCCAGAACAGAGAGAACACTTGCAAAGTAGCCTTTTCCCTGAGGCAAGCTATTTCACACAAATGCCTCAAAATGCTGAATATATGTGGTAAAGTTGCCATTTAAATGCCTTTAACACATTGGGAAATCAGTCTTAGCAAGAAGATCAAGAACCCAGTGACTGGAGATTGGATTTCAAAGAACATGACTGCAAGCATTTAGTCAAAACATCTTTTCAGGAAAGCATGGTATAGTTTCATATTTGAGCCTGCCCAGGAGATTCCCAAACTGTGAATTTATTTATTCAAGGGTTGTGCCTCATTAAACCTAAGAATAAGGGCAAAAGCTGGAGTGGGGGGCTTGTTCCCCTCCAGACATTGTCAGACTCCAGCTCCCATTAGCCTGAGCCAGCGTGGCCAATGGTAAGGGATGATGGGACTTGTAGTCCAGCAAAGTTTGGTGGGCTGCAGTTTAGCCACCCTTGTGTAGATATGAAGCAAATTAAGAGTGTTTAACTGATTTCACCCCTTTCTTCCCTATTTACTCCTTTTTTAGGAGGATATTCTCATAGTGGATTTGGCTGCAGCTCATGGAGGCAATTGAATAGCTATGTTAAGTGGTCAATTCCCGCCTTCCTCTATTTTCTGGATAACCTGATTGTCTTCTATGTCTTGTCCTATCTCCAGCCAGTAAGTAACACTTTAGAAATTCAATGTGTGCTCTATGCTCAAGGTTTTTGTAAACAGAGAATGTGTCCCATACCATACTTACTATTAACTTGTACAAAGTTATGGTCAAGTCAACGAGACTGCAGGGAACCTCTTTTTTCACTTTCTAACCTGTTGAGATAAACTAACAATATCTCACTAGCTGAACTGGATGCTTAGGGTAGGCTCTGCCAGAGCTACAGTACAAGAGGGGATGGATTAATCTTAAGGGAATTGACGCCAGTCTTACCTGGAGTATTGTGCCCAGTTATGACCCAGCAATACAGGGCAGGTTCAGAGGGTATGTATAGCCTAGGTTTGTTTTTGTTTTTAAATGGGGACAGTAGCATGTCTTTCAAACCTACAAGTTCAAGGATGGGCTATTTTCCCCATTTAATTGAGCCATGGTGAAAAAATTGCATATGATATTGGTCATAAGGAAAAGAGCAGTGTTCTAGAAAGATAGGAAATACAGTGGTGCCTCGCAAGACGAAATTAATCCGTTCCGCGAGTCTCTTCGTCTTGCGGTTTTTTCGTCTTGCGAAGCACGGCTATTAGCGGCTTAGCGGCTATTAACGGCTTAGCGGCTATTAACGGCTTAGCGGCTTAGCGGCTATTAGCGGCTTAGCGGCTATTAGCGGCTTAGCGGCTTTAAGAAAAAGGAAACAAACTCACAAGAACTCGCAAGACATTTCGTCTTGCGAAGCAAGCCCATAGGGAAATTCGTCTTGCGGAACGACTCAAAAAACGGAAAACTCTTTCGTCTTGCGAGGCATTCGTCTTGCGAGGCATTTGTCTTGCGGGGCACCACTGTAAGACTGGTTCAAACATAACAGTGGTTCATTGGGTTGGAAATAAGCATCATGCTAACACATTTCCCCCAAAAACTTGGATCTCCAGCTGTTGTTGGACTACAACTTTCATCATCCCTAGCTGGCAGGAACAGTGGTCAAGGATGATGGGAGCTATGATATCAAGATTAGTGCTGACCTTCCTGATAAAAGGGCATTGCAGACTGATGGTTATCCCATTGCTAGGTTGCATTTGGCATGTAATATTGCTCCTCAACTTCTTCTTCCCTAGGCCATGGCTGTGCTTTTCTCAAATTTTGTCATTATAACAACTGCTCTCCTGTTCAGAATTGTGCTGAAGTAAGTAGCAATGGAAGCATGTTTTCATTAGTCAATATTTTTCTTTCTTTCTAGTGTTGGCATTAGAATTCACCAAGATCTCTTTAAATCAGTTATAAACAAGAATATAAAGGTGTTTGAAATTTTAAAGCAAGTCAAAATAAATTCAGTAATGTATTAAGTCTTTATGTGTTAATGAGCATGCTATTGATGCTGACTGAGCTTGGTTCTTTTGCTTTGCTGGTTGTTCATAACAAAACACATGTGCTTTGGTCCCAATGAATGAGACAGAATTTCATTTGAGTAAACTTGCTTAGGACTGGACTTTCAATAAGCCTATGCAGCAGGTACAAATTCCGTCACCAACATTACAGTTTAATTTAAAGCGAAGCACGGATAAGCTTCCTGTCCTATGTATTTAGTTTCCTTCAGGATTTCTGTAAGAGCTAGTCCTCAGTGTTTCAGATGGCCCTTGTGTGTTGACCTGCATTTAGAGTCCCCAAAATGATGGCTTTAGTAGTCTTGTCATGATATTCTAGCTGAGCCATATTCTAGATAGGGATGGATTCTCTGATATCCTTATGTCCACCTTCATACAGTTTCAACAAATACAAAATAATTCAATCTTTATAGTAGGTGAGAGAGATGGATGTTCGAAAATGCTGATTGCAATCCAGGTCCTTGAGTACAGCATACCTGCAATTTTCTGTCTCCTGGTTTATGTGTTGTAGCATTGAAAAGGTTACTTTTGGGGAGCTGAGAAGACATCGTGTCTGTGCAGCTACCTCGGCAAAGAAGACGGGCAGCATATTTCTACCCACGGCTTGTGCTGTTTGGGATTGACTTGCTGGGTTGCTTCGTACCTTTCCGTGTACACTGGGTGTCTTTTTTTTTTTGTCTACACACAGGCGGCAACTCTCCTGGGTGCAGTGGGCATCCCTGCTGATTTTGTTCCTGTCTATTGTCGCCCTGACGGCTGGGACAGGAAGCCACAAGCATAGCTTGGCCATGCATGGGTTCCATCACGACATCTATTTCAGCCACTCTAACAGCTGCCTGCAGTATGCCAGCCTGGAGGAAGAGTGCTCAGGAAGAGAGAACTGCACAAGAACGTGGCTTTTCCCCAGCTTAAGCTGGAACATCACTGCTGCCACTGGAGCCCTGAGAACCATTCCGCTTGGGCTAGGACACCTGCTCATACTGGTGCAGTGCTTCATCTCTGCCCTAGCCAACATCTACAATGAAAAGATATTGAAAGAAGGAGGCCAGTTCAGTGAAAACATCTTTGTACAGAACACCAAGCTGTACCTCTTCGGAGCCATGTTCAACGCCCTGATTCTGAGCTTGCGCCCCGAAAACAGGCGCCGGATAGAACACTGTGGGTTCTTCTATGGGCACAATGCGTTCTCTGTCGCCCTTATTTTCGTCACTGCCTTCCTGGGGCTCTCTGTGGCTTTCATCTTGAAGTTCCGAGACAACATGTTTCACGTTCTGTCTGCACAGGTCACCACCGTGATCATCACCACGGTGTCTGTCTTTGTTTTTGACTTCAAGCCTTCCCTGGAGTTCTTCCTGCAAGCTCCTGTGGTGCTCTTGTCCATATTCATCTACCATTCCAGCAGCCCTCGGTGCGTGGAATACACCACTCAGTGGGAGAGGAGCAAAGTTGGTGGAGGGCCCTGGGAGCGCTCCAATGGGGTAAGGCTTGGGAAGGGGCTTGTTTTGAGTCCATTGCGTGGGCCGGCTGACGCCATCCCACCACCACTGCAGTTGCTTTGACGTAAGAATTTGGATTTGATATCCCGCTTTATCACTACCCTAAGGAGTCTCAAAGTGGCTAACATTCTCCTTTCCCTTCCTCCCCCACAACAAACACTCTGTGAGGTGAGTGGGGCTGAGAGGCCTCAAAGAAGTGTGACTGACCCAAGGTCACCCAGCAGCTGCATGTGGAGGAGCGGAGACGCGAACCCGGTTCACCAGATTACGAGTCTCGCTCTTCAGCACTACACCACACTGGCTCTCAGAGGTTTAGGCTTTAGTGGTTTAGCTGCAGGTCTACTCCTTTGCAAATGAGTGGCTCTGCTTCACTTGCTTGCAGTGCTGCAAACCCATGCTTTTGTGAGGCACCTGATGTCATTGTAGACATTTCCCAGCCACCCAAGAATGTTGGCTTGGTGTCATTGTAATAGACATCTGTAGAGCTGAGAAATGACAAGATGTGCTGGCAGCAAGCCAGCCACATGACCCAAAGTTAACTGCGCTTACGGCTATTGATTTCAGTGGGCTTAATGCTGTGTTGAATTATAGCTGCTTCTTTGTGCAAGTGGGCACCAGAGGGCGCTGTTGACAGTTAAAGCTGCTCTTAGGTAACATTTGTGCACACTTGAGTGAATGCTTTATAGTGATAACTTGGAAGTCCTATAGGAAGAGGGAGCTTTCACATCTGCATCCATGAACAGGATCTTGGATTTCTGCTGGCTTCAGTTTGCAGATGCAGCTCCCTGAAACCTGTGCAGGTGATTAAATGTTTCCATCAACAAATCATTTCATGACTGTCAAGTCAGAGCTTCTCCTGCTCCTGCTAGATGCATCTGTGTGGTACCTTTGCAGAATAATATGGAAAACAGTTATATTTTATTGTCTTGTTGCTGAAATCAAATTCTGGATATATCAGTGCATGTCAAATTCATCAGCAGTAGCTTATAAAAATATTATTCAATTGATGCAAAAAGAGGGGAGTAAACAGTCTTACCTTTTAATACATATCAGAGCAAAAGTTTCAGCAGAGATCTAAGATAGGCGTAGTAGGACATATGGAAAATATGTAGGATCTGTGCTCCAGGGTGCACTCAGATGTGTTTCCCACTGTATTTCTTGAGGTAAGCATGCATAGAATTTCAGCCTTAGCATCCAAAAGAGAATTAAAACCCAGCTGCTTGGTTTTATCACTTTCACTTCATTGTTTCAAAGTAACCATTTGTTACAACTGACCTTGCATGATCTTCACTCTGATTATTTGCTCAGGATGACAGTAAAGTTTTGCTATGCAACCTTCACAGGCAGCTGCTTGAGTTGCCACCTGCTGCCTGTTTCCATTCAGCCTTCCTATTTGCAGTTCAGCTCCTAATTCTTAATAAATGGCTTGTAACAACAAATATTTATAGACCTTTTAGGCTTATAAAGTGTTCTTAATTCATAGGCATCCATATAAACTCAGAGCCAGCACCACATATTTGGAAGACTAGGCACCTGGACTTCTTTGTGTCCTAGTCTGGTATTTTATTTGTTTCAGCATTTGATCTGATTCATCCTAAGGGGATTAACTTTAACTACAATGAATGGGTAGTTCAGAAAATGATTTTATAGTGAATTGGGAAAGAACATGCTTCGAAAGAGACACACTGAAGCATAGCTTTGGCACTAGCAAAGGGCCTTTATGCCATATAATGCGAACAGGTGAAGGTGAGGGACACTGATCAGTCCAAGAGCTACAGTCTGTCCTGGGCAGCCTTCTGAAGGCCCCATACCTGGGGTGGGCATGGCCAGAGGCACCAAGTGGGTGGAGCAATGGGTGTGTATCTTGCCTTTTTACAGTAGGCTATGCAGGTGGCGCTGTGGGTTAAACCACAGAGCCTAGGACTTGCCGATCAGAAGGTTGGCAGTTCGAATCCCCGCACCGGGGTGAGCTCCTGTTGCTCGATCCCTGCTCCTGCCAACCTAGCAGTTCGAAAGCACGTCAAAGTGCAAGTGGATAAATAGGTACCGCTCCAGCGGGAAGGTAAACGGCGTTTCTGTGCGCTGCTCTGATTCGCCAGAAGCAGCTTAGTAAATAAAGCCAATAGAGCGAAATGAGTGCCGCAACCCCAGAGTCGGCCACGACTGGATCTAATGGTCAGGGGTCCCTTTACCTTTACCTTTACAATCAAGCCATGGGGTTTCTAGACCCACATATTTCCTTCCAGGTAAACAAGACATTATCGCAGCTCAAGGACACATTCCAGCCAGGCAAAAGCACTCAAGGAGAGTGCAGAGCCAGGCCAGCAAGAAGTGTGGCATTGGGAGGAATGTGACCTGGAGAGAGTCCCAAGGAGGCCTTGAAGGACAGCATTTGGCCCTCAGGCCCCAGGTTCTCCAGCCTCAACACAGATACATATGAATTATCCTATAAAACCAGTCTGCTAACTCTGGAGTTCTCTCTCTTTCCCCCAGTCACCCACCCCTGATTCCTGGCCATAAGAAACCCCAGCTGAAATGAAAATATCTTGCAGCAGTTCCAAAATATACCCAGGTCAAGTGAAGCCCATGATTGTGGGTCCTGTTACAAGAATATTCTATAAGTTGCTGTCACTTCACAAAGCTGAAATATTTAGTGCTTACTTTAAAACACTGTTTATTATGAATTGAAAATGTTAACCAAGCATAGACTAATGTTGCCTTTTCACTCTCTTTCCCCTTTCTGTAGGATGGAGAAGAACTCGAGAGACTTACGAAGCAAGACAGTGACCATGATTCCGAAGAAGAGGCCTTATAGGCTGGCTTTGGATTTTTGAAGTACAGACATTCTTATTTAAGAAAATGAAGTTTTACCCTGGGAGGTGGGGGGAGGTTCGGACCATGACCAACAGGTGGAAGTTTCTTCTTTCTTTTCCGCTAAGGTGGGATTTTAAATTGTGTTTTCACAAAGCTGTGTAAGGTAATATATTAACTACTGTGAAGGGGTTTTGAAGAGGGAAGGGACCTATTTATAGAGGATGAGGATAATGCTATCCATGGCTCTTAATGAGGACTCCAGGATCAAATACAGGTGCCTCTGAATACCTGTTGTTGGGGATTAGCAGCCTTCATGTCCTGCTCATGGGCTTCTCATAGTCATCAGGTTGGCCATGGTGAGAAGTGGGATGCTGCGCTTTTGGTCTGATCCAGCACATCTGCTGTTATGTACTTGACTTCTGTAGTTCACAAGAGTGAAGAATTCCTGCAGAAAGAGAGCGGTCGGCAACGGTTGCTAGTTCAGAATGATTTGGATGAAGAGACGTAGAACTGGAAGCATCACTTGGAACTTTCTCACTTGGTTCTTTCACATGAATGTAAGAAAGCATTAATGCTACTGAAGTTAACCAAGGTACCTTGGTTAAGAGCAAATGTAAATGAAGAATCAATAGATGGAGGCTGTTCATCTTACAGTATTCTGGAGATAAGAGCTGTCAAACTATTCACAATTGTATGCCACAAACATCTAAGGATTTATTCATATTTCAGGGGTACTTGAAACAGTGTCAAATGTGTCTTTACCACCATGTGTGTATGCTGTTGCCACTCATGGTTCCTGACACACATTTCTGTGATTTGCACAGTTGAAGAAGTGCATTTGTCAGACGCACAACCATGCTTTTAGATGTAGATTTAAACTGTTTTACAGGAGCAGCTTTAAAGTACTGGGCCGTCCACAGTGGTAGTCCTACCCAGAGTAGACCCACTGAAATTACTGGACATAAACTAGTCATAGTCATTAATTCCAGTAGTTCTACTCTTGGATAGGAGTAGCATTGGATACCACTAGTACCGTGTGAAGTGGAGCTCAGTGGTGGATGCAATTGCAATATAGGAATCCAAAGCTTACATACTGAAGAACATTATATACCCTCCTGGTGTTTATGGTGCTATGTTTTACACGTGAGTATTAGGTAGCCTTATACTTGAGCCTGAAAGTTGTTGTTGGGATATCTAATGCTGCTTCTAAAGCAAAGGTGGGAATGTTGTTGGGACTCACAACTCCCATCTGTTCTACCCAAAATTGCCAGCGGTAAAGTAATGGTAGAGTTGCAGTCCACCAACATTTGGAGGGCCATAGGTTCCCCCCCCCATGAAGTGGGCTCACGATGATTTTCTCCCCTCCTTGTCACAAATCAAAATTGTCATCCTGCTGATGGATCCTTAGAACCCAATGAGCTTGTTCACATTTTCAAATCTGATAAGCACTGAATTAGGAGCATAGGATATGCACAAGTTCCTTTCATCTGTGTGCAGCCCTTTTACACGAGCTGTGAAACAAACCAGGAAGCTGCACTTAATCATCGTTTCCCATGACGATTCCATCTCCCTGAGTATCGTTAACGGCTTCCAAATCAGCCAGGATTCAAAAGCCAACTTTAAACTATGGTTTCATATCCTCTCTTCTTTAGAAGTCACTAACCATATTTTCCTAGTTTGAATGTATCCGGAAGATGATATATGAACTGAAACTTCCTGGTTTGTTGCACAGCTCGTGTAAAAGGGCAGCGCACAGAGGAAAGGAACTTGGGCCTATACTGGCCTATTCTTGCCACTTGAAGTGGCAAGCTGCAGTGCCTCTCCATATTTGATTTTGGCGTAAGTGCCCACTCTGCCTTTTGTCCCTTAGTTCTATCTCTTGTCCTCTTTAATGCCTGTCTCTGTGTAAAATACAACTTTTCTGTGTACTACAACTGTGTAAAAGTGCAGCACAGGGACAAAAACCTGAGGGATAAAATAAAAAGTAACAAAGAACAATGTTATGGACGTAGGCTTAGAACTTTTAACGATGCCTTTTGTTAAGTATGATTCAAGGAAATGCATGTTTTGTAATTTAACTAGGGTTCATTCAGGGATGAGACTATGTATAAAGGAAATAGTATTGACAGAAATGGGGCAAGGAGGTCAAGCATTTCTGATTTCTTTTCTCTTGTTTTTTTTTTGGGGGGGGGCTACAATATAATTTGAAAATCTTGGTAATACTTGAACTGTCACAGCTTCAGTTTTACACTTCCAGCCCAAGTCCCTATTTGCCAAAAAACAAAGAAACCCAGCAACAAAGCAGTGGGATGGGAAGAAATACAGGCCCCTATCTTGCAGAAGTAGATAAATACTCCAGGAAGTGGTGATCTGATCATATAAGCTGCTGCTTCTTATTGCACAGATAACAACTCATTTTTGTGTCTGTTGATGGAAAAGTGCAGCTTCTTTGGGTTTCTCAGTCTGTTTTATGACACTCCTAGAACTCAAAAGTATATTGGAACAAGTCTAAGTGGAGCATTCCTTTGAACCTGGCTTATTTGTTTGATTAGAGTTTGAAATAAGGAGTTAATTGCTCCTAAGAGCAGCTTTGAAGCAGGTGTGGTTTATGTGGACAGTGGTTTTGATTGTGCTTTAGTTCCTCATTTGCATTTGTGATAGCCTTGCTGGTAAGACATCTGTTCCGTTGTTTCCTAGTGTAACAGAACAGGAGCTTTCTGGTGTACACTCTTTTGTTGTTGCTATTCAAGTGCATTCATTAAGGAACTCTGCCTGATTCCCTTATAGTGCCTGGTGTTAACCAAAATGTGGGACCTCTTTGTGGTGTTTTCATTGTTTTACAGTCCACACGGCCAAATAAACTACAACGTAAATGGATTTTGGATTTTTCTGTGTTTGTGGGACGAGGGTCTAAACCACAGAACCTAGGGCTTGCAGATCAGAAGGTTGGTGGTTCAATTCCCCGCGACGGAGTGAGCTCCCGTTGCTCGGTCCCTGCTCCTGCCAACCTAGCAGTTCGAAAGCACGTCAAAGTGCAAGTAGATAAATAGGTACCACTCCAGCGGGAAGGTAAACGGTGTTTCTGTGCGCTGCTCTGGTTCGCCAGAAGCGGCTTAGTCATGCTGGTCACATGACCCGGAAGCTGTACGCCGGCTCCCTCGGCCAGTAAAGCGAGATGAGCACCGCAACCCCAGAGTCATCAGTGACTGGACCTATCGGTCAGGGGTCCCTTTACATTTACCTTTAAGGCTAGAAGATGCATGAGGAAAGAAGACGTTCATGGATGATAAAGCAGAAATCCAAAGCTTATTTTTTTACAAAGTGGCAATAACACGAATGGGTATATATGCTGCCAGTAACTGCATATGAATACAGACTGTTCTGTTAATGGAGTTTTGTGAGCCACATTAAATTGATCCACAAACTGGGTATCCACTTTATCCAGGTATTATTAATACATTGGATACTCTGGAGTCTCCTGGGGCAAAACAGGAGTAAAGCCTATGGTGACTTGCCCAAGCAAATAATGCCCTTAGTTGTCCCTTTATTTCAATCCAGGACACAGCCCAAAGAAAGCTAAAATACTGAAAAACAGCTTAACCTGTAGACAACCCACATTTTATAAAGGTAAAGGTACCCCTGCCCATACGGGCCAGTCTTGACAGACTGTAGGGTTGTGCGCCCATCTCACTCAAGAGGCCGGGGGCCAGCGCTGTCCGGAGACACTTCCGGGCCACGTGGCCAGCGTGACATCGCTGCTCTGGCGAGCCAGAGCCGCACATTTTATAACAGTCCCCTATTAGCCAAGGGTCATACAATACAGGGAAAACAAATATTTATCTAAGAATATAGGACCAGAGCTTTCATGGTAACCTTTCCTGTGCCCAAATCTCCCCTGCAAATCCCTGCATGGCTATTGTGTTATATGTGGGGTGGGATAGAGTACTTTTGTTGCCATGATTGGAAAGAAACCAAGCTGCAGCAAAAAACTACCTAGGATAATTTGGGGGAGGTGCTGGAAGGCTTAAGTTTCTCCTGCCTTTCAGTCAGTCCCCTTCAGATGTCCCCCTGCTCCTCCATTCATATTAAATGCAGACAAGTTGAGAAAGCACATTTTTTTCAGTGTAACATGTAGTTCTGCCCTATGAGAGAGGAAACTTTGCTTTGTTTGGCTTGTGTGAAATTTGATTTTGTTAAAAATATTTCCAAATAAAGATTCCAGATGTTTATTTTCATTAATAGTACAGTGGTATCTTGGTTCTCGAATTCAATCCATTCTAGAAGTCCGTTCAAGATGTGGCTTATGATTGGCTGATTGGCCCCGGAAACAATGCCGACAGCCAAAACAAGACGTCCGGCTTCCGGAAAATGTTCACAAACTGGAACACTTACTTCTGGGTTTGCTGCGTTCGGGAGCTGATTTGTTCGTCAACTAAGCCGTTTGGGAACCAAGGTACTACTGTAGATAGCTTGCTTTGCAACGGAAACTCCTAGTACCAAAAAATAAAAAATAACACTCACCAAAAGAGTTAGAGCTTGAACTACTGTTGTGCAGTTTACTTTTAGTGCTTTCCACTGCATGTAATGTGCATTTAAATTGCTTGGGTCTCCTCACTTTGACCACAATTACAACTGTCCTTGCTAGTATGTTTCCAGAAAGCCTTTGTGAGGCCATTAGCTTCAGATTACATTTCAGTTAAAGAAGCAAAAGGCAGAGAGATTTTTACTTAAACATTCCCAGAGAATTTCCTCCCATAAAAGGTCTGCACTTATAAATTTGCCTAACACAGCCTGAAGATTGACATTAAACAGGAGTAGTTAGTTAGACTTTCAAACCACATATTTTGGGCTGTATTCAACAAACTCATTGTGCTAGCAGAAGCCAGTACAATTTTCACTTTCCCCTCAATCTCCCTCCCAAATCTGTTGCAAAGGGTTGGGAGAATCCCCAGAAATAGCATTGGGCGGGTGGGAAGAGGATCGGGGACATTGTTTCAAGCAGACATCCTTGCTTGAAACAATAATCTTACTGCTATACTGAATACAGGTCTCTGTCTCCACTTGTGCACTGTGCATGAATACCAAGGGAAAACCTCACTTTTCTGCTGTGTTTTGCATTCCTCTGTAGTAATTTATAATTGATATTGGCCTGGTTTGCACATAATGGTAAGCCATTATTTGTTTAACGAAAGTGTGGATTTTTTGAACACCTAATCCCAGCACAACAGATTAACAGGCGAATGTGAAGCCATTGGTATGTTGTTGCTTTATGAACCATGGCTTATTTTTAATTTTTAAAAAGTAGCCAGGATTTGATGTTATGTTCAAACCCAACACCTTTGTTTAGCCATGGCAACCCCACCACTAGATGCTTGTCAAGCTACAGAGGCATGAGTCAAGAGCAGATGGAAAAGAAACCAAGCTTTGGAGAAACAAATCCTGCATTGCAGGGGGTTGTATTGGATTGGGGAGCCTTCCAACTCTACAATTCTATGAATTCATGGCTAGTTTGCTTATCTGTGAGATGACTCAACAATTCCATGGCATTCCTCAGTACCATGAAAAAATATACAATGTAGACACCACTGCAGAAATCACTTAGAAGTTACCTGCACATGTTGTCCCATAACTTTCTTTCTAGGAAGGCTGGAGACCGTAGTAGTAGTAAAGCAGCTCAGAGTCTGGGACACCTGCCCAGGTGTGCCACTAGAAGCCTTCATAGGTACAATGGCACCTTCGGGCACCAGATTGACAACACTTGGTCTACTGAGAGGGCTCACGATTGAAATATGTGGTACGTTGAAACAATAGTCCCTGGCATAAATTCCTTCAAGGGGCCAATTTATAGGAATGCTGTTCCCAGGGCAGTTAAGCAGCAGGACTTGTCCTAGAATTGAGACGAGTCTTTGAGCCTTTTTGTTAATCTGCTAATCTACTGCTGATTTCTGGTTTGTTTTTGTTTAGGTTTCTAGGATGCATGTCTCAGTTTCCTTAAAGAACTCTCTGAGAATGACTCAGCTTTCCTTGCCAAGGCATGAGGATAACTTAGACTAGGGAGAAGATGTCTTCCTCCTTGGAAAGTGCTGTTATTCCACCTCTGCTGTCCCACAGGCAGGACCTTTCCCTGAGCTGAATGTCTTCCTGCCTTCAAAGGGAGAAAAAACTCTTAACAAGATAAAGAGGCACAGCTAAAGCAGCAACATGGTTGGCACAAAATCATCTCTCACTGTATTATTTCAAACCTTTAACAATCTCAAGTTTTCCATAACAAGTGAAACCATTATACTACAGAGCTGGCATGTTATAAAATAAATCATTCTACCCCAAACATTTTTTTAATTAAAAAACAACCCTTTAACATTAGTTTTTCTAACAGGATTTCTTTTGAGCGGCAAATTTTGTAATATGATCCACCATTCCTCCACTTCAGCAAAAATTAACAACATTTTCTAATAAATATTTCCTCCCTCAGCATGGGGAAACAGGAAGCTATAGGAGTGTTAGTGTCTTATTTTACAGTTTATATTCTGCCTACAGTACAATGCCCATCACTGGAGTCAGGGTGTGGGGGGTTTGTGGGGGGTGGGGGTTTCTATACATACATAGCACCAAGATATACCTTCAGATTAGAAGGGCTCCAGAATATAAAGGAGTCTTTATTCCATAAGGCACCAGTGATACTGGCTTGACCTATTTCACATCATGCGTGTTATAGAGAAGGCCAAAGTCCGATACTTTAGTAGTCCCTTGACTGAACGAGGGAAGAAAAGAAACATGGTCAGGTGACCATCAAATGCTTCCCACATCTGGCTGCTTGTGGTCTGAATGGCTACTAAGATGAAAGCAGGGTGCAGATAAAGGTTAAGTTCCTAATTTCAATAAGGGTATCCATGGTGGTAACTTTCATGATGGCGGTAATCATCTTGGTAGCCTTCCTGGTACCCTTGGTGATAACCATGGTATCCATACCCGGCGTATTCGTCTTCTGGGCACCGCATGCCAAGAGACTGCTGGATGGCCATCTCCTGCCGCCGAAGTTGCATAGAGTCAATCAAATCGTACACAATCACCATGGACCACATTGGGGAAGGGTACCAGGATTTGACGTTCCCATCTTTTCCAACCAGAAGCATAGAGAAATATTCGGGGCTGATCTGGAAATAATTGCGTATATCTTTCACCAAATGAGCAGGGAGCTCTTCCCTGTCCACGCTGGAGCTCCCTAGGAGGAGATGGAGATTGGGAATAGCGTCAGCATCTTATGACACACAGACAAGTCATTCTTAAAAACAAAATATAGATTCAAGCATACTATATATGCAGCTGCAGTAGAACAGGCTGGAGGTGTGATGGTGGTTGAGAGGACTCTGGGCAGCCAAGTGAACATCATTTCCTGCCCACAGCAATAAAAAGCAAGATGCCTTTTTTTTGGAAAATAGTCAGGTTTGCCTGACACATTAAGCTCACTGTGGGCTGAAAGTGTATCCACTAGGATCTCGTTTCCTCAGTGCTCAAATTCTTTGGCTTTCCAGTGCCCTTTGGAAGCAAACGGGGCTCCATTTCTATTCTTGGATATCTGTGGGATGCAGGTTAATAAGGGGAACGTGTGTTTTTGGTTTAAAAGGGAGTGCCATTGAGCTCCTCTAGTTCAGTTGAATTACTCGTGTTTATGTAACTGAGTTTTTCCAACTGGAAGAGAATTGTGCCAGCTTGTGGTATCTCATTCCTGCCCCCCACCCCTTTCACTAGATGTACTGCCCTGAATTATTTTCTCCTTATATTGAATTATAGCATGAAAGACGTGGGGAAGTACAGTAGTACCTCAGGTTAAGTACATAATTCATTCCGGAGGTCCGTACTTAACCTGAAACTGTTCTTAACCTGAAGCACCACTTTAGCTAATGGGGCCTCCTGTTGCCGCCACGCTGCCAGAGCACGATTTCTGTTCTCATCTTGAAGCAAAATTCTTAACCTGAAGCACTATTTCTGGGTTAGCGGAGTCTGTAACCTGACGCGTATGTAACCTGAAGCATATGTAACCTGAGGTACCACTGTACGATAATTTTGTATCTTGCCTGTTTTTTCAGTTGTTACATATTGTTAATCTAGCTGGTAACTTTAAATATACAGTGTGTGTGTGTGTGTGTGTGTGTGTGTGTGTGTGTGTGTATGCGCTTCTCCAGAGGTTTTGAGGTGTTATGTTTGAAGAGGAAATATCAACCTACGCAGAAGTCATGGGGGCCCTGCCTCACCATCCCTATGCATGCTTTGACCTTACTAGCTCCTAATCACATTGAGTCTTCTACTCATGTTAAACCGAATGCAGCCAGAAGCCCTCTTCAGTTCTTCCTGGCTCAACATAGGAAGATCAGGGACCAAGCAAGGGGGATAGGGACTTTGGCAGCAAGGTCAGTATGCACAGTGTGCCCTATTTCCTGTTTGGGCATAATGCCTGAAGAAGACTACAGCTGAGGAAGGCTGTTTGTTTTTTGTCCTCCTGGCTTCAGGAAACTCACAAGGCAACTTAATAATAATGTTGGATAAATACAGAACATAATAAATTAAGTTTAAACAATCACTGTAGGGGCCTGCTTTTCATACGTCTGTTTGCCCACTAAAACAAACTAGGGCCATGGGAAGTTCCACAGTGGGAAGTTCCTTAAAACAGTGTTTCCCAACCTTGTGCCTCCAGCTGTTTTTGGCCTACAATTCCCATCATCCCTTGCCACTGGTCTTGCTAGTCAGGGATGATGGGAGTTGTAGGCCAAAAACATCTGGAGGCACAAGGTTGGGAAACACTGCCTTAAAACAATTTCTCAAGTGTTGTTACTGGGATACAGCATGTTCCAGGATTTGCGCAAGATAGGACTGTGCTGTAGCTTCATGTGTGACTCTCATTCACGTTCTATGACCTTTCTTGCAGCCACAACTCAAGACCCATTTGAGAACAACTTCTGAAAATAAACTTACAATAATATGCATTCTAATTTTTAAAATACCGTATTTTTCGCACCATTGGACGCACTTTTTTACTCTTAAAAAGTAAGGGGAAATGTCTGTGCGTCCTATGGAGCGAATGTGTGGTCCCTGGGGCCAAATTGTCGGAGTGCGGCACACTCTTGGACTGGTCTTTGGTAGTGGTGGTGGAGCCGCGCTCCCCTGCCGGCAGCTTCGGCTTCCCCCTGCAGCCCCGGGAAGCTTTGGAGGAACGGGAGGGCTGTGCGCCCCTGCCCCGCACTCCTGGGCTGCTGAATGGGGGCGGGGGGGGGGAGAGCCGCGCTCCCCTGCCGGCAGCCTCGGCTTCCCTCTGCAGCCCCGGGAAGCTTTGGAGGAACGGGAGGGCTGTGCGCCCCTGCCCCGCACTCCTGGGCTGCTGAATGGGGGCGGGGGGAGAGAGCCGCGCTCTCCTGCCGGCAGCCTCGGCTTCCCCCTGCAGCCCCGGGAAGCTTTGGAGGAACGGGAGGGCTGTGCGCCCCTGCCCCGCACTCCTGGGCTGCTGAATGGGGGCAGGGGGGGGGAGCCGCGCTCCCCTGCCGGCAGCCTCTGCTTCCCTCTGCAGCCCCGGGAAGCTTTGGAGGAACGGGAGGGCTGTGCGCCCATCCCCCGCGCTTCTGGGCTGCTGAATGGGGGCGGAGGGGAGAGCCTCGCTCGTCTGCCGGCAGCCTCGGCTTCCCTCTGCAGCTTTGGAGCAACGGGAAGGCTATGCGCCTATGCCCCACACTCCTGGGCTGCTGAATGGGGGTGGGGGTGCTGCTGTGCCAGCAGCCTGCCTTTCCCCTCAAGGTTTGGAGCAGTGGGCAGGCTATGCGCCTATGCCCCACACTCCTGGGCTGCTGAATGGGGGTGGGGGGTGCTGCTGTGCCAGCAGCCTGCCTTTCCCCTCTAGGTTTGGAGCAGTGGGCAGGCTGTGCGCCTATGCCCCACACTCCTGGGCTGCTGAATGGGGGTGGGGGGTGCTGCTCTGCCAGCAGCCTGCCCTTCCCCTCAAGGTTTGGAGCAGCGGGCAGGCTGTGCGCCCATGCCCCACGCTCCAGGGCTGCTGAATGGGGGTGGGGGGTGCTGCTCTGCCAGCAGCCTGCCCTTTCCCTCAAGGTTTGGAGCAGTGGGCAGGCTGTGCGCCCATGCCCCACGCTCCAGGGCTGCTGAATGGGGGTGGGGGTGCTGCTCTGCCAGCAGCCTGCCCTTCCCCTCAAGGTTTGGAGCAGTGGGCAGGCTATGCGCCCATGCCCCACGCTCCAGGGCTGCTGAATGGGGGTGGGGGGTGCTGCTCTGCCAGCAGCCTGCCCTTCCCCTCAAGGTTTGGAGCAGCGGGCAGGCTGTGCGCCCATGCCCACGCTCCAGGGCTGCTGAATGGGGGTGGGGGGTGCTGCTCTGCCAGCAGCCTGCCCTTCCCCTCAAGGTTTGGAGCAGCGGGCAGGCTGTGCGCCCATGCCCACGCTCCAGGGCTGCTGAATGGGGGTGGGGGGTGCTGCTCTGCCAGCAGCCTGCCCTTCCCCTCAAGGTTTGGAGCAGTGGGCAGGCTGTGCGCCCATGCCCCACGCTCCAGGGCTGCTGAATGGGGGTGGGGGGTGCTGCTCTGCCAGCAGCCTGCCCTTCCCCTCAAGGTTTGGAGCAGTGGGCAGGCTGTGCGCCCATGCCCCACGCTCCAGGGCTGCTGAATGGGGGTGGGGGGTGCTGCTCTGCCAGCAGCCTGCCCTTCCCCTCAAGGTTTGGAGCAGCGGGCAGGCTGTTCACTGAGAGAGGGGAGGAAGAGGACGGAGAGGAGGGGGACCAAGAAGCTGGGTGATGGGAGATGAGGTACCATAGGTTGCCGTGAGTGGAGAGTCATGGTAGAGGGCAAAGGAGAGGGAGCAGTGAAGGGGAGAAATTGTAGACGTCACCTGAGGAGTTTGGGTGAAAGGGATGGAGAGGAGGAGGCTGGAAAAGGGGGCTGTTCTGCTGGGGGGGGGGGGGAGAAAAATGTGGGGAAAAGGAAAGCCTCCCAAGCCTGCTACTGAGAAGCTCTGCTTGGCTGTTTCTTGACTGTAATTCAAGTAAAGGGAATGTTTGCGAGCAGCTGGCAGGCTGTTCGCTGAGAGAGGGGAGGAAGAGGATTGAGAGGAAAAAATGTGGCATTAGCAATGCTTTGGATGGATACGAAGATGGTATTTTACATGAAGATAGCGAAGAAAGTGATGTCTCTGACTGTGAGCAACTGAGCTTCATAAATTCTGACTTTAGCAGTGATGAGTTCTTGGGGTTCACAGACTAGAAGAGTACTCAAACCTTAAAGTCTCTCTTCATTTGTTAATGACAGTGATGATGGTTCTTAATGCCATTGTTGACTGCTGTTCACTTTACATGGCTGTAATGTGATTCTGATATACCAGTTGTTTATTAAATACAGTAGTTTATACAACATTTGATTCAGAATATTTTTTCCTTGTTTTCCTCCTCTAAAAACTAGATGCGCCCTATGGTCGGGTGCGTCCAATGGAGCGAAAAATACGGTA